CTCAATTATATTAGTATTATTATTAATTATTCACATTCCAGTTTTTTCCATTCTCCATTCTTCCATTCTTCCATTTCCATTCTCCATTCTTGTATCAAACTCGTAAGAAATGCTGCAAGTTCTGCCTTAGGAGACTGCTCCAAAATTCCTGAATCTCCCATCGACTCCGAAGCCAATACAGGTAAGGGTTCCTTGAATTCCTCCTTGTGTTGGTCTTTACAATTGTAAGTTGTACAAGTTATCCTCTGCCCGTTCCTCTCTTGTTGATGCCCCTCAAACTGAGATTTCCCAATTTCCATTTCAGGCAGCAATTCCACCCTTGAAGATTGCTCCAAAGACTTTGTAAGTCTAACATCTCCCAAAGATTCAGAGACCACTGAATATGAAACTTCCTTAACCTTCTTCTGTTGCTGCTTTTCTTTGGAATTGTATGCTGCACAAGTTGTCTTCTGCTCCTCAACCTGGACTTGTTGAGGCCTCTCACACAAAGATTCGCCAGTTTTCATAAATATAGGCTCTACATTCTTTTCTTCCAAAGCTTTAAACTTAATAGATGGCGATGCACATACCCCCAGGACCGAAGTATAAAAATCTTTTGCTTGAGAAACAGTATTAAGTCTATAACATGTCCCCAGGTAGTTCACCACCATTCCAATCGGAACATCCCATCTGAATAAAATTTTTCTCTTTTTAAGTTCATTTGCTAGAAAAGCAAACTCCTTTCTTCTTCTTAAAATTTTAGATGGGATCTCCTTAAAAATTATAACATCTTGTGAAGCAATTTGAAATCTCTTCTTATAATAGGCTTGCACAATTTCATTGCGTAAAGATCTTTTACCAAAGTAAATTACCACATCTCTTGGCAGATTCTTCTGTGCTGCCACCACAGAGTTAACCCTAAATAATTTTTCAATTTCATTAAGTATTCCCTCTTTTTCTTTATTCAAAATCAATGCAAAGTCCTTTGCAACCATCTCCTTCAGATCTCCTTGCAAAGACTCTCCCAGGCCCCTAATTCTTAAGGCATATTCCATTTGTCCATATTGAAGCATAAGAATCTCATTTTCCATTTCTTTTTCCATACTTTCAATTTTCCCCTCCATTATGTCCACTTTTTCAGCTACCTCTTCCACATGGGAGTTCACCTTTTCAAGAACAGAAGCAACTCCTTCTAAAGCCAAAACAAAATCTTGTCTCAAGATCTTATTATTTTCCTCTAAAATCTTTTTCATTTCTGCCCTAATTTGAATTATAACATCTCCCATCATGTTTTGCAAATCCTTCATAGTTATTAGCTGACCCCCAGAAGAGGGTGAAACTGTTGATTTAGAAGCTGTAGAAATCCCTGGACGCTTTGGAGCCATCTTAAAGAAAAACCTTTAGTCCTTCTTAAAAAATTATAAAAATTCCTTCAAAAATCGTAACTCCCTCCAAAGAAGGTCATTATAATAAAAAGAAAAAAGGGGAAAAAAAAGAAGAGAAAAGGAATTAAAAAAAAAGCTTTACTCCTTCTTAAAAATTGCAAAAATTAAACAGAAAAAAGTCCTTCAAAAAAGGGTCATTACAATAAAAAGAAGGGAGTTCAAAGAAAAGAAAAAAAAGGGAGAAGAAAAAAAAATAATTAAATAGAAAAAGTCCGTTCCAAAAAAATACTTAGAGATACCAAAAACAACCATTCCAATCATAAGAAAATAAAAAGGGAAAGGGAAAGGAAAGAAAGAGAAACACCAAAAAGCCTGCCAGTCAGCATTCTAACTTCCAGAAAAAAAACACCGAGAGATTTGCCGATCGCCATTTTACTTTCCCTTTCAACAAAGAAAAAAAAAATAAAAAGAGAGAATAAAAATAGAAACAAGTCTTAAAACTTAAAATCCAAAATAGTCAAAGAAAGCAAAAACTAAATCCTCTACTCAGCTCTGTCCGTTTATAAAAAAAAACTCACCAGTTCTCTTTAAGCACGGAGGTGTTTGCAGCGGCTCGTTTTGTCCCTGAGGACAAAAACAGCTGTGAAGCGGAGACAAGTCTGAACTCCGTGGGAGCACTCCTTTCACCCCCCCCAAAAAAACTTGGGGGGTGCAAAAGAGGCTCTACCACTATTCAGACACTCTCTACCCCCCCCTTTGCCCGTGAGGGGGATTTTGAACCGCTGAACAGCTGATGTCTGCTGTTCATAGCGGTTCTTACACTTACCCAGGAGGACGACTACAAAGTAGCCGCCATCGCGCGCGCAAAATCCACCGGAAGTCCCATTTGCTGCAAATCTTTTGAGTTCTTAGTCAACAACATCAATTTGCAAAGAAAAGTACACACATACTCAAATCCCCAACCAACCAAATATTTCCCAACACAACTATCCCCAACCAAGTATTCCTTACAAATTTATCCATAAATACACTTTACAATCAAAGGGAGACATCAAACAATTTTATTATAAAAATGCTTTACTTCCATCATATATTGTTATCACATTAAAAAAAAACCTTTCAACTCTTGTTGTGAAATTGCCATATTTTTCATGATGCTACCTGTTATGGAATGTCTTCCCATTTATACTACACGAAGGCTCAATGTGAACTTGTTCTAGGTATCCTCTTAAAACCCTACTTTTTACATTGCCCCTTCTTAGTTTATGTTTATGTTTATATTTCTATTTCCTGCTTGTCCAGTTGATTAAATGGAATGCAAGCGTTATTAACTGTAGTGGAATTAAAGTCAACACATTTGGATAAGCATGTCAAAAAGTGCTAATCTGTTTTTCAGTGCCAGATTCTTACTCAACAGCAGCCATGGCAACTGACTCTGTTCACAGAATCACTGAACCAGTAAACTTCCTTCAACCTGCAAGTTATTAATCAGATGTTAGTGGGGGTTGCAAGAGAAGCCACAATTCACAGAACATGTTTTACTTTGGTTTTAAAATATATATGACTATGGATAAAATAGCTGAACAGGTAGTCCTCACCATATGACCAGTTAGGACCAGAACTTTCATTGCTAAATGTTTGTGGTCATTAAGTGAATCCTACCTGCTTTTATCACCTGTTTGTCCTGGTTGTTAAGTGAATCATGTAATCATTATGTGACTCTGGCTTCCCCCATTGATTTTGCTTGTTGGAAGACCTCTGAGAAGTTCACAAAAATGGTGATCATGTCACCCTGAAGATGCAGCAACCATTGATTGCCAAGCACATAAGTGTGGGAATGCTGCAGTGATTATGTGAAGATGGGTCATAATTCATTTTTTGGCACTATCATAACTTTGAGTAGTCATTAGACTAATAGTCAAAGTCAAGCACTATCTATATCTGTCAAGCACAGAGAAATATAGTTGTTTGAGTGCCTAGGGAAAATTAGAATAGGGATAGATACAAAAGCATTTCATTTTTTGTTCCATTCATTATATAGGATCTCTTTTCTGCATGCGTAGTTTGGGGGGAGGATCAGATGGCTTCCTTTCCAGGATTAGTTGTAATTGATTAACATAGTCAGGCTGCTAATAATTTCACTCATGCAAGCTGTGTGGTACCTAATGGAACCCGCTATCAGATCCCTGTTTATACACTACCTTGACCTATGAAACCTCTTCAGAAAGCTGAGAAATGGAAGAATGAGTGCAGAATGCAAGGGTTTCTTTTTCTTTTCTTTTTTTTTGAGAGATCAAACAAATTAGTCAGTTGCCTTAAAAATATATTCCTTCAATTTTGTCTTTGAGTTTTGCATCTGCATGTTTGGTTGGAGTAATGTTTGTGCTACTGTTTCTGTTATATAAATTTTGAGAAATCATCGCCTTTAAAAGCAGAAATTATTTAAATGTATAAATGCGATGGGTGGGCCCTTATATCAGGTATTATATACACTGGGCAGGAAGGGGGATATTTTGTACTATGCCAAGAGGATTAACAATTCATTCTGCCGCATGTAAGAGGTATACTACTAAAGATATTGGTCTTTCATTATGCCATGTGCCCATTATCTCTTTCCACAAGTAAAGCAAAATGTAACAACATCTTACGAGAAGTAATAGGTAGGTCATTACAGATCCAGCCTAGAACTAAGGAGAAATTTCCTCACCACTGGAGCTTTTGAAGAAGACATTGGACAACCATTTGTCTGGAATGGCATAAGGTTTCTTGCTTGAGCAAGGGGTTTGGACTACTAGAAGACTAGAATGTTCCTTCCAACCCTGTTATTCTATGTTCTAACTTATCACTGTTTCTTCAATTCCCTCAGCTTTTTTCCATTTATCATTTAAATATATTTCCCTTCCAATTCCACAATCAACAGGATGTAGAAGAAAAAGCACAAATTTTGCTGAATTATGGTACTACGACTGACTAAATGGACACAGTGTTGGTGAGTAAAGCTAGATAACATACAATGTAATTAAAAAAAAAAATAATCACATCAGTGACTTCTGAATTTCCAAAGAAATTCTCACATGATTCTGCATTGCATTAAGCCTTTTTATCTCTTACCTTCATGGAACATTCACCCACTGTTTCCAGCCGGGTCCCTCAGCTGGATATTAGATAAATAATGAGCACACATTACTTAATTACATCAGTTATTCTTGTTTTGAACTTCTTGTTCCATGAAAAGGCTCCTACTCTGAATGTAACTGCTTTGGTAATATAAGCAACATAACTGATTGGTGTAAGATATGCATCTCAATAGCAACTTGGAAGCTTAATACTGAAATGGGGACCACGTGGAGCCCCCAAATATAAGTGCTGTTCCATCAGTACTAAACTTCAAGCAATGAAAACAAGAAATAAATCTAGTAGTGGCCCAAACTTATATCACATGTATGCATGTGCATATTTTTTTCTTAAATCAGAATAAGCTGGTGGTGAGGTGGTAATACAAAAAAACAAAACAAAAAAAAACACAAAGAATGCCCCAGAAAATAAAGTGATTCCATGTCCAACATTAATATTCATCAGTATTAACTCAACCTTCATCTTCATTCAAGTGAGAAAAACATTCAGAAATCAACGATGTTTGAGACAAAAAAAGTATTTATTAAAAAAATTAAAAGGTAATCTTTTTATCAATTAACCCTCTTTAAAAAAAACAGTGCCAATTCAAAGGCAGCTTTCTTATATTAGGACCATGTACACTGAAGAGCAATGACATGTAGTAACTTAAACATACAGGCAGTAATCATATGCAAATTACAACCAAGCACACTAACAACTTCAATATTAGCAGCATCAATAAGGAAATTCATAATGTAGGAGAGTGAGTTTTACCTAAGGGCAGAGAGTGTGAAATAATAGCTATTTTTTTTTCTTAAATGGGGGATTGACCATTGTTTATTTCTTATTGAAACCAGAGAGTCTGACTGCAAATCTTAAAACCATTTCAGTAAGTGGAAGAGACTCATTTGAATAAGCACAATCTCCTCCCACACTCCATGTTAAGATTATGCTTTCAATGGCATCTATTTCTTCCCTCTTTCCTTCTTGTGTACATTTTAAATAGAGAAATCAAAAGCTTATTCACTGTTTTGTAACTTCAGAGTTGACATTATTTTAATAAAGATTGTATAAAGAAAGGCATCAGGGCTCCTATCAATCACGTGATTTTTTTCAGGCATGAATTTCTTAAACAATAACCATAGGAATAAAAACCTTTTTTTTTAAAAAAAAAAATTGCTATCCAGAGAGGCTATTGCACTGCCGTAATGACCCCCAATGAGAATGTACAGCATTGCTGACTTCGCCTTCTTTATCCCATTGTGGTGTCATAACTGCAGTCCAATCCTAATGTGGAAAAACAAGGACTCAAAACAAAAAGTTTTATGTAGTCATGCCTTTAATCATGATAAAATGGTCTATGTTCCATTAAGACCACAAATGGGAAGAAGAGAAACAACAGTAGGAGTCATATGGTTTTAGGAAAGTGAATGATCCAAACATTGTGAAGAGCAATGAAATTGAATACTATGAAATAATAGAAATATTTTGCAAAATCTCAATGGCCTACTTCAAAGGAGATTTTGCAGCCAACTCATTCTTTGATCTGCATACTTCTTTTAGTACAATATTTCAAGAGTTCTAAAGAAAAAGGCTTCAAAACAATGAATGAAGCTAGTTAATTATATGCGGTAAAAGAAAAAAACCAATTAAGGTAAGATTTCCAAATACAAGAGGGCCAATAACAGATGTGTGGAAAGGCACGCTACAGGAGGAACATAAACATGTATTAATGCATCCCAAGTACAAAATACTGAGCTAAGGCACATTCACTTAGAATTACTCTTTCCCACAGAAACCAAATGTTTGCAGTGTAATGGTAGAAGAGCTAAGGGGGATAATCTTCATACAGGCAAGAGGTCACCCAGTGCTAACCTGCAATATTGGATTTATTGACATTATGCTGTGAATGACAGCAATTAATGTCAGATCGGATATTTCTTTTTGCGCAATGGAAAACTAGTCTTATTGCATCAAATTCAAAAAGAACTACTTTATACATGTTCAAAAAAATGTTCTATGCAGTACTGCCTTTTAGCCATAGCACGTATGTGCTGAATGATCAGATTTCTCAGAACATCAGGCAAAGCTACACTGAACGATTATCCACTGGAGTACTGCAGAATCCAGAAGAAAAGAGTCCAGCAGCCTTGCTGAAATTCTAAATTAAATTGTTAAAATGCCATTTTGTATAATATAATTTTAATTGATAAAAAAGATTGCCCTCCTTTAAAAAGCCAAGTACATTCTAATCATGTGAGCATATATACTATAAAACATGAATAGTTCAGAACCATTTTATGGGAACCTGATTTAGAAATCTAATCAAGAGTAACACTTGAGCACATAATAGAAAATGGTCAAGAATTTATAACAACTGTTGCTATCAAATTATCTACCTATAACCCATTGAATTGCTACCAATGTCATGAAGTCTTCCTGTTTTGCTCCATCTGCTGATAGAAGAAACAGCAAATTCAAAGCACAGTCATGTCTACCTATTATTTCTATTTTTCTGTTTTATTCCTGCATATCACTAAGTCTCTCATTACCAAATAAAAGATGGACTCTTGCCATAGAAAATATACCATCTATTGCAATGATTTCCTATAATACTCAAGACACAAAAGAAACCTGTGACTTTTTGTCATTATGCAAAGTAGCCTTCCTCAACTTGTTGCTTTCCAGTTGATCCAAGACTATAATATGCATTGAACCCAGACATTATAGAGCTTGGCTGTGTTTATGCAATCCCAGTTGAAATCCCAGTGTATTTGGAGGCTGTCAGATTTGGGAAGGCTGCAAATGATAAAAATTGAAACCCATCACAAGCACATTGTGACAATAGTATTAGATTAAGCCAGACTAATAAGCACAGTTGTATTTCCTTTCTTTTTTTGAATTGGGACTAAATTTTACTCAACATAATCATATCATGGGGATATAAGCAGTCTCCATGCCAACCAAGATAGCCAATTAATGAAGGATGGCATGGAGAATATAATTTGGGAGGCTTCAAAGTTTCATGCACATGCTAAAATGAATTACTGCAATATCTCAGCAATCTGGACATAGGTGATCAATGTAACGAGAGCTGGAGCCAAATTCATTCGAAAAAATTGTGGTGCATTGCACACTGAAATGTTTTTTAGTCAGATTGTTTTTCAGAGTTTCCACATGCAATCACAAAAACTCTCTCCTCTATGAAGAGTTTTGCTCTATTATCAAGCTACTCTGAAACTAAAAACCCTTTTTTCCAGATAGCTTAATATAGCAAGAGAAAAAGACTTCTCAAAAGAATTATGCCTTTACCAAAGTATTACCACTTATTTTGCACAATCTACATTCATTCACGTCAGCTTTCCCTTAGGTGATGGGATAAATCGGATCAATGCCAGCACTAGCAAATGCTCTAAGCTATTATATAATCTCTGCAGCTTTGTGGCCTTCCTTGCTCAAAAGGCATCTCAGAGGAATTTAGAGCTGGAGACCAAAAACATAACATCTCTCCACTAAAAAAATCCTCAGAATAGTGGTGTGATGACTGGAATTTATAATTTAATAACTCTTTGAATCTTCTTGGTAGTTGTAAGATTCTCTTAACTGCAAGTAGTAGCTAGTGCTCAGAGACAGAAGTATTATCCAAAAATAGGAATAACTTGTTGCCTTTTGTCTTAGAAGAAAGGAATGCACAGTAACCTGTAATGCCTCAACCAACTGAAACATTTAAGTCCAATCATTTAAGATCAAAGCAAGAAAGAGATGCCTCTTGAGGGTATATATGTGTACACACAGAGAGACAACTTCCCTTTAAAAACACTATAAACTATTGGTTCTGAACTATCCCATTTGCAAAAGACCATTTTTAAAAAACACAGTTGATATTCCCTGTGTGTCATGTCACACTTGAATAGAGACAGATTGCATAATCTACATCTTTTTGAAACACAGGCATCCTCAAAATCACACATTATGACATTGCTGTATATTGTCTTGATAAGACAGCATGAGTGTTTAAATATTGCTTGGACTGTTCAAACTTTAAAGTAGCAGCTGACTCAAATGACTGGAGCAATGAGCCTTTCTGTCAGAAGTTCTCCCACACTGCTGCCTCCTTCTTCAATAGTTCACTGTCTCCACTCAGAAATGTTTAAGAGAAAATTCTTCATAGCAATCATCAAAGGTAGAGAAATGTTTCACCACATCTGTTCTTCTATTTTATTCCTTTCTTTTTTTAAAAAAAAGTTGGATCTAAAACTCCCATGTTTCCAGCCATTTAAGGCCCGCCATTGAGCTGCTGGGATCAGAAGCCAGAGGTCCTGTCATCCCATAGGATAGAGGATGGAAGAGGTAAAAGCTGTGGAAAATACACACACACACATATAAATAATAAAATAAAACCATAAAAGTAGAAGGCATCTCAACATCCCCTAGGTTGGCCTAACTAATAGTACATAACATTTATAACATATGACAAATGTGATTTAATTGTACTGTTCAATGAATTCTGAGTTAAAGAAAAAATGGCAATTGTCAAAAAAAAGCTGTTTACATTACAATATGTAGGGAATATCTCTGAGTAGTGGTAATATGATCTGGATTTGGGGAATATTACATCAGTCTCTTATCATAGACTGATCACTCCTTGTTGGTGTTGCACCCTCTACGGGAAGATAGTATCCATTTAAACAATCTAATGGACATTACTTGGTTTCAGTGGGAGCTTGGAATTGTTCATGGACTTCTGGAACCTGCTTCATTTCCACTTGGGACAAGAGAATGGCAATGGCCTTAGATCTAATTGCATCTATGTAGACTCTCTAGGCACATGGATCATGCAGGATCCCCTGGTTTCTTGAGGAACATAGAAGATGAAATGGCATAAGAGATGCCTTAGAGTGCTGTTGGAAGAAAATGAAGAGTGAACCCAATCAAACATGGGTAAAAGTTTTCCTTGAGAAGTACCTAGGGACATTAAAGGCAGAAAAGGTAGCTTTTCTTCATTCTTATTGTATCTGCAGAGAGCTGGCTGGTGGCCCTTTTAAGATAACCCAGTCCCAGACTCCCAGATTCCCACCTGGAGAAAGTTTACAGGCTGCTGTAAGTTCTGTTCTAGTGTCTCTCTCATAAAGTTACTCAGATTGACTCAGAGTTGGAATCTGATTGCACAGATCCTATGAGCTGCCTGAAGCATAGTCTTGCCCAGTTATCTGGGAAGAATTTGAATCTGTTGCTCTAATGAAGTGAACAAGGTCCTTTAAACTGAGCTGTGAGTTCAGTCATCTGTGTTTTAGAGCCACTGGGATTGGCCCACCCCACCCCACCTGTGCTGGCAGAGGTGACATGCCTGCGGGCCCCATCAGTCTGGTGGAATCCAGAAAAAGGGCCTTCACTGCCATTGTACCTGTCCTCTGGAACATCTTGCCCTGCCCCCAGAGTAAGATTAGCTCCAAGCCTCCAGACTTTCCGTAAGAGCCTAAGGACCTGGCTCTGCCAGTTAGCTTGGGGCATCAATGGGGAACATCATAGTGGAGGTGGTTGATCAATTAACAACAAATCCCACCTCCCCCTCCTGCTCCCCTGCTCCCCATTTTGAATTGGGGTGCAGTGTTTGCTTTTGTATTAATTTATTTATGTTTTTAATTTATACAATTTTTATCTATTATGATTGTAAACTGTCCAGGGTTACCCTGAGATAAAATGGGCAGCCAATAAATTTTATAAATAAATAAATGTTCTTTCTGGTTGATTAAGTTTCCCGGGAAGTGACATGTGGTTAAAGATTCAGGCAATTAATTAAATATATTTTTGAGCAGTTCAAGAACTAATTCTCACCTATACATACTGAGCATGACCAACACTCCTATCCCGTAGTTATAAATCTTTTTAGCTTGGATGCTGGTTGAAAAAAACCAAGCACAGAATTTCAGGAATACATCCCACGTAATCCCTGAGGAAAAAAACAACAAATTAAATTTGATTTGCGATTAAATTAATACAGTTTATATGACAGCCATTCTTGTGCATTTAATCAGTTTTCCCCATCTCATTAGAAATCACAACTTGGTAGCAATTTCTGGAAGATTTATATGGGGAAAGAAAAATCTGTGAAAAACATGCAGGCCTCAGGCAAGGCATTTGGGGGCAAGTGATGGATAAGTGATAGGAAGATGTAACAAGACTTTAAAAAGAAGTACTTGTAGTGTTTGATATCCTGAGACAAAAATAAGAATATTCAGAACTGAACTTTTAACAATATTCTTAACCAATATACCTAGAAAGCATTGTAAAAATAAAGTATTTCTGCAACACACTTGAGGGCAAATTGTTTTAGAATCTTTATCGAAGTCCTATTTAAAACAGTTTCTAATCATTCTAATGATCATTCTAATATCCACATTATCAATACAGAAATGATGAGAATAGGACAGTAGATTGTATCCTAATTTCCTAAATTCAATTCTAGGTTACAATGGTCTCAATGTTGATAAAGAAGTTATTTCCTGAGAACCTTTTCAAAACATGCAATGTGTTAAGGTAAATAGTGTGATCACTTAACACTCATGCTTTTCAAGACTCCCTGTAACCTGATTACCATATTTAATTCCTGATATATGAAGATTTATAAATCTTACCTGTCAACATGATGGAGAAAAGCATTGCAGGGAAGTAATGATGGAAATAGAGCACTCTGCCCATCATGAAGAAAGGAAAATAATGGAGAAACCATCCCAGGATAATCCTTCCTCCACCATGCAGCAAAACTTGAGCAAGCTCTGTAATATATGCATATACCTAAGGATGTTTTCACTGACATTTATTTAACCTCAAAGTTGTATACAGTACAAGCACTGGATCCTTTGAAACATCATAAAAAGATCTAATTCTAGGGAAATATTAAATGCCATAGATTTGCCACATTAAAGGTTCATTGGACAGAATTACCGCTGACACTTCCTTTCTGGTAAGCTTTCAAAAAAAACAAAATAGACCACACTATTAATAATCAGATACAGGGCTTTTTTTGTCATAGAACGCCCAGAACGGAGTTCCGGCACCTTTTTGGGGTGGAACCTTGTAGGGTAGGCAAGGCGGGTTGTATGACGTGTGTGAGTTCCGGCACTTTTTTTTTTTTTTTTACAAAAAAAGCACTGATCAGATATATTTCCTTTATGCATAATAGAAAACATTACAGCACCAAGCTAGATAAAGAAAGCCACTGGAACACTAACAACCATTACGAATAAGTAGACCAAAGAGCATTTTGAAAGCTGTCATGATTCCAGGCAAAAACCAGATGAACTTTCATGATTACAGATCATTCTCAACTCACAACCAGTCGCTTAGTGGTTGTTCAAAGTTAGAATGGACCTTTCAAAAGGTACGTATGACCAGATTCCAAAGTTCCAACAACCATTTCACACACACACACACACACACACACACAAACACACACAATGATTGCATTTTGTGCACTTGGCAAGCAGCCCTCATTTATGACTGTTTGCACTGTCCCATAGACACATGACTATGATTTATGATGTTTTTTTCCTAAAAAGCAACATTTACATCATGTTTTTAGCAAAACTGCCCTATAGCGAACAGTGGGTTTGCTTAATAACTGTTGTGTTAGTTTAGTAACCACAAATTCACTTAATAACCATGATAATTCACTAATCAATCATGACAAAAAAAGTCATAAATTTGGTTTGGTCACATGATAATCCACTTTACAACAACTTATGACCATTTTGGTCTAGTGATTAAGGCACCAGACTAGAACGCTGGAGACCATGCACTCAAGTCCCACCTTAGACCAGAAAGCCAGTCAGGTGACCACTCCCTTCTTCTCAGCCCAACCCACCCTAGAGGTCTGTTGTTGGGGGGGGGGGATAAGAGGAGGAAGGTTTGTTGGATGTGTTTGCTGCCTTGAGTTATTTGTTAAAAATAATAAAGAGGGGATATCAGAAATAAAAATAACATAACATAACATAAAAATAAACAGACTACATTACTGTTATAAGCCAAAGATTACCTGTATCTGGAGAAGTCTTCTCCAGTTTTGTGCTACACACATATATTATGTGTTCCCATAATTCCAAACTCATATGGTCAAAAGTCATAGAATCTTAAATGTTGAAGTCCAATCCAATTAAGGGAAAGTACACAGGTAAAATAATGTGAAGTAATTAAAAAAACTGGAACACTCTAGTTCAGAAGTTCCCAACTGGGGGTGCTCGCACCCCATAGGGGTGCAAGATGATATTCCAGGAGGTGTGAAAACTTGCGTTTTCAAAATTATAGTATATTGCATAATTTGTTGCCGTTATTTTGAACTTTTGTAAGGGGTGCGAGAATATATTAGAAGCGTTCTAGGGGTGCGGGGTATAGAAAAGGCTGGGAGCTGCTGTTCTAGTTAGAGTCATCTGAACATACATTTTTATGAACAATGCAGTCTTGGTGATAAACACTGTATCCAACTAGTAAGGAACCTAAAGTGCAGAATTAATGGAACAAGGAACAGTGAATAATTTTTGATAGCTCTCCAATTTTCCAGTTTTAGTTTTTTTTATTTGCTTTTGGGGATCTCAGCATCAGTGATAATCCCCCTTTTCTCCCTTTTCCAATAATCTCTCTCTGAAGGAAATGTGATATAGCACTGGCTACATGGCATTTGTTGTTTTTAGAGTTCAAAGCAAGAATTTATAATAATAAGAAAATTGGTCTTACCTTTGTGTTCAGCTGTCAGCTGAACTCCTCGCTTCACAACCACTGATATAAATATTATCATTGTAAGATATAATCCAATAGCAATTAGACTCATCCACCAAATCACCTGTTTTTTTTAAAAAAAAAAAAACATTGTAAATAAGGCTGTTCAGTGCAAATTTTTTTCTTGTGTTCAGTTGTGTCCTGTTCTTGGGGACTGCCTGTTCAAGTCCCTGCGGTTGTCTTTTTTTTTTTTAATAAAAAGTTTTTTATTTTCCATTTATTCATACAAAATACAATTCAATTCACAAGTCTTGTCTTGACAAGACTTTCCAGAAGTAGTTTGCCATTGCCTCCTTCCTAGAGCTGAGAGAGAGTGACCGGCCCAAGCTCTTGCAACTGGCTTTGTGCCTAAGGTAGAATTAGAACTCACACTCACCCAGTTTCTAGTCTGATGCCTTAACCACTACACCAAACTGTGTTTTGCAACATAAATTACAAAGAAGCAAAAGATAAGGATTACAATTATGAAGACAAGATTATAAAGAAAACTACTGAAGTGGAATAAACATTCCAGGGAGCTCAAGTCAAAGATGACTCAATCTCAAGATAAAGAACCAAAATTTTGCTTACCGGGTTTCCAAGCAAATAAACTCTATAATCTGTTTCATTGACACCAGAAAAACGCAGACCCTATGGAGAAATAGATGGCTGAGTCAGAAGTGATCGAAGTAGTTCATTTTTAGTTCTCATTTTTTAATTAATTGATTTTCCCTCCATCATAAGAGAAAAAAGTACAGGTAGTTCTTGACTTACAATTATAACTGAGGCCGGAATTATGCTCGTAAATCATTTCAGTTGTAAGTGGAGTCGTCACCTGAATGGATTTGAAGTTATGACTATTTTTCTGCAATGGTGGTTAAGGGAATGCTGCAGTCATTAAGCAAACACTGTGGTCGTTAAGAATATCCGTTTCCCCTAATGGGTGTTTTTTGTCAGAAACCAGCAATAAATGCTAGCAACCAGAAGAAATGTCACAAATCATGGTCACGTAATTGTGTGACAGTGCAAACTGCCATAAAGGTGAGCCAGTTGCCGAGAGCCCAAAGTACAATCGTATGACCTGCAGGTGCGGCTTGCAATTCCAAAAACAGGTTGTAAATAGCTCTGGAGAGATTTGTTGTAAATTCAAATAGTCATTAAACAACCAGTTGTAAGTCAAGCACCACCTGAATTTTATATTTATAAAACAATTCAAGTTTGGGTTTAACTGCAGTGAAATATTTTCCAAGAACAGTTTTGCATGACCTTCATATGTTTTTGCTAACCAGCATTCCAGAAACATCTGTATAAATAACAGCCTCTAAATACAGCAATAAGAACTACCAAAGGAAAAAAAATGAGATTTGGGTGTGCGGATGTTATTTAAACATGCATCCTGTAAATATGCAAAAAGAACTAACAGAAATTCTTCATGCTATTATTTTAAAAACAAGATGAAGACAGCGTTCTTCAACATCGATGCTGATCATATACCTGGTAATTGATTGGCCAATGCCAGGGTTTTGATGTGACTTCATTCTCCTTTGGTTTAAGGACACTATTTCCCTTCAGATGAAATAAAAGGCACAGTTATCAGTTATATTGCAAAACCTTTGTAACTGCCCATATACCATACACACACACACACACACACACACACACACACACACACACACACACATGGATCATTATACCTCTCATATTTAAGAATGAACTGTGCATCTAACTGATTTTATATAATAGTAAATAGTGCATTAGCCACCTCTGGAAATTTTATACAGACATACGTGTACACACAACACATGTTCAATCTTTCACTGCTCTTTTTTACTAAATATCCTATTTTGCCTTCCGGTGGTGACAGCCTAAATCAGCCCACCTTGAGACTGATACCACATTTCAACCAGAAATGCTTTAGAAGATGCACCATAGTGAAAACTATGGAGATTTCTTTTGTTATTATTCTTTATTCTCAACAATTATCCCCAAATAGAAATTCATTAACTTTGCTTTTACACCGCCAAAGTATCCTTATTTTTACAAGAAGAATTATTTCCCCTAAAATGATTTAGAGGGTTCATGAATAACACTAAACCATTATATCATGGTATGTAAATAGTAAGGAGCCCTATGTAATCTTGGGTTGATACATTCCCCGCTCCCTGCTGCTCGTGTAAACTGAAATGAAAAGTAAACAGAAAATTATCTTAGGCAGATTCCTGTCTTCTCCTTATTGACAAACCAGAAATATAAGAAAAGCAAAAAAATAGTTCCAATGCACAGAAATGTAACTATCATCCAATAACTATACTAATCCTCTAATATGGATGGATTTGGGAATATAAATAACTGCCTTATCTAGTACTACACCAATAATAGTTACCATGAAAATGGATTAATACTGAATTGCTTACTAGTAACAGCTCTGACTAACATTTAGAAATTAGAAAATGCTATTTATGAGCAACTCAGAGCAACTTGATTCACAGTCCAAATCAAGCTGGCCAAAGTGAGGATAAAAGGATAATTTGCCTTTTATGACTAAGGTGCTATAAAAGTCTAAAATTAAATACTAAGTTTCCAACTCCTTCCATTCATCAGCAATTCTCTCACCTGCCAAGAAACTCACTCTGTTTTTTAAAAATATTTCCACTTGCTAAAATATTATTAATAAACTATATAAGATAATGTATCTTTCTTTAAATATCTACAGTATATTTTACAGGCATATGCTACAATCTAAAATATATTAATCTTCAGCTTCCCCAGATCATTGAAAGTGTCTTGAAAACTACCGATTAGAGAGACAGACTTACTGGATTGCATCTTTGCTACTTTGGCCCAAACTATTTTTTTAATTAGAATGTTAAAACAATAATGCCTAAACAATCTACCTACCCGGATCATAACCATGTGAGATTCCAGCAGTATTTCTGGAAAGGAAGGTTTCAAAACATCCAAACTGATATTGGGCACTGCAGAAAAGAAGACAAGGTTAAGATGAATCTTATACATTAAATCTGCACAATCATTTTCTCAGTACTCAATTACATTCAGTGGGACAGCATGACTGAAATAGCAAAAATAAACTAATTATGCAATCAAATCTTGAATGGTCAATTTACCCTCAAGTCCTCATTTCACTAAACCCCTGGAACATTAAAACTGAATCATAGCATATTCTACTTTTTGTTTTTCTAAGACTTTGAGATGAGGAAACAAGGGTCACCCTAGTGTAGGCATGCCAAATAATTTAAGACAGCTTTTTTCTGGTATCACTCTCATCGTATACAGAACATGTAGGAAAAATATCCAGTATTTTAAGGACATGTTACAATCACATACATCTGGAATTAACGTGATCTTCAATATTCCAAAGAGTATTTGGAGTTTCCTTCTGATATGGAGTGCAAGTGACTTCCACTTGTTCCCAGCCCCTGTGAAAGACAAATATTTTTAATCAATTTAATCCCAATTTGCTGTCATATATCTTGACTCTTTTCAATGCATCTTTTTGTAGAGATCTTTTCTTCTATAAAAACATTGATATTTCACACTGAAACATCACAAGGAGTTAGAAGGCTGATATTTGTGGTCTGGCCGATACAAATTTCTGTCCCAGATGCCAATACCTGTACACAAATCATCTCATTCTAGCATTTCCTATTACGTAACAGCAGATATAAGCTCTTTTCTTTTTAAAGCCACAACATAATACAAGTATATTAATATAGGAAAATAAAGAATTAAATTAGCTATTCAGGCTAAAGGAAGAGTATGGTTCTAAACTTATATGACTATAAATTAGCTGTTGTTTAATTTAAATTAGAAATTAGAAGACATAATTAGAAGAGTAATGAAAAATGGTCTCTTAAAATAACTGTAAAGCAAAGGTAGCCAATGGTTTAAGACAAAGTTAGCTAGACATTTGAACAGTTACCATTTGGGTAGTGTCTTTCCAGTCGAGCCCAAGATACAGGCTGTTGCTAGATGAATCAATCGTATTTGACTGCGCAGGACTTTGATACGTTTCCCATCCTTTCTTCCTACAACTTCAATTCGCCAGAAATCATTGGAGTCTCCAGTTCCATTCTAGGAAACATAAATTACAGGATGGGGGCAGGGATTTTTTTTCTCTAAATAGCTCAAGTTGACATACATAGGTTAAAAAAAGAAAGAAAATATGCCTGGCTTATTCAGCATTTCCTTTTTTTTTTTTTAACCACACAGAAAGGAAAAACTCAGCATCCTGACTAGCTCCTTGGCTTTTGCACTTATGTATTTTTTGGGTTCTGATTGCATCCCCCAATTACCTTTTAATGCCTGAACCTCTTGAAGTGAAATTTCCCGGCACTCACTACAGAGTCATATGATCACATGGTAAATTGAATAAATTAATAAAATTCTTTAGAAAAGCTAGATGATTTGAGATTCCAAGAAAACAGTATATGAGCTCACACATAAATTCTATGGTGGTATTTCAGTGCTTCAATTTATTAGATATGCTTTCCTCCATATTTTCTTTTAGGAGTTCTATATAATTTTTAAAGCAATATATTATTAACTATAACATCCCTTGTGACTATTTGTTTTTCTATGAAATATCACAGGTTTTGAACAATTTAAAAGCAAGAAAGGCACAACAGAAAAATACAACCCTTTGCTTTAGCAAAATGTTTATTACAGATGGAAAGTAGAATCCTTTTTTCACTTACAATGCCATATCCAGTCACCTGGAGATGTTTCCTTGTCAAGGGGGCTTCATGCTGATGACTGTGCAGATTTCTTGATGTCCTAAAGTTAAAATAAAATTAAATTCTTTGATCCAATTTTTTGGATAATCTGAAGGATGAAAAATATTAAACAAAATGAGAGCAATATAATAATGTTTTGTTAAATATATATCTATTTATCAATATACAAATATCATAATTTCTATAGAGTGCTCATTGTTTTCCATGGAAACAATTTCCATGTTAGCTAGCTGTTATTGCTGCTATATAAAATCAACCAAAGAATCTCTATGGCCTCAATGAAGCTGATCCTAAGCATTTAAAGTTCAAGTATGTAATTTTACAAACAGAATACACATGAAGCACAAAGAAAAGAAATAATAACAAACCAACATTTGCTTCAAAAACTTACTTTATCCATTGCTGGCAGATCAAAACTTCAGTTAGAATAGCTAGTTCAGACAAATCTAGAAAATCTCAAACATTTTTTTCAAATTCCTGTGCAACTTACTCTTTGTGTTCCAGACAGATAATATCTCCATGTTTCACAAACTCCACAGGGAAGGAAAGGTCTGAATAATCTGATGAATAGAAGGGGTCTCAGCATGAATTTGAGAAGAATGGACAAAGACATTAGAATACTAATACCTAAATATATTACCAAAATAATATCAAGAAGGGAAGCATACTTCCCAGCTCTATGATTTAATTCAACTGTAGGGACATTGAATATTTACTTATCTCATTGCCCTGTGACTAATCTGCACTTTTCAATTAATAGCTGGAAGACAAACTGCTTAGACAAGCTAAGTGCAAGTTATGAAATAACCACATTTTTGCCCTAATCCAAATCAGTTAATCCAGTACCAGCTAGACATTTAATCCTTATTTATATGTACCTATTCCTGTACATATTTATTAAATTTATATTAACTTTATCTGAGAAGACTTTTTTACTGTCCCAGTTGTCCCTCTGCTACACTTCCTTTTATGAACGCTCCCCAAATGAGATGTCCAAAACTAGATACCCTCTTAAGTGATTCAAGCACATTCCATTTTACAGCTATGCTTTTCTTTGGAAGAGAGCCAAGATTTAAATATAGCAAATATTTAATATATCTTGAGAAACACCATTGTTATAGGTATGACTGTACATAGTCCTAAGAAAAGAGACATTTTCCCTGAAGAAAAGTAAAATGAATAATATAATCCATTTGGGTGATTTTCAATTTACCTCTATTCAAGTTATATTTCTTTATAATCCATAAGTTATTCAAGTCTTTGTGTAAATATGCAGTGACCTAGGAATACATAAGAGTTATCAGGCTTAATTTCTTAAGAATATTAATGAAACTACACTTCTGTACTCATTATTAACAAATGTGACACTTTACATACTGGATTATATAAAACAAAAATGAAGAAAATAGATTTATCCCACTATTATTCCACAATAATTGTCATTCAAAGTCATGTTGATTTTGATGGTAGTAAGGATCTTAAGTTATCAAGGATGATAAGCTCAAATCATCACAAAATTCTCATGAAGATTAGTTTAGGAGCTTAGGCAATGCAACACTGAAGCCTTCACATATATATATTTATAGACTAAAGAGTGAAAAATGAAGAATATTATAGTATGCCATTAAATATTTATTAATATTTTTTACTGTAAATCAGAACTGCAATCAGAGCCATTTTACACTGGTTACTTAGCCAGTAACATTTTTAACTAAAACTTTGATATTATGTTTTATTACCAAAGTAATATTTAATCATTTGTCGAGACCACTGTCTTAAGGTACCAATACAGAGTGGACAAAATGATTTGGAAGGTTGTGTGTACTCTTCAAGCTCTAAGTTTGAGATTCCTGATTTAGACAGCATAATTAGTAGCCATTTTCTGTCCCAGGAAAAACAAGTTTTGAAGGCCATCGTAGGTAGTTAAAAATAATTAATGTCCAGATGTTTTAGTCAGCTGAATGACTTATGGAAATATCAGTAGAATGATTGAAAATGATTATTTTCACACTTGACTGACCTGCTGCTGCCTTGCTCCCACTCCTTCAGGATACAGGTGCCAGTGGGAGTGAAGGTATCCTCCTGCCATGCGAAGGTTTTTCAGTGTTATCACAGAGCCATATGCTACATCTAAAAAAAGAATCAGGGTTGCATTTGTAACCATAGATTATTGCTTTTTTCTCCTTCTATTCAATTGTGTGTCATTCTCAGAGACTGCCTGATCAAATCCTTGCAGTTTTCTTGACAAGATTTTCAGAAATGGTTTGCCATTGCCTCCTTCCTAGTGATCCTTGTTCAGTAAACTGCTAAACAGATATAAAATAGATCAATGTGTCTAGATAATTCACCCCCATTTTAGCATCTTTCTTGTAATCGTAATGCTATTTGACAACAACTTTATGAGACTCATCAACCTGATTCACGTATCATACTAGCCTACAACTATGGCTTGTTGAATAAGCAGTAACTGACTGTTTTTTTACAAATATGCTATTTGCATAATGTGTCTGGCTTAAGCTTATGCCTTTTAAAATTTAGCATTTTATAAATCAGGGTGTCAAACTGCCAGCCTGCGGGACAGATGCGTCATGCCGAAACCACACCCACCCCATTGCTGGCAATGGAAAAAAAGTCATGATATGTCACGACACGTCACGTGACGTTGCGAGTTTGACACCTCTGTTATAAATGCTAGACTATTATAAATTATTAAGCAAGTCATAACTAAGTCAAACAGTTGTACAATATGAATTCTGAACCACAATCACCACACTGCTGTACAACTTGGGAGTCTACTAGTTTATTCTACTTACTGAGAGTCATAGACATTTGTATGCTGAGTGGTTTTGGATTTAATCTGCTGTATAATAACATATGGCTTTTCACTGAATGATGTTCAAATGAAATACATTTAATCCAATACAGATGTGTGAAATTCAACTTATCAGTATATTGCCCTCCCAGCCTCACTATAAAGTACATAATTTTATACAAAACATTAACAAAAGCATTCTACATGCCCATCACACCTATCCTTAATTGTACATTCCCTTTCCCTAAATCAAACATAACAACGATTATTTTTTTTAGAAATAATTTGGAGGCAGCACATCAAAATATTTCAAACAATACTAGGTAAAATTGCCTTTTAAAAATCTTTTTCTTAAAAATCATTAATTTGTTTTGCTTTGAGCTATCTAAAATGTTTCTAAATAGAGGAAAATGTTGTTTATTAGAATGTAGAGTTATGATGTTTGCTAGAGCATTTGTCCTTTCAATAACCCAGATACTCACATTCTGGAACAGAAACATTATGAAGATTGTTTCCAATGAGCCGGGATTGAAATCCAGAGCTGAAAAAACCATCACCAGGTCCACTGAGGAAAAAAAAAGTACTTGGCCTTTCAGTATACAGTATTATTAAATAAGAAGAAAACGTTACAGCAAAAGAAAACTGCTTTCCACTTCTTTTAGATGTCTACAAGAATCTAATGTCCTGAACCATTAGAACTATCGTTTAGTTTAGACATACTATCAGATCAAGCCATGGTTTAGACCACGGGTAGGCAACCTTGGCTCTTGTGGACTTCAACTCCCAGAATTCCTGAGACAGCATAGACTGGCTCAGGAATTCTGGGAGTTGAAGTCCATGAGTCATAAAAGAACCAAGGTTGCCTACCCCTGGTTTAGACTTTAGAGTTCTTTATAGCCTTTCATTTCCAGAGGCAAAGCAACAGCCAAAATTGTGAATGATCACATCAGATATTGTCCCCAGGTATAATCAGCAATAATCTCAAAGCCTGGCTGGCTCTGCCTCACTATTCATTAAAATCATGTTTAGCCAATTTAAAAATAAATGAAACCTCACTGAAATCAAGCTCCGCAGTTCATGAGGTTTTCTTGGCAGCAATAAACAAGTAGTTCGCCATTCCTGGATGGGTGTTGTTGTTGTTTTTACTTTTCAGGCTACTCTGCATCCTTGAGGTTTTCAATCCTGTTTAGCTTTGGCCTGTTGCAATTAATCAATGTAGATACTACCCTGAATTAAATGTCTTTAAAAAAGGCTTGGTAGTATGGAGAAGATGGATAGATTATATTCAGAAGAAGTATGGGACTATAAAGTTTCATTTATTTTATGAGTAAATTTTATAGTAAATGTTGTATAAGAGATTTGTTTATGATGATGTAATTTAAGGGCAGTTAAGGGCTAAGTATGATTTTTTTTCTCTTTTTCTTTTTTATTGTATATTGTTAATTTTGTTATTAATCACCCTGTACTCTGCTCTGGGAAGTGAGGGGGGGGTTGAGGGTGGGTGAGTGGGTGAGTGGGTGGGTGGGTAAATAGGTAGAATAGGATAATATAGATATGATAATTTATGAGAGAGGTGCTGCTTGGGCGTTTCCCCTACGCTGTATTCCTGTATTCGAGAGGGATGAGAGGGGAGGAAGGTGAAGGGAGGAAGTAGGATGGTAAGAGGAGAAGGGGAGGGGAAGAGAGTAGTGAGGGGAGGAGAGGAAGAGGAGGGAAGGTATTAGGGAGGGTGGATACAGCTTGGGGGGAACGAGTAAGCAGCACCTATGGTTATGGTTATGGTTATGATTATGAATTTATTTTATTTTGTAAAGTGAATTTTGTTGTATAACTATGTTGGATAAATGGAAAATAAAAAAAAAATATTAAAAAAAAGGCTTGGTAGAGGGTCCAAATAAACACTACATCAATTGCAGTGCAGAGTTTCTCAACAGTGTATTTCCTCTCTGACAGAATGAGATACCTTCTGTTTAACACTGCAAAATGAACTGCAAAAAGAGCTGTATAGAGGACAAGAGGCAGTATAATGAGGCAAAGTACACGAGCCAAGAAGTGCTTTCCCAGTGTGACCTGAAATAAAAAAAAAAATGGATGCATCAACTTTTAGGCAAGATTTTTCTTCATCCAAACAAGTTATCTACATATTTTTCCAGTGCTGAAGCAATAAAGCCGCAAGCCTGAATTGCTTAGTCTTAAAATTAGATGGAACAAAGCATACTCATTTTTTTAAAAAAAAACCAGCTCCATCTGATGTAGTATCTTCTCATAGTAAATCATGCCATGAGTACCTTAATATGGCACCAGAACAGAAAAGTCATATGTCATTTCAAAAAAAAATTGATTCAAAATAAACAAGAAAACTTTTGGAACTGTACATATGAACTGTGTGTACCCCCCCACCAAATTGCATGGCATCTATTTAAAAAATAAATATATTAATTAATCCAAAATTTGTTATTCGTTCAAACTTCAGTTTTTTCCAAAATAAGATTTTCTGATAAGGAGAGCGATTTGGATTGCAATTTTCCATGTTTATTCAATATATATTATTCTTGAGTACAGATTTGCACTGTTATTTCAAATTAAAAATATAAAAGAGTGTACTATTATGCTTCTATCCTATATATGTAGAAAAGTAGTTCTCACAGAGAAATTATTTCTAGCATTGTTTGTTACATACCAAACTAAAAACAATTCTGGACAAAACAGATAATATTTTCAATCAAGTTCAAAATAGGTTTCTGAAATTACTTATTTTTAACTTATTTTTACTTATTTTTAAAACTCCAAATACTGTGACATACAGTATTTCCTTGTGTTTACATTTATCTATGTGCTACCCAGGGAAAACAAATATATACTGGCTAAAACTAAATCCAATTATTCAATACTGTAGTACATATTGTCAAATAACCATGCATGAAATGCTGTCCAAATCCACTATTTCCCGCTCATCCTTCAACTCTGTCAACTTATATTGTTATTGCAAGAGTTTCTTCTTGGCTTATCTAAGAATGCAAATAGCAGAAAAGGATTACTGAGCAAACTGAATACCCTTTAGTAGGGAGATAATTAATAATCTCAATGTAATGCTTTTTCAGTTTAAGTAGTGAAGGGCTGAAAAACAGTTATTCTGCCAATCCTTTTTATTAGCTTAGAATATAAAATATAAAAATACAAAAGCAAATAATAGGGAAAATAGGGGAGGGAAAAGGAAAGAGAAAAGTGCAGAGAAAGGGAGGGGGGGGAAGGCACTGACTTCTGACTCCTTTTGGTGCAGTAAAATAAGAAGTAACATCAAACCTCAACTTTTTACTTTTACATAATAGTATAAACTAGCCATTTCTATAACAACAAATCTATCTAATCAGTAAAACCCAAAATCAAAGTTTCATTTTTTTTCTACTTCAAGCACAAAGTCCAAAAGCGGTTTCCGAGTAGAAATAAAAGTAATTGTGTTTTTTCTTTTATCAAAGCAGTCAGTTTAGCCGTCTCTGCTAATCCTGATCTAGAATTATACACTGCTTTGCACAGTTTAAGATTCAAAGAACTGTGTTGGTAACAGTGCGGCTTGAATTTCTGAACAGTCATCTGCAAGAGGAGTTTTAAGCAACATGGATTTGCAATTAATACAAATTAGAGTAGTTCTTTTCAAAAGCTGAAACACACATGCTTACACTACATGTATTTTAATCAAGAAAATAAATCACACAGTAGAAAAAAAAGATCACATTTTCATATATAAAAGAAATAGAAACAATTGATAAAATAACTTTACACTGAAATATTCACAGAAGAAGGCTTTCAGTAAATAATATGTGCCAGAAAGCCTCCTCTCTTGCTGTTAAGGAGGGCCCAATTTAATAATGTCTATTGTCAATCTCAGCATATTTCATATTTAACTTCTCCTAAGCATTGCATAGAAATAATTTACTCTCTAGAAATAATTTAAGTTCTTTCTACCATGGCAAGCTATTTATGTCCAGAAAACAAACTCTTAGTGATGAATGGCTTGAAGTTTTCTTCATCTTTAAAAAAAACTAACTCTGTCTGTAAAGGCCATTAAATCCATCATGCATAGCTATAAACCAGCAATTTATTGTGTACAAAAGTCCAATTTGTAGGCTGAAATCTTTATTGCTTCACTAAAGTTCAAATGATTCCAGGCTTCTTCCCCGGCTCCCCAACACATATCATAGCTTATTAAGGTAACCAATTAAAGGCAGTTCATCAGTAAAATTTGTCATATAAAATCACTTGCAGAACTTTACACATGTCCTTAAATTTGGATTCGCAGTAACAATGCTAGATATGTATATATAAAGAATAACAGAGATGGAAGGGACCTTGGAGGTCTTCTAGTCCAACCCCCCCATATTTATATATAAAATAGTTCAATATCGAATAAAAATAAAAAAATAAAGCAATCCAGCGAGCAATATTGTCTTGGAATGAACTATAAAAATCTTGATTTCAGTAACCTAATTGACATCTTACAATTTTGTGGTGTGTTGTTAAGAATACAATCTTTTTCATACAAATGCTAAAATCTAACTCACCAGTGATAGACTAAGGTCTCCCAATAACTGCCAAAGTTCACAGATAGTATTCAGGCCAACCAGAAAGACAACAAAAAGGCCAACAAATTTCACCCCCAATGCACCAGCGAGGTTCACCCCAGTCAAACACAGCCAGAACCACCAGGGGGCAGAAAAGCATCTGTAAAATATGTGGTTTTTGTTCAAAATTCATATTTTTGAAAAACGTTTTGTTCAACAATCTATATAAAAATATATTTTATTTATAAAGGATCCCTGATGGAAAAAAAATAACGCTGAAAACAGATTGGTTGTGAGACACTGAGATATAGTACGAAAGAATTGTATTTAACCTACAGAGAAGAGGGTGATATCAATAATTCATAAAGATAGAACCTGGTTCCAAAAATGCTTTTTCCTAAAAGGCATTTTTGCCCTCCCAGGTATTTTGGACTACAGTTCTCAACAACCTTGGTAGTACAGCAAAAATAAGGCCATGAATCTTAGGTGTTGGACGAAAATAACAGTGCTACAGAAGTACATATTTAAGAAGTTTGTTCTAGAACAGCCTTCTCCAACCTGTTATTTTCCAAATTTCCTCTGAGAAATGTAGGAATTGCAGTTCCAATAAACACAGAGGACACCATTTTGGGTAAAACAGTAATCTTTCTTTGGAAAATTAAAATTTCTCTATAATCATATATAAAGGAATATGATCAGTTATTGTTATCAGATCAATATGATTAATTCTCCTTCAACATGGCTAATTTTTTTATACTACCTGTAAAATTAGGCAGAATTTGATTATGCACTGACAAATCCATCACCAATTGTAATGTTTTGTTTTTGTTTCATATTTAATGGTATTTTTGTTTGTAATTATGTCCATGACCTTAATAAAGTAACCATAATAAAAAATATTCATTCACAACCTGATCTAGAGAGATTATCTAAGCATCAACTTACTATAGTGGTTTCAGGTTGCTAAAGAAAGTAACCAGGAATATGCTTGCTAAAGGATTTGAGTCTTTTCTATGTACAGTATACACAGAAAACATAGCTATAACTAAAAAATAGTATCTCGCTATGCAGCAACAAGAAGGCTCAGATTCAAGTACCCACTTAACCACATAAGCTCATGGTATCCATATATTTTCTAAACCTCTTTGTCTTTTTGTCACAGTCTTTTTTCCAAATAAGCACACTTAAGACTTAAGATTAATTCTATTCATCTACAACCCGGAAAAAAAATCATCACACCCCCACAACTTCAGGCTGCCAAAGTAAGCAAAATTCTCTGATAAACTATCCTAACAACTTTCATGGCTTTATTACTATTACTAATTTATTATTACTAAAAATATGTAAGTATATAAGCACTGCTCACTGGAAAGCTGACAGCATTTCTTGATAAATGCAAATAATAAAAGGCACAGTATAATGATGTACTTCGATAATAAAGATTTTGAGAGAGAATAAAAGTAGATGAGAAACATGCAGTAGTTCAAATCGTAAAACATAATGTTTTTTAAACAGTGCCAAAAAGCTGTGATCTAGTATCCAATAAATAGATAAACCAGAGATCCAATAAACTTAATAGATCATTCTGTATCACCACAAGCATCCTCTTTCTAGTAGCTATCCTTTTTACTTTACTTGGCAGGGGGCAAGTAAGACAGGGTCTTATTAAAAGCTTCTATAAATTGATTAGAACCCATAGAGCCTACCACAACAGGAAGCAGAGACTGCCCTTGATTTTCACAACTTTTCAGTATCATATGATCACTTTTATGGGGTGTTTTAAAAATACAACAGTGACATAGCAGCAAATTATAGGATAATAACACTAATAATCTTATGAAAGCAATCTTTCCATTTGAAACAAAAAGTTTATTTGCCAACCTTATGTGCTGTTAATTTCAGCAATTGTACTATGGGACGCCAAATGTTTACAAATTGAGGGTGGTCTACTTTACATACATATTCTTTTTTTTTTATTCGTTTCCCTTCTTTGTTACATTTTAATATGTAATTGCTTTATGTTTTATACTGTAAGTATTCTGCAGAGCTCTTTCGAGTCCTGATGCCAGATTAAAAGTTACAATGAAAATAAATACAAATACTCTGTAATAGAGACAAGGGGCACATGTCTAATTCCTAAGATGATCAAATGCTGTCATCTTACCTATCTGAATAGGAATTATATTTAACCATACTGAGTACAGCTCCCATGAGGAAGAACATCAAAATGGGGTCAAGAAGAATGTACTGTGAGATTGTAATGAATCCAGTGTCTGAAAAAAATAAGACAAGCATATACTAGCTTTGTCATTCAAATTCTTTTAGCAATGCTTATCGAACATAATCATACTGAATTCTAAAAGTAAATTTGTGATGTGCAAAAAATGCCATCCAAACATTTTCATGTTAGAGACATTACTGTACTTAGAAAGACGATTCTGAACCTAAGATGAACACCAACTCACTCACTCTCTCTCACACACATACCTACATACATAAAGGCAAGACAGAAAAAAGATGACTGCATCTCAGTGAATCTAAAATAAACCTGTTATTTCAAAGGTGAATTATTTTGTGAAAAAAATCTAGCTTTCTTTGAGGGGAAATATTTATTATTTATTAAACAAATTTATAAAGCTGCCCAATTTACACATACTGTAGGTGATTCTGGGGGGCTTACAATAATTAAAAAAAATCCACCATATAATAATCACCCATTTTTTAAAAAAACTCACCCCATCCCCCAATAGCTACAACACTATCAAATCAGCCACTTGATTGATTCTGTCTTTGTAGTTCCTAGGCCTGCTAACAAAAAAACATATTGGAAAAGCAACAATGTGGGGGCCAACTATACCTCAGAGGGAATGATGTTCCATAAAGAAGGTGCCATCACTGAGAAGCATTGAGTCTAGACTTCTATAAAACTGTTCAGGCCGCTATTTTCTGAATTAACTGAAGTTTCTGAATACTCTTCAGGGGCAACCCCATGTAGAATTCATTACAATAGTCCAGATGGGAGGTGACCAGGGCCTGAGTGACTGTAAGAATGGCATGCTTATCCAGGAATGGGAACAACTTGCACACAACACAAAGTTGTTCAAAGGCCTTCTTGGCCACAACTGCCACCTGCTACTTGGGCAAAAGTCACGAGTCTAGGAGAACCCCAGATTATATACCAAACTATGGATTTTTTTTGAAGTGTATGTTTTGTTTAACTCCTTTTTTATTTTTCATATTTTACATGTCCCCTATTTAGCTGGGGTTTTGTCTTTTTAGACATTAATGCTATTTTTGATATTTTTCTTTCTGTGTTTTTGCATCCTATAATCTTTATTGATTTTAATGTAATCTCATTGAATCTTTCACAATAGAGAACACAGACCAAGCCATACAAAACAGTTGCTTACCAAAAATCAGGATGGTAGCAGTGATTATTGCTGCAGGCAATGATCTGGACAGCTCCAGCACAGTGAGGTAGCAGAAGGGGATCAGACATGAACCAAGGAAGGCACTGAACTGAATAAAAGGGAAGAGAAGCATTCTTCACAAGGTTGTTAAGATAATTCGGCTTTCCTTAATGTCTGTTTGTGGGAACTTGGTTGGGAACATCCCAAATGGCAATCACATGACCTCAGTAAACACATGTTGGTTGCCAAACGTCCAAATTTTGATCATGTGACCATGAAGATGCTGTGACAGTTGTAAGTGCAAGGAATGGTTGTAAGTCACTTTTTTCAGTGCTACTATAACTTGGAACATTCACTAAATGAATAGCTGTAAGTCAAGGACTACCTGTACAGTTAGCCGGTTATTTCCCAGAAATTCAGCTACCAAAATTCTTAATTCCAGTTTATGTTCTGTTCTGCCCCCCATCTCTCTTCATTGATAACAACTTTAAATTCTGCTAATGCAATAGTTTCCTAATTTCACAAAGTGAGAAAATATTATTGATAGCAATAGCACTAAGACTTACTGTGTTTCCCCGAAAATAAGACTCAAGTCTTATTTTATTTTATTTTATTTTGCCTCCAAAAGAGACATCAGGTCTTATTTTCCGGGGGTGCCTTTTCCACTTACCTCATGGTGGCAGCACCAACAGCCCACTTCTTTTGCGGCCGAAGGAACAGCTTCATTCAGCAGCTGAGAATGGAGCTCTAGCCTGCATTTCCCTGTCAGAGGCCTTCTGGAAAGGGCTCTGCAGCTAAGAACAGAGCTACAGATTGAATCCATAGCTCGGTTCTCGCTGCAGACGCCTTCCAGAAAGGCCTCTAACTGCAAAATGTATGCCACAGAAGAAGTAGGCCGGTGAGAAGAGGCAGGTGTCCATTCATGGGAGGTCTGATAAGTGGGTGTGGGGTGCAGAGAGCAGCTCCACCCTATTCCCACCCTAGCTTGATTTTTAGGTGTATGCCTTGCCCCAAAACTAGAGCTTATTTTTGGGGTAGGTCATATATTAGGCCCACCCCAAAAATCAAGCTAGGGCTTATTTTCAGGGTAGGTCTTACTTTCAGGGAAACAAGATATATATCACTCCACTGTGCTTTACAGCTCTCTCTGGGCCATTTACAATGTCAGCATATTGCCTCCAACAATCTGGGTCCCATTTTATGATTTTGGAAAGAAGGACGGCTGAGTCTACCTTGAGCCTGTCAGGATCAAATTCCTGGCTGTGGGCAGAGTTAGCCTGCAATACTGCATTCTCACCACCAAACCACCAGGGCTCTATCTATTGATCCAAGCCATATACTCGCTGTTCAATACACTATCCAATTAAATGTGAATGGAGTCTCTGTGTTTAAAAAAAAATTGAAGGATGAAATTTGTTCTGCTAGGCACTGCATACTTTAGATACAATTCTCTAATTTTTCTTCTTCATTTGTTTTACCTCATACATAACCAGGTCTTCAAATACTGAATCCATTCCTTAATTCTATTCACTCCACTCTAACATCATTAATATGTGTGCCCCAAAGTAGCCAAACTGCTTACAGATCAATCGGCTATATTGTTATACTTGCACAAGAAAAGTGCAGGAATAAAGATTGGCATGCTTGAAACAAATAAAGCTCCATCGTAGGTAGATTTAATTCATATTAACAGGAGGATCAACTGAAATGATGGGCATCACAAATTAAGAATTTGCTAAAAAAAAATTGAAGTAACTTTTTAGAGTTCCCTCAGGATAAGCAACAGTACATAAATAAAATAAATATTTTCATCTCCCTTATTTATTCCTATACATTTTAAAACTTTAGCTATAAATTTTATTTCATGTTAACATGCAGCAAACTATTTAAGAAATATTTTTTTTAAAAAATGAAGTTTATATTACAGGCTATTTCAAAATCTCTTCTTAAAAATCTAAAGTGGCTCTAACATTTCTTTGCACCATTAGTAATTCAGGAAGCTCCTAACAATAGATGCTACCATCATACCAGTCTTCTAGAACATGTTTGCAAGAAGAAAGAACTGATAGAAAAAAGCTGTTCATCCCTGAATTAAGAAGTTTTCCACAGATAGAAGGAGTATCAGACAGAATAAATTCTGGCTCTAACACTTATTAGAAGTAAAAAGAGAAACATGCTACTGTTCTCCAAAGATATATTTATAGTCTTACTGCTCTCATTCCTATATAGTTATGTTGTTCATATTTGTCCCCAGGCTTCTGGAAAGGAAAAGTCCCATCATAGCCACTCAGATAGCCAGCAAGTCCTATTAACATCTAGGGACAAAAAGGAACGATATTAGTAAAGCAGAAGACAATTCAAAAGTTTATCATATCAAATCAAATAACATTTGATAAGTAAATAAAAAGTATTGTCTATAGCTCATTACTTTCAAAAATGAACCTTGTGCTTAAGTATGTTAAGCAGGAGTAATGAGAATGGAAGAAAGCTATTGCTATCATGACCTCCAAGGTCCCTTCCAACTTTATTATTTATTATTATTATTAACTTATAGGCAAGCATCAGATCAAAAACATTAACAAAAGCCTAGACCAGAAGCAGTTAAATTAAGGAAGATGAAATTTAGTCATAGATTACAATGGAAGCTAACTGATATAAAAGGTAATAGCATAGATAGAAAACAATGAACAAAGTCAATCTATTTCTAATAGTTGTCATTCCAAAACATATAATGAAAGTATATAGTAGGCATGCCAATTAAAAAAAAATACACTATAAATACTGGCCCTCCTAGTGTTAGGAATTCTGGCATCCCAAACTTCCTATATTATAAAATTTTATCCATGACAAAACTCTGTAAATTCTAATTGTTAAACAAAATGTTAAAAAAATAGGATACATTTTCAAATCCAAAACATAATGGGTGAAGGCAGGTCAAAAAATTAGATTTAGATTCATATTCATTTTTAAAAATCAGAATTTTGTATGATTACTCTCTAGTCAGTTACTGAATACTTTCCTCCTTTTGTCACATTAAGAACTGCAATTTAAAAGCAAGCTTCTGTTAGACTGGAACAGCACTAAGGTTTTTAGAGTTGAACATTTTTGGAATAATAGTTTATGATGTAACACTAAAACCTTTCAGACTTAAACTGATCTGTCAACTTTGAAAGAGATTGTTTCTCATGTTCAAGCTAAGAATGAAAGAGCAGCCAGATAGCAAGACCCAAGTTATAAAACCAAAACAATTAATTTTAAAGACTATCCACTGAAGTGTTTATAATGCTTACAGGAAGTAACAATGTTCCACCAAAAGTATTAACTAAATTAACTAAATCTCAAAAAGTTAAAATACTACAGTAGCTTTTTACCTTCCCCAAAGGTGGATGGACATCAAAGAAAAATGTCCGGTTAATATAATAACTCCCCATCTTTCCAAAATGTGTTTCATCCCAGCTATAAAAAGACAAAAGTAATGTCAGTTCATTATCAGGATTTTAACTTCATACTTACATTTTTTAGTCTTCTTTACTTTTAGTTTATCAGAATGATGAATTCTTAACAGTTCTGCATGTAGTTTATGAAAAAAAGCACCTGATCTTTCCACATTAGTTTCTACTAAAGGCTAGGTAAAGAATTCTCTTTGTTCATATTAATTTATATGATTCTTTAATTTTACAAATATGCAACTCCATTACACTGACTTTCACCACATATCTTCATTTCCTTCAAAATACGGTGCACAATTAAGCATCTCTAAAATGTACAAACTTGCTTCTAGGAAGCTGATATGCTCAGAAAAATTAAAAATTGAGATTTGTGATCATAGCTTTTGTAAGCAAATCTTATAACCAAGATATACATGAAAACAGAAAACTAATCATACGTTGCTGTAAAAGTATTGTGTCCATTTTGGAAAAGTTCACACTCCAATTCATCCTGATAAAAATAAATCAAGAAAGTTTATCCCAGCTATTTAATCCTATTTATAATTAGACGAACCTAAGTCCATTTTAAGGCATAGGCTTTGGTATGAATAATTCTACATTAGATCACTCTTATTTTATTTTTATTTACTTTATTATAATGCTTACAGGAAGTTTGTAAACATTATAAGGTTGAAAGCATTATATTTTATCGCAAAAATGACAAATGGACAAGAACCAAGCAAAGAGGCATCATTCTCCCTTGCCAAATGCCTTAAAAAGCCCTTCAAAATACCTGCAGGGTAAGGGCTGTCCAAATCTAGGTGAAAACCTCATTTCAGAGGGCAGATGTTGCTACAGAGAAGGTATGCTTCCAAGGTCCTGAAATGGCACTCTGTAATTAAAGCAGGGGTCTTCAAACTTGGCCCTTTTATGACTTGTGGACTTCAGCTCCCAGAATTCCTGAGCCAGCATGCCTGGCTAAGGAATTCTGGGAGTTGAAGTCCACAAGTCATAAAAGGGTCAAGTTTGAAGACCCCCTGAATTAAAGGAATCTGTTGTGCAAAATCCCTGCATGATTGAATTGGCCAGGCAAATACTATGAGGCAGTACCACATAGAACCAGGCCTTATGCCATTTACAGTAACTAACAGCAGAGATGGACTAAATTGCAGGACTACTTACAGTAGTCAGTATGCCATTAATGACAGCAAGAAAAAGGACTACTGCTGCATAGATTTAAATGCCATACCTCAAAATTCTCTACACAAAGTACCCTCAATAAAAAATATTCTAGAATGGACTTGCACAGATATTTATCACATTTAACATATTAACACTTCTTTTACTACAGAGCCAATGCTTGACCACAGAAACAAACAATGCTTGATTACTGAGACAAATTCTGTTCATTTTCTGTGTATTTTCATATTTCTTTTGTGATGTTTCTAAGAGTGCAACAAAGTGCCTTGGAAAATGTACAATATTGCAGATAAACAGAAGTGCAAAGAGCTTGGTCATTTCTTTGTGTCAAAAACGGTGTTCTGAATCCTGATATATTTGAATTTTGCTTAACCAGATCAGATTCTTGTATTTGATCCGTTCTATGTTGACTGTTCTATCCTCTACATTATGCCACGTATTCAGGCTTATATCCGGACTAAACTAAAAGCCAAGACTGCATCTTCACTCAAATAAAGCTACAGGGTACCTTTGGACTACAGTAGTGGCCAAAATTGTGGAAACCTTTTGGGAAAAGTGTATTTTTGAGGTTTGATGGCTAATAACACTCTTTTTTTGGAGTAGTACCATAAAATTATACATCAATGGAAAGATAATTTAATCAAGAATGTAATGCAACAAAGTTTGTTCAATTAACTGTACTGTATTCTATGAAAGGTTATAGCCAAATAACCAGAAAAAGGAAGCACAACTTGCTTAGGTTGATATCAAGTAGCTTTCCTTCATCTGATTGTAGCCAATGAGCATGAGTGTTTAGAGAGCAATCAGGTGTCATATTGTTTTGGCAATGAGCCAATCAGATCACAGTAGGATTCAGTTATTGATGTCATGTATTGAAGCTGAGAGGACATTTGTCAGCGTGTTATGTGATCACTATCAAGTTGGTTGGGTTTTTTGGTGTTCTTTCATTTAGTGAGCTTTGTAAAACATAATAAAATTAATGGTGCAAAGAGTTGACTGGTTGCCCAGAAAGTGATGTAAAATAGTATTATTAAGTGAACAAGGCTTCAGTTATAAAGAAATTAGAAGAAAAATTGGTGGAAACTTAACCAAAGGTGGCATTTCTACTGTACACTTTTCCCAAAAGGTTTCCACAATTTTGGCCACTACTGTAATTACTCCAGTCCAGACTAACCCAACTCATTAAGGTTGTTAGGAGGACAAAAATGCAAGAGAATGATGTATGCACATGGAAAAAGAACAGACCAAAAATACTACTTTTGTTTATATTCTGCCTTTCAGGGCAAAGGACCCCAAGGCAGGTTAACCAACAAGTAAGTGCACAAGTGACCTGGAAACAATCAATCTTCAATCTATTTGAAGTGAGTTCCAATGCAAAAGAAAAAAACCCTCTCTTCCACCGCCAAGTTCCGCCTCTAAAACAAAGCCCCGCCCCCATCGCCATGGTATCCCGCAACCCAATACCAGATGTGCGGCGGCTCCCGCAGGCGGTAGAAACGCGTAGCAAAGCTTAGGAAAGTGACGAAGGCGAGGGGGCTCCAGAACCGCCTGGGACTCGCGCGGATGGAGGGAGCCAAGACAGGAGCACTCGCCACTCTGAGTGTTTTTCGCTGCCGGAGGCCCAGCACAGCCGGGCAATTCTTGTTCGTTGCTAGTGGCATTCGCGCCCTGATGGGAGACGCCTCCCGTCGGCTCCCGTAACCGGGAGCAGCGCATCACGGGAAGTAGAGTCCATTTCGAGAGGCATGTTGGGCAAAAGGGTCGGGTATTTGCACTCACGTGAGAGAAGCAGAAAACTGACTTTTGTACAGCATTGTGGGAAATGTAGTTCTTGAAATATGGCTATGTACTCCTATGAAGTTAAGCCTCAGAACCAATTTCCATCGGCATCAATGAGCTTGCTCTTTATATTGTTAGGGTCATAGCCTAGTGCCTTAATTTTGTTGGACTCAACAAAACCTTCAAAACACTCTTTTGCTTATCCATCTGTGCTCAAAGTGCGCCAGTGACATCTCTTTCCTGGCTGCTATATCTCTGAGCACTCCAAGTGCAAAAAATAGGGCACTAACTTTTTTTGTATGCCCGTTATAGGAAGAATTGTAATTTAGATCTTGCTTGCCACTTGTATTCAGTGAAATGACTTTACCTAAGTTTGCCTTTAATAAACAATTTGGTCCAATGGACTTTTCATTTAAAAAAAATCCTCTTATAAAAAAAATAATGTGCTCATTTCATATAATCAGGAAGACATGAAAGGCCGTGCCAAGATTTTATGTGCTGTCATTTGAGTAACGGCTCAGTTGGATTGTCACCTAAATGTAACTTGAAACTTAGACTCAATATCCAAAATACACAAGGCACAATGTTTTTCAGTATTATATAGAGTATATGTGACAATAGTTTCAATGCAGACAGAAATTATTTCTTGCAACCTAGTTTATTTAGAATTTTTTCAGGCCATTTACTTGAATATTCCTGGATGCTTAGTCAATTCTTTTTTTAATTGTTGTTCTTTGAATCACTGTAGGAGCACAGCCATATTAGTCTATGTAGTTAACCCAAATGTAGCCCAAAATCAGGATTCTGGAAGTACCTTTTCAGATATGCTGACAATTTGAATAAATAAAATTTGTTAGTCTCAAAAAGTGCAAACTCCTTCAAATCCTTTCCTGCCAATTCTTTGTCCCTTGCCTAGCTATGATATTGCCTGCTACCATGTGGAAAGATTACAGTATAATAAAGTACATGAGTGTATGCAAAGGGAAGATTTCACGTAAACTTTATAGAAGTAAATTTTAAATTTAGAAATTTAGATTTTATTCTGTTATTTTTATATCCTTAAGCTTCCTCATATGAAAAATATCCAATACATAATTATAATTTCACAAGACCATAGGTATTGTTTGAACTATCTACTGATTAGGAGCCTTTGCCAGTCTCAATCCCAAGAACAATACAATCAGCCATGTTCTTCTTGTAAGACTCTCAAACTTTATTCTGTGTAATGAAATCAAGTGCATTTCTTAATAGTGAAAAAAGGACAGTGATAAAAATAACACGGGAGAGAATCAAGAAAAATAAAAGCTTTCATATTACAATGCAGGAACCTAATGAAGAAGGTTGCATTCACTCCCAATTGGTAACATATTCACTAACCTAAGCTATACTAAAATACATAATGCTTCTGAGTCATTGACCCAGAGGGGCAACCCTAGCTTTATTTGTTTGTTTGTTCAATTTCTATTAAAAAGATCATGGCATATTATTGATGCTGCTCTTCAAAATTACAGAGAAAAGCTGGGAAGATGTGAAACTACAACTCCCACAATCCCAACAATTCGCCGGAACGGGGTAATTCATTGAGTCCGTAGAATCTAATACTAATATTACAGCGCGGAACGTGAGGCGTCCGAGCTTACGCCCATTGTTAAAGGAGCCTGGCTCCCTCCTCCCAACGAGATACGTGTCAATGGGGAGAGTGCGAGATGTGTGCCGCGTTAGCAAAGGTATTGTTACTACCGCCTTCCTTTCCCCGGCAGCTGCGCGGATAAAAGAACACGATATAGTTGGTTTCTGCCGTCCTGAATACTTCTTTTAACAACCTGACTCCAGTTTCATTATCCCACTTAAGAGTTAAAAGAGTTTTAAATTAAAGAGTTTAGTAGTTAATCGTTAACTTAAATATTTAAGATAATAACGATAGTTAAACTGCTCAGACGAGATTAATATTGATTCTGAAGTCCTTTAGAACCGTGACTAATCTTTGCATGCAGTTGAATGAGGGTGTGAAATCTGAAGCCAGAGGTAGAGGTTGGAGCATATTTGGGGCCATAAATAAACTAATAGGAAATGCAATTCCTAGAATTCCTAGAATCCAGTTTTTCTATACCAGGAGTGTCAAACTGCCGGCCTGCGAGGCTACCCCTCCTTGAGTTGGTACAAATCAGTGCCAGTAAAAATGTATTACTCATCTTACCTATTGACATCCCTATCCTTCATTACTGCCTTTGCTCTGTCCTGGATTTCTGGTTTGTATAGGAAGATGATGATTTTTTTTTCTTTGGCTTCTCTGCCCTCCCCCTTTATTATATCTACAGCCAGCAGAGAAAACCTCTACCAGTTGACCAATGAAACACAAATTAAATGGGTCCCCTTTCAGGGCTATTGACTGCCTCTCCTCCTAAAGACAATTTGGGCATCTCCCAAGAAAAATAGACACACACGCACACAAAAAAAAGGATGCTACTAGAGCCAAAATAGCTATAGGAAAGAGAAAAGCAGATCCCGCTATGGTTGTGCAATTAGATAGTTCTGTAGCAATTGTTATGTGCTATTGAGTCAGTGTTGGCTGCTGGTGACTGTGTGGACAGGTCCCTGCAGTTTTCCCTTGCAAGATTTCATAAGTAGTTTGCCATTGTCTGCTTCCTAGGGCTGAGAGGGAGATATTGGGCCTGGGTGACCCAGCTGCCTTCCTGGCTCTATCTTTTGTGAAGCTAAGAACTGGAACTGACCAGCTGATTTCTTTGGAGAGGAAAGAAAGTGAATGTACCTGACAAATGTCTCCAAACTGGCAAATAAAAGCAAAGCCCAGTGCATAATGTCATTTACTATTATCTAAATGTTGCTGTGAGAAAAAGGAGGACTGCTACATCCAAAATAACAATACATTTTAAAGTGCAGGTAAATCAGAATAGGGAAAAAACTTGACTTTCTCAAGTGAAATGGGAGATGAGGGTTCTGCTTTCTTTGTCGCTGCTAAGAGACCTTGGAGAAAAAGTGATATCAAAAACATGTGGGGTAGAAGGTGAGTAGACTTAAAATATGTACATAGAGGTGTATCACACTATTCCCTTTCCCTTCTGTGGCATTATGCAGAATGCAAAAGTAAAGTGCTAATGGAAATGGCAAAGGCCTGAGAGAAATGGCTGAGATGCAAGCTGGTTAGTGACAGGTAGGAATGACTGTGTATGTTCCTTCCAAGCCATCCTTAGCATAGGCTACTTCTAGCCATAGCCACAAGAGTCAGTGACTTTTACGCTACGATTTTGGCTTCAGAAGCAATCATTTGACAGTATCAAACTGAGAGGAGAAATACTATAATACCAGTGAGGCTGGGAGATGAGATAAAGGCAAAATTGTGGAGCCAGGCAGGAAGATTAGAGTTGTGGTGTATTCCTGTTAAAATATAAGTGGAATCAACAATATTTTATTCAACTAGTCTCAACCTTTAGTCACGATTATAAATAGGGGGATTTTAATTTCATTTGTGCCTACTCCTTCAAAAACAGTTTAGTGGAATTATTTTAACAACCTTATTGAACATCAAAATGAACTGGTGAACTGGTCACTAGTAGGTAACTAAGGTATAGTAAATGGGCATGCTATTAAGCACTTAGTAAAATCATTTGCTTTTTCCAGTAAAGGAAAGCTATTATTGATGGTTTCTACATTTCTGGGAGAAGCAAGAAGGTTGGCAGTATGAAGAAGCATATTTGCTTTGTGGCAATTTTAACATAGGCAGGCATATACAACATTTTGTGTTTGGTGGATGTAACATGACCATCACTACCAATCACAGCTTGGCCGCAAGAACACCTGAGGACTCTGGCTAAGTCTTCTAGCTGCAAACCTTCCAATGTTTTCCAATGGTTATCTCACTTAAACTTGGTGTAAAGACTGTCTATAGTTAAAATAAATCTGAGAGAAAACTTGTAAAAAAACTTACCAGAAGATTCCCTCTCAAGTTTATTCCAAGCAAAAATGGTCATTGCATCTGGTTTGCATGTACCAGTTTCCCTGCTGGTACATGAAGTGGAAATGGCTGTTTGCAGCCATGGAACCAAGAAGAGGAATCATCAAATATCATGGAACTAAACTACATTTGGCAGTTGATGTATCATGTGAATATGCCCAGTTAGATTCCAACAGTATACAGTTTTCTATACAGTAGAAAAGAAAATGGATCCTACAATAAAGATGGAAATGCTAGGCCAACAAGTGAAGATTGAAGTACACACTTGTGAATGTGCTAATAGCGTACAAATAATGATAGTCTATATCAGGGGTAGGCAACCTTGGCTCTTTTATGACTCAAGGACTTCAACTCCCAGAATTCCTGAGCCAGCTATGCTGGCTCAGAAATTCTGGGAGTTGAAGTCCATGAGTCATAAAAGAGCCAAGGTTGCCTACCCCTGGTCTATATGAATCAACCTATGTATTATGTTGACTGGAATGAATAAATGTCATGAAAACAAAAGGCAATGCATCATAGTTTTAAATTTATAAAATTAAATACATAGCCATTTTTTTAAAAAAAATCAAGGCACATATCCTTGTTTAAATCTATAAATAGTTATCTTGTGTGTGATAAATTATTATTGTACTTTATGGATTATCATGAAAAAAAAATTATATGGTTATTAGAACCCTACAGTAGCTTGATGGCATATAATGAATCAAAGGGTTCTTACGTTTAGTCAAATCTGTCAGCTCTCACTGCTTTCATTAAAATGGCAAAAATGTCCTTGAAGCGTATATTCTGTGTCACAGTGCATGTAGAAAAGGAGCAGGACTTATGTTGCAATGTTGCTTGCATTACTCTGATTCCCCTTTGCCCAAGGCTCTTCTGGTTATAATCTGTGTTTTTATGGAGTTTTATGATGTTAACCAGTCCTTGATGATTGCAGTAGAGTAACAACAAATATTTGGGTTGGGGGATGTCCAGCATGTTATATGAAACATTTAGTGAAGCAGATCATGTGAAGTGTGTATTTGAAGGAGCAGGCTTTGAAGCCAAATGATGAAGATTTTCCAGGGTTTTGAGCCATCGCCCCATGGTTTTAAGACAAGATCTAATGTAGTAATTTGTAAATTATTTGATTGGGTAGGTGATGTATTTCCCTAATGCTGATAAGCGGATGTAGATGTGACTGGAAATCGCCTTGAAGGATCTTGACCTATTTTGTTTCTCTTTGGCTGAGAAAAGGTAACTATAATTCATACTAGGCCTTCTAGTATCTTTTTTATCAGTTTCCTGTTAGAGTCACTGGTAAGAAATCCTTTCTCAAGCCAAATGGTTTTCTATCTAATATAAATATAAATGTTTCAACATTGTGGCTAACAAATCACTTTGATTTATAAGCACTCATAATCACAGGCTATATTTTCCAGTGAAAATATAAAAGTTCACTTAATCACTGTTCAAAATTAACGGCACTAAAAAAAGTGATTTATAACTGTTTTTCACACTTACAACCGGTGCAGCATTGCTGTAGTCATGTGATCAAAATTCAGATACTTGGCAACTGTCTCATATTTATAACGGTTGCAATGTTCCAGTGTCCCAGAATGTGATCACTTTTTGTGGCCTTCTTACAAGCAAAAGTCAATGGGGAAGCCAGATTCACTTAACAATGGTGTCACTAATTTAACAATTGCAGTGATTCATTTAATAACTGCAGCCCAAAAGGGCATGAAATGGGGTGTAGGAAGTCAGCACACCCCCGAGAGAAGGAAATATTTTGGAGGATATCAAAAGGGCAGAATGTTATATTTCTCCAAAGGAGTAATAGAAAAATCTTAGGCAGAAACCATTGCCCCCTCCCCAAGTCTCTCTACCCCAAGCAGAAATCAGCTTTTAGAAATGCAGATTTGGTGATTAATTCAGGAAAACTGGGGCCAGGAAGCTTGGAGCTGATGTGAAAGACAAAGATCCCTAAAATCTACACACACACCACCCAAAATCTAAAGACATGACCTTTAAGACACAGTAGGAGTAACCCACCACCATTAGAACACCAAAAGGGCATACTCAAGCTCAGGTCAAAGTACATTCCACAGGAACAGGAAGAAACTCAAATACAAAGCCCAAAGAAGTTATAAAAGCCCACTTAACCCAATTACATTTTGTCAGCCAGCCCAGAAACATGCTGTGTCACTGAAGTTTCTGGCAACTCAATAAACAGAATCTTCTTTCCCAAGTAGCCTCTATTTTATTTCCAGCATCTTAGCTCCATTTTGTTTATTCCCAGCTTGGACTGGATCTGATGATTTTTCTTTCAACGGGGCAAACTTCACTTAACAAATGTTTCACTTAGCAACAAAACTTTTGGGCTCAATTGTGGCCGTAAATCGAGGACTACCTATATAGGAAAGTCAATCACAGTAACTTGAGCTTCTTTCTAGTTTCCTTTTAAAGAAGTGTGTTTACGCTACAATAAGCATAATGTGAAAGTCTTGATGCAGCGCCACAGTAAGAATTTCTGGGAAATATTAAGAGAAAGTTGCTGCAGCCCACAAGTTCTGCTTCTGGAGATCAGTGCAGAAAGAAAATGACTGAGCAAATAGATAGTATTCTGCTCCAGCACTTTTTTCCTTATGCCTTCTGTTTTGCATTTTCCAGGCTTTTCAGAATGCTTTGAAGTCTGTACGAATTGAATTATGGAATTGAAGGAAGATATTTAGAAACGCAGGCACTATTGGCCAATTCTGTAAAACAAAAAGGCATTTCTGTTGAGCAGAATAGACATAGCAGTGTTGCTTGTCTGTTTTTTTCCAGTATGCTAGAGTAAAATCTATGGAGGAATGAGCTGTTGCAATTTCTTTGCTCCTCTGAATTCTGACAGTTGTGATTGGCTGCAAGTGAAGCTCCTGTTCCCCGCCCCAGCCAAGACTATCTGAGCGAGCTTTCATTCTGAGCAATACCGTACTCTGTGTGCACAGTGTACTTAGCATGGAGACTTCCCAAAAGGTGAGAATAAAGTTTTTTTGATACAGCTCAAGAGCTGTCATGTTACCATTGCATTTGTGGGGTATGTTTTTTTACACACTTTCATTCCTCTCTGTTTTAGAGCAGTAGTTGCTCTTATCTTCATCTTTCGGTTTCAAAGCCTGCTTTTTTTTACAGCAGGAGCTGCAACTCTCTGAACAATCTTCTCTGTGTATAATCTTCTGTCAAAAGGGATATTTCATGAAACATTTGGCTAAACAAATAACAATGGTGGAAGATTCTTTTAAAAATGTAGTATTTCAACTGCCCTTTGTGAGTTAATTCAACTTCAGACAGTTCAGCATGAAAGTTGTAATGCCTGCTTAATAGTATTACTGTTCTGGGCTTGCCATTGGTTTACTGATCTTTGTTGCAAGTCAATGCTAGTTTGGATTTTTGCTACCTAGGACTGTTAGCTTAACCTTCAAAAATATTTTTTACATTATATGTAATTTAAAGCTTGAAATTAATGAGCTTACATTGTAGCTTTCAACTTTTTTTTTTTCCTGTAGCCAGTTCTTTACACTTATTTCAGAAGCTCCTGCTCCTGGAGAGTGCGAATCGGTAAGAATAATTGTTGAATTTTATTTATAGGAATTGCTTAACTGTATTTAACTTAATTACTCAAGTGATTGAGTAAATTATAGACTGGCAGTAAGCAAATTACTATTTTAAGTGAATTGAAGAAGTCTCCTCTTTACATTGGGACAAAAGTAAAAAATCTAATTCATTACCTATTAAATGTTTCACTCTTCAACTTTCAACTTTAGTTCTGAGCAAAATGGCTAATAGCAAAGGACTTTGGAAGCTGTAGTCCAAAACAACTGGAAAACTTTGTTAACAATTGCGAATGGCATGCAATCCCAATGCAAACTGTTGAGATTTTCTCAGCATGTGTAAGCCATGGAAACTGCGATATCCCATGTGATGACTGAAATGAACAGAATTTCAAAAATTGATCACTTAATATTACAGGATATATGGAAAAAGCAATTACATGTTCTTATTTAGTTTATTCTTTTGGAATGTGTTTTGGATATACATGGCAAAGAAATATACCTAAATATTTTATTGATTTGTTACTTTATGATGAAAGAGAATTAGCGAAGGATGCAAAAAATGGTAAGAGCTTTTGAACGTGAGAACATTTCATACCGTACTACTGCCAAGAGTGGATTTTAATGGGGGGGGGAGTTAAATAGTGTAAAAAAGTTGAAGAAATGAAAGTGAAGGAAAAACCTCAAGAAGAGAACACTTTACAGATGTATCACATAGTCTTGTATGAAAAACAGATTATTATTCTTCCAGCAGACTAAATGGAAAGCAGATGTAAGGAAAAAGAATGTAGAAGATGCTTGGAACCAGGAAGGGGGGGGGTGTTTTACCAAGTGCCACAGACTTACAGTATGTAGATACACAAATGGAAATGTTTGATAGAATAATGAAATGTAAGAGATGGGCAGCACATAAATTTAATAAATAAAAAGAACGTAAGTATAGTCGCTGCAAAAATTAAAAGATACCAAATAAGTGTATATATTTAGAAAAAGCTGCAAAAATATTATCAAAGCAAGCATAGACAGGTGTGCTGCCCCATTCCCCCCCCCCAGGTTTGGCAAGAGTTCTAAAGTTGTTTATTCAAACCCCCCCAAACAGGTCCTTGAAAAGCCCCTCTGTTGCGCAGGTCCATATTCCAAGCTCAGTGCAGCAAGAGTCACTGGGTAACCAAGTCCAAAGGGTACACATGAAGTCTAAGAAAGCAGTCCAAGAGTCAAACAGGCCAGGATACATGGCACAAGCACACAAGGCACAAAACTGGGCATGTTGCTTCAGCAACACTCAAGTCCTCAGGCGGGGTTAAGTAGGCAATGCAGTGACTGCATCCCTTCATCATCATCATCATCATCATAAAGTAAAGTTGGAAGGGACCTTAGAGGTTATCTAGTCCAACCCCCTGCTCAGGCAGGAAACCCTATACCATTTCGGACAAATGGCTGTCCAGTCTCTTCTTAAAAACTTCCAGTGTTGGAGCAGTCACCACTTCTGGAGGCAGATTGTTCCACTGGTTAATTGTTGCCTCTTCATGAGTAGTCTAGCTGACCGGTGTTGTGCCTGCCTCCTCTCTGCTCTATGTGTCCTTAGATTAGGAGGAGGTGTGGTCTCCACCTCCTTCTCATTACAAATGGGCGGCAATTGCTTCCAAACTTCACCTGGAGCCTCCTGGCCAACTTGCTGCAGCTCGCCTCCCTCAGCCTCAGCCTGTCACTTATCTGATCAACCCAGTTGAGGCTGCTCCATCAGACTAGCATTCTCTGAGCCCCAATTGTGACCAATATTTGGCTCCATGCTTTTCTCTGCACTTAAACTCACCCTCCTCTATCTCGCATCTGAAGATGGGTTCAGGAGCGAATCCATGACACTTAGTCTTAACCTAGGCCTTTTCTCTCATAGCACCCACCCTATGAAACTTTCTCCTTCCAGAGATTAGTATGACCCTGACTCTGCTGGCCTTTCTCAAGGCCTAGAGCCCTATATGAAGGATCCATTTCCTAGTTGTGAAAGTGGCTGTTGACTGATACATGATGGAAATAAAGGTTGTGTAAAAAGAAATAGAATGCTCAGTGAATAGTTCAACATTAAACAGGAAGTAAACATTGGAGCATTCATGTAATATTTAGCATATTCTGCATCAGAACAATAACCTTCCCCTGCAGAAAAAGGCCACATGTCCATGAGACAGCAGCAGCTGTAGCATGCATGCAATAGGTCCCCACGTTTTAGTCATTGGAATTTATTACTTCATTCATCATATTTATCTAACTGGCTGTCTCACAAAAAATGACCCTGGACACTGTAGAATAAAGTGATAAAATAGTAATAGAAAACAGTTATCAAATTCAGAGAATGAAAAATTATGGTGAAAAGGCAAAGTGAGGGCAGCAAATATTAAATGAAGGGGAGCCAGCTCAGCAACTCACCAGTCCCTTGTGGGCCCCAGGCCTGATTTTGAGAGACTTTCAGAAAAGATGTTTCATAAGCAAGTGCCATAGCAGAAAAGACCCATCTTTGGGAACTTATCAAATGTAGCATTTTGGCAGACAGGATTTATAGCATACTTGGTTAGTGTATAGACTAAGAGAAGCAATTGTGGGATTGCTACAACATATAGCCAATTTAAATTCAACTGATATATATTTTGTACCTTTGAGTCAATGTTGATGCTGGTAATTCCCAAAAATAAGTTGTCGGGGAGAGTGCTGCCCATTATTTATCTGATGGTTATCTGATGGCTAATCATTAAAGTCCAGTGTGTAAAAAAAAAAGTAAAATGTAACCAGATGCTTATTTTTTTCAGGACCCCCTCCAGTCATCAACCAGTCCTACCCAGCTTTTGATGGTGTAGTCATTTTAATTCCCAATCTTCATTCATTTCAATCACTGGAGTCAGATGACAATGGGGAAAAGAGGCCAACGGGACAAAGTGTCACCTCATCTATGTTTTGCTATAAGAATAAGATGGAATAGCTAGAATAAAATGGAATAAGATCCCGTTCTGTACTTAATGGGTAAATAAGGAAAACATTCTGCTCACTTATTGAACCACACAATAATTTCTCTCTTAGTATATGCCAGTCTTACAAGGTAGATCAGGTAGGAAACATGACCAGATCAGCTAATTCTGCTTTATTGTAAAGCTACATTAACAGAATTTTACAAGTATGAAGGTATAGATTTGCAAGTCTTCTTCCCCCCCCCCACACACACACACTTATTTACAGCCCAAGAAACTAGGTTGAGTCTCTTCTGAACCTATTGCTCCACTCACTATGCAACTGTGGACTGGGCTATCTCTTCTCTTACCACCATTCTCTCTTTGCCCAGACTCCTAAGGTCTTTCATACACACCACTATAGTGTGTTATATACAGGGCCTTTTTTCTCATAGAACGCCCAGAACGGAGTTCCGGTACCTTTTTTGGATGGAACCTTGTAGGATAGGCAAGGCGGGTTGTATGACGTGTGAGTTCCGGCACCTTTTTTTTTTTTTTTTTTTTACAAAAAAAGCACTAGTTATATAAATGCAGCCATTACAATTTTGTAAAACATGGGTGATTCAAAAATACTGGCCTGGCAGTTCACTGAATACCTATAGTTAAATTGTGCTTAATATAGGGTGCAGATTAGCTCATCAGTTTGGCAAACTGGTAGGAATGAATCAAACAACTACTATTGTTTTAATTATTGCACCATCCATTTTACTTAGAAACAAATGGTTTTCATTGCTATAGATTTGTTAAGAATTATTGCGATATTTTATTGATTTTGTCTGGTTACAATTTAGAAAATGTCACAAAAGTTTAAAAATCTAACAATTCAATATTACAGTAGGTAATTGTATTAAATTTTCTCTTGGTAGCATTGGCTCTTAAGGGAATTACCTATGAACAAGCATCCATAAATCTTATAAAGGATGGAGGGCAGCAGGTAAGGAAATCCCTATTATTATGATCATTGACCAAAGCAGAAACAGTATATAACAAAATCTGGAACCAATATGATAAGGACAGCTTTAGCTCTAAAACATGATTAGACAAAATATAAAAACAGTAAAAACCACATACAATTAAGATGAAAGCTATGCAAATGTAATAATATAAAAGTGAAATTAAAGCTATAGTAATTAGAGTAATTTTAAAATATGGAATATTAAAAAAACACCTGTAACTTAGTGCATTATAAAGTTACAAGATTTCTGTAAAGCAAAAGAGTAAAATAACATAAATTAGCAGATAACTCTATTATTTACCAGTTTGCTCTGTACAAGTTATATAAATATTGTAACAGAATTTAGAGACTTTTAAAACCAAGGCACTTTGAGCTAAGAGCAGGTAATTGGAGCCATTGTAGCAGGAGAACCATATTAATCTATGATAACAAAAAATCAGAAACATGGTAACACCTTTACTTCTACAAATTTTAATAAAACATTAATTTAATAAAATGTGTTCGCTGAAAAAAAGGTCCTCCTGATTTTCTTTAGGCAATTGAAGAAAATATATCTGAATGTTCTGGGAAACTGACTATAAAAGAGAGTTCTAGTGTTCTTAAATACCATTATATGTTCTGTAGTACAAAAAAAAATGAGGTTGGATTTCAGTATCCTGTTTCACATGGGCAAGTTCTGTTTGCAGGCAGTTCACTAAGAACAGCATTCATTTTATTCATTGCAGTTTTGTTATTTGAGAACTTACTATCTCCTGTAAAATCTCAAGTTCTTTATAGAGCAGTGGTTCTCAACCTGTGGGTCGGGACCCCATTTGGGGTCGAACGACCATTTCATGGGGGTCGCCAAACAAGGCTGTCTGCCATTTCCCCCCCCCCTTTTCTTTGGCCATGTCCCTGGTACCCGGTGATGTATAAGTGGTTGGGGGTCACCACAACATGGGGAACTGTATTATGGGGTTGTGGCATTAGAAAGGTTGAGAACCACTGTTATAGAGGATTAAAATAACCCTTCCCCATGTGCTTCGGAGCAGTTCGTTTAATTATTCTCATGTCCTACTCATGGGCTTCTCTGAGGTATCTGACCAGCCACTGTGAAAAGGAAGATACAAGATGGAGTTTGCTGTAATCCAGCACCATTCTTCTTCTTATCTTACTCAGAAGCCTGATTTTTGCTCATTACAATTACGGTAATAGTGCAAAGTAAATGTTCCCCTATGGTGCTTTTCAATAACTCAGTTCTTTAACTGGGCCAGGAATATAAATCAGTGATACTCCATTCTTGGTTAACTGGTTCATGCTGATGACACGGGGCCTTCTCTGCTAGTGCATTATATGCTGAAGACCATGTCAAAGGGATCAGGAGGTGAAAAGAGGATTGCCTGTATTTGTATGTCTGTGTAAGATAAGGGTGTAAAAAAGATGGCCCACTTGCATTTGTTTTGTACCTCCTCAGTGGGTAGATCAACATTTAAGTCCTTCCAGCATTTGGGGGAAATTGTTTGCAAAAATTAAAAAATAAAATGGGAGTCTAAAATTCTGTGGGTACTTAAATCACCTGTTTCTTATCATCCAAAAAACTATTCCCCCAAATTGACCCCTCCTGGATCTGCCTATTTGATTATTGGAATGTGGTTTCTGATATCCTGTTCAAAACTTAGTGGGAATGGAAATTGTACTCACATTGTTTGTGGAATGATAGCTTATTTGCAGTTCTTTTGTATATATGTTTCCGTGAGGATTACAGTTTATCTTCTGTGAAATGGGTATTTTGTTCTCGTTTTTAAAGATAAGTCTGTGATTTGTATTTGAAAGCAAGTTGATTTGGCATTTGGAGTTCTGAACCCATTTCTTGTCTTCTAGTCAAATCCCTGATCCTCATCAGTTTACTTTTTGAGATAAAAATTATTGTTATTTATAATGCCCAATGTAGTTGCTATTGGTCAATAGATAAAATGCTTCATTTTAAGAAGTATAATAAGTCCACAAACTCAAAATTCGAAATGTAGCCATTAACTGGTATGTGAATTTGTGTCTGTGTGTAATATGTGAGTGTTGCATTACAATAAGAATGTTTGAGGGTCTAGCATAGGGGTAGGCAACCTTGGCTCTTTTATGATTTGTGGACTTCAGCTCCCAGAATTTCTGAGCCAGGCTTGCTCAGAAATTCTGGGAGTTGAAGTCCATGAGTCATAAAAAAGCCAATGTTGCCTACCCCTGACTAGCACTATGGTTGAAGCTGATGGCAGCTGTGGCCTAGGAAGTTGTAAAACATCTCAGGAGAAAGAAGCACAAACCACTTCAGTGCTGTTAGCAAGGAAATTACATGGAGGATAGGTCACTAGGAATTGAGCTTGTCTTTATCTTTCCCTGTGGAATATACATTATCAATGTATATCAGTGTATGGAAGATACTATGTGCAAGTGTGATCCTAAAAGGAGAGACATTTAGTTTTGTGAATGGAGTGACAAGCCTATACCCCATGCTCCCCTAAACTTCCATCTTTGGAAGAACTTCCTTGAATATGTTCAGCTTAATTTGAAGAATCCCATGGGCCTGAGGAATTATCTTGTTTCTCCAGATGACTTCAGACTTTCAAGCAGTGAATCCAATGCAGCAAGTCCCTGCCATCAAAATCGATGGCATCATTCTCTCCCAGTCTGTAAGTAAGCAAATTCTGTTAATTATTTACTCATTTCTGTTGGCTACACTACAGTGCACTTTGCACTCTATGCAAGACTGCAGTTTTTTGACAGGAAAGTCATCTCAGCTATATGAATATTGCCTATGCTTATCTTGCTTGCAAATTTAACCCAATTTAGTATGGTTTCCAGTATGAGACTAATCAAAAGATTCCACATTGATGGTTTCCAGAAGTGGAAACTGTATTTTAGAATGAGTTCACCTGACACCAGAGGTAATGATGTCGTTTGTAACTTACTGTGAATCTAGCAACTGCATTGGAAACCATGATTGACAGCAAGTATTTTGTAGTAATTAGAGTATCCCCCAGTTATAGGGATGGGATGGGGATGGGAGAGAAGCACTAATTTAGTTTCCTGTTGTTTTATTTCTCTCAAATGTGAGGGCAAAATACATTTTCCTAATTTAACCTGCCTCCCCCCACTCCCCGCCCAAACAAAAGTCAGACATTTTGATCACTCGCTCTGGTGATGTCATTGCATTAGAGGTACTGCTCTTGAACCCTTGGAAGCCAAGCCACAAAAATCAAGCTTTGTATTCAGTGTATTCCCTACTGGTAGAAATCTGCCTGGCAAATATTTCCATGGCTCAGATAAAGTGCTCTCCACCCATCCTTCAGCCAGCAGAAATCTAAACCAAAATAAAATATAACATCCCTCCTGCCAATCTGGTGAAGCAGGAGAGAATTTATTGATTTAGTGGGCAACCCTATTGCTGATTATCCGTTTGACAGGCTTGCTTTGAGCACAAGACAGATGATCTGTAGGGAGCTGATATTGATAAAGAAGCTTTACTACTATCCCTACACAGCAATGTGCCTAGTAAACAGTAAAGTCTCCATTGCTTTACTTGTCTGATAAACTATCTAGCAAAACAGTGGAAATGTATGATAAAGGAGGAGGAGTGGCAGTCTCAGAATCCACAAGCTGTCCCCTTTATCATTCATTATATGCATCCTTCTAATACCACAGCAGCCAGAAATGGTACCCTGCTTTTCCTCCCCCAAGGAGGAAAAAAAGGAATGTGGCCATGGAGGGTATCCTGAACTCTAGAGGAAGGGGCATGCCTAGCACTAGTCCAAAGTGGCCAACAGGTGATGAGTTCGTCCTGTTCCTTATGGATCACCTGAATGTAGCACTACCCACAGGAAAAGGAAGCATATAGCTTCTCTTCACCCTTAAACTGTCATTGGTTGTCCTTGGCCTAAAAAAGAAAACACGTGTATCACTGGTACAGCTAACCATGATTTAAGGCTTTTTCATGCATGAGCTGAGGACAAGATGAAAACAATACGGGCAGCTTGTAGAATAAAGATGATTCCAGAGTGGGCAAAGGTCCTTAGTATGTTGCTAATAAACAAATAAATCTATTTGTTTATTTTAATAAACCATGGCTAAACAAATTATGATCTGCCATGTTGTATGAACACAGACCTAATGTAGAATAGGATTCTGGGAGGTTATGAGGAAATTCGAGGGGAATCACAGTCACTGGGTTTTGAGCTGAACATCCTTCATCTTTCTTCAACTCAGAGACAGTGCGGATCCTCTCTGCCTACAGTAGGGGTGGAGACTGACCTGCCATATCCATACTCATGCCCTGCTCACACCCTCTCCACACTGCTTGTATGGATGCTCTTGGTTGCATCCAAGGAATGCAACCAATGGCAGTGAAAGGTGAATCTAAAGGTGGAGGGCAGAGGAGTTGTGCTAAGTTTTATGCTACACTGGATTTTCTTATACTCATTCTAGTAAAATTCCAGAAGTGAGACATGGGTAAAGACAAGGACAATAGTAAGAAGGGAATCGTGCTAGATTAATTAGACCAGTGGTTCTCAACCTTTTTAATGCCATGACCCTCAACCGGTCGTAAGTCGAGGACTACTCAACCGGTCATAAGTCGAGGACTACTCAACTGGTGCAGCACCGTTTGCAGAATGGGACTTTTGGCGGGCTCAGCAGGGCAGAGACAGCCTGGACAATTCCTATTGGCTTTTGAAAGTCAGTAGAATTAGACTCTATTCAAGAGAGTCTATTCTATTGGCTTTCAAAAGCCAATAGAATAAAAGAGAGTAGCACAGCTAAGGAAAAGGGGGAAAAAATGGCAGACTGCGTTGTTTGGCGACCCCCGTGAAATGGTCGTTCGACCCCAAATGGGGTCCCGACCCACAGGTTGAGAACCACTGAATTAGACAATAAAGTCTAAAGAGTCAAGTTAGAAAGAAAGACAACCCTGATAATGAAGAGTTTTCGTTTTCTTTAACCCTAAGCATTTAAGTGCTTCCTGTTAGAGGAAGTCTTTTGTATTCCTGGAATTCAAGACCTGACTTGTAAAGGTTACAGAAACGGGTTTTGTAACTCTAACAGAAAAAAACCCTCATTTACAGAAAATACAGGAAACGAGTGGCCAGAAAAATCTGGTATCCAAGAGGCTACATCCTCCTAGAAGGAGATCCAAGAGGAGAGATCATCCTTTGATACATGCCTAAAGAGTGAAAAGAAAAGAGGAAGACCTTGAGGTTAACAGTTTGGTAAACAGAGAGAAGGCAGAGTATAAGATAAAGAGGAAACACAAAGGGAATTCCTAATTATCTATATATAATGCTTCTTGTGATCAATACATTATAAGACGTTGCAAAACAATGTGTCTGTAGTCTGACTGTAAGCACTCCCCACACTGGTATTATTGGGGGACAGTGACATAGGTGGAAAGATGTTCCTCCACCCAAAGGTTCATGAAAAATGTTTAAGTATTCTAGAGAGAATAAGCAAATTAATGTGTACTTTTTCTTATTTTTATCATCTCCACAGTATTAGTCATGTTGTTATTAACAAGTATTAACATAATAATTTATTTTGTTTGCATACTGTGTAATAGGACATTGTTGGGAATATACTTCATTTTGTGTGTGTTAGCCTTTGCCCCCATAACTGCTTTGGTATGCTCTCATATTAGTGTCCCCAGTGGACAGCTAAGGTAATTTTCTTCCAGTTCTGCTGCTTTTCAAATAACACATTTGGTTTTGTCATTTGACCTATTTGGGCTTCACAGAGCTGGGAGAGACAGGTTACCCTTTGTAGTCCTGGGCTTGCTGTTTCTTGCAGTGGGGATCTCGTTAATGTGTTATGTGCACACAGTTACTGGAAAAAGAAAAGAGTGGTTTTAACTGGACATGATAGACATTGCACAAGCTTTTGTTTATGGTTCTCCTACCCTACTAACCTTGAAACCTTTTTTTGAGAAAGATTATTTAAAGTTTTCTAGGGCTACGTTGGCTGAGTATTTCTAATGTGGCATCTGGTAGACCTATTAGTCTAATAGGAAGGCCATAACATAACTAACTGTGAGAATCCCTAATATATAATATGGCATCATCTTTGAGACACTGGCCTAGGACAGGTTGAAGGCACTTGCCTTAACCAGATATTTTGGACTGCAATTCTGGATGAGAATTCCTCTGGCTTTTTTCTTTGACCAGTTCCCTAGGATCACTGCTGCTTAAAAGAGTATTTTTCAAGGGGCTACTCTTGAAGAAGACTCAGAAACTATAGCTGATGCAGAATGCAGCAGTTATAGATCATCTCAGTATACTCAAGTAATTCCTCCATTATGTAAGCAGCACTATCTATGCAGAACCTGGATACAGGCCTTTCATGGCACAGGGCCTAGATATTTGTAGCACTGCCATTCTCCAGGTTGGCACAGTGTCATTTTACAGACTTATATATTTTCATCTACCTTTTGGAATAGCAAATTCCAAGGATAGATGTCTTTAGAGAGCCTTACAAATCCTGCTTTTCTCACAGGCTACAGCTGGGATGGTGGGTGAATTGAGTTGCTATGGTTGCTGTGCTGCTCTGAGTTGGTAGCTTAGAGTGGACTATAGGCCTTGCAAATAAACAACTTTAGTTCTCTGCAAACTGCCCAGTACCATTGGCAAGTGAGCAGCCGAATGAATGAATGAATGACTCTCTATTTCAGCTAGCCATCATAGAGTATTTGGAGGACACCCGACCACTCCCGAGGCTCCTTCCTCAAGATCCAAAGAAGAGAGCTATGGTTCGGATGATCTCAAATCATGTTGCTTCTGGAATTCAACCACTGCAGGTAAGCATCTTCTTATCTTGGCTGCCTGTCTTTCTAATACTATTAACTTAAACATTTCTGATATAGACTTTCCTGCACAGAGAATGTTATTCCAGAGAATGCTGGGTCTAGTGTGCCTAATGTGCAGTGCTAACTGAGCACACAAGACATGGAAATTTCTTTAGGAGCCCTGTTTGTACAAAGCAAGGGCACTTGGGATGTGGTTTCCAAAGCATGTGTGCCTGCTGACTCCAAATACTGAGTTTTCAAATAGTTTACAATCCAGAAAGTTATGACATCATTGGTAAGTAGAATCTCATTGGCAAGCACTATTAACCATGTGCCCACAAGGTGAGTCCTGTTACCCAGAAGATGGTTCTGTTGATGAAAGAAGATATGACCTGGCTGTTGTCTTATCTATTCCTGCAGGATCATAGCCATAACCAGCATAAAGAATCGGCTCTCTATGTATGAAATAGGGAGAATGTAAACAAGAATACTTTGGCACCATGAGTCATACTTAATAATATGTATAGTGTTCAACCAGAAATGATGCAGGGGAAGAGCACTGGGAGAGTGTTATTCCTGTAGATGTTAGCCACTTTCTTTCAAGTAAAGAAAATAGTCCTTCTTTCCTGGTTGTAATTGTTGCAGAAAGCAACTCTAGGGTCCGATTTATACAACAAACATTTACTTTTAAATTTTATTTGCCACCTATCTTGTATCCAACGACTCTTAGCTGTCTAGTGGTTAAGGCACCTGGCTAGAAAGCAGAAAGCCCTGAGTGCAAGTCCCACCTTAGCCATGAAAGCCACCTGGGTGACTTTGGGCCAATCACTCTCTCTCAGCCCAACTCACTTCACAAGATTGTTGTTGTGGGGAATATAGGAGGAGGAAGGTGTGTTGGATAAGTTCACTGCCTTGAGTTACTTGTAAAAATAATATAGGTGAGATAAAAATAAGTAAGTAAATAAATAAATAAAGGCTTATGTTCATACGGGATGACTAAGAAATAGTTACATAATGTACATCTTAATTTTTGCAGGGTAACTAACATTTCTGACCTTCAATATCATTGATAGCATTATTTTTGATTTGTCAAAAATATTTGTCAAGAATAACTTTATCAAAAAGGATGGCCATAGGAGAACTATAGGAAATAGTTGTGGTGAGATTCAAATATGTGAACAACCGGTTCCCTGTATGGATGCCGCTTCCGGAAGTCTATTCTGGGCCTGGGCAACAAAAAATTAGCTACCGGTTCTGCCAAAGTGGTCTGAACTGGCTGAATCCCACTACTGCTAAAAACCCATTATTGGACGGGTTTATTCCACTCAGTTTCAGCTGTTCTTGCAGAATAATTTCCACTGTGATAAGGCAGAGCTGGGAAACTAGGGGCTTTTTATGTATTGTCCCTGGGGATTAGGTGTGTTGGTTAGGGTTGGAATCCAACAACATTTAGAAGGACATAGGTTCTCCATTTGTCATATAGATTTAAATATGGATTAAATTACTGCTTGCTTAACAATAGTATTTGCTGTCCTTTTGATGCTGCAAGTTAAATTTATTTGGAGTATGATCTAACTGTTGTTCAATGATAAACTATATCTTAAATCTATGTAACTCCTTACATTTTTTCAGAATCTGGCTGTCCTGCAACAGATGGGAGAGAAAAAGCAAGATTGGGCCCAACGTATCATTTCTCAAGGCTTCAAAGGCAAGTTTCAGTATGAGCTGTTCATCTGGATTTAAGTCATTTCCAAATGTGATAAAGGCTTTTTTCAAAGAAGCCTCTTTTCTGCCTGTCTTGTACTGGGAGACCCTATAGAACAACTACCCTTATACAACGCTTCAGGGAGTTTCTGGATAATTTAAATAGAATATTCCTCAGAGCCTTTGCCTAGAGAAACCATTCTAGTGGGAATAGATCTCTAGGAAATTTCCCCATCGTGTTTTATAGTTTATCTTTCTGTCAAACTTTAAAATGCACTGTCAAATCCAAGTATGAATGATGGTTTGTGACACTCATGGAGAATATGATAAAAGTCTTATTGCTGGTTGAATGAAAACATGTGAGAAAAAAACTTCAAATGTTAAAAGTTTAAATAGTAGAACAGATAATTGGAGTAGGTTAGTGTCATAGTGTAAATACTGTATCTATGGACTATAAATGTGTTCTCCTTCAGATGAAATTTAATGGACTGCAGCTGGGGTTGTACTTCAAGTGAAATAGATGCTGCTTAATAATATATGGTTCAGTACAAAATAGTAACAGAAGTAGAAAATGAATGTGGTTTCCTTGACACTGTGTTAGGATTGCAGTTGAAAAGAGACTCTTACATTCCTCCCTCCAGTTGCTGGTACAATCCATTCTATCATCAGGACTCTAGCAATGTGTTCAATAACCACTCATGAGTAGGGCTCAGTGTAAGTACAAACAGATTCAGAAACAAATCTGAGCACCTAGATGTGTTTGAGATCAGAAACTAGTCGCCCAGCAACTAACAACAGGATTCACAAGCCAATGTTCTCACAAGATTTCTAAAATAAGGATATAGGGAGCTGGTGATTTTCTACCCAAAGAGAAAGAATCAGAGAGTATAAAAGATTTAAACCCTTTCCCCTTATATGCTGGTTTCCCGATCCAATTACATCCTTGGGCACTTTTCTATGCAATGGATCTTTTTCATTGCTATACCATTTTACATATGAGGCAAAAAATAGTTATCAGGTCTCTAGAATAGCTTTCTCTCTGCTCATATCAGCAGTCCTCTAATGAAGTGGAAGAAGTGGATTGCTAAGGTTGACAAAAGCAAATATTTCTTTATAAGCATATAATTAAATTATGCTTAACTTATTGCCACATAATGTACTGATGACCACTAACTCGGGTAGGTTTGAAACAAAGGACAAATTCATGGAAGGTACCAGTGGCTCTTACTTACAGAAAAGTATATTTGTTGTCGCCAGTATTAGAATTTGCTCAGTAATACTGGCTGGGAAAAGAGGTGGAAAAGTGTAGGATGCTGAACTAGACAGACACTGTTGGTTGGGGCTCTAATCAAAAAGATATTCTTGAATATGTTGACAGGATGTTTTCCCCACCCAAGTAAATGTATCAGCCCAAATCCTACTTTTACATGCTACAACAAATTAAACAAAATACATAGGGATTATTTCATTCTTTTATACTGTTTATCTTGTACTCAGAATATTGTAAATGGCAGTTGGTTTAAGCTTAACATCATTCCTGATTTCCAACAATAGTTCTATTTTCTCTTCCTACAGCTTTGGAGCAGATCCTGCAAGAAACAGCTGGCTGCTACTGTGTTGGGGATGAGGTATCAGAAGCTGAGATCATACGTTTCTGATCATAAAGGAGCCTCAGAAACCCATAATTAGTAATGTTTCATTAGTCAGTATGTTAGTGAGCATTCCAGAATTCATTTGTCTAAGAAAGAAATAATTTGTCTATATCTTGGCATCAATGAATAGATCCAGCATGAAATGGCCCAACAAAAATCCCATAAGCAAATGGCATACACAGGTAGTATGGCCGTAATGGTCTTAAGTTGTTGTTGTTAAACCATAAAACAGGTCATCAACATAAGTTGTGATGGTTACTAAGCAAATGCCATGGTTGTTTAACAATCAATGGGCCATTTTTACCAAAACCAAAAGTAAATGCTAGTTTTCAGCAAAAATGTCATAAAATAAGGTCATGTGACTGCAGGATGTTGCAATCAGCTATAAATGCAGACTGGTTGCTGAACACCCAAAGTATGGTCACATGATTGCAGGGAGGCATCCTTCAGAATCAGGTCACAAGTACATCCCACCCCAGGGAGTACCTCCACTGTAACTTTGAATGGTCTCTAAGCTACTAGTTGTAAATTGAGAGCTATAGTCACTACTTAATGTAAGATATTGGGGGGGGGGAATGTCCAAAGCCAGCAACCAGTCCTAGGGCCAAACTATCAAAAATCACCATTTTTTTTTAACTTCTACATCACAAAAGTTATACTATTTTCTCTGGATTGATGCCTTATAACAAATTTTAGCTCCAGGAGAAGGCATCTCGAATTGGTATTTATCTGTGCTTTTTTTCAGGTGACCATGGCAGACCTTTGCTTGGTCCCCCAAGTATACAATGCTGAGAGGTAAGGAAAATGGAATTCCACAAGTTCTAAGAGGGATGACAGCCTGACAAGTAATCAGACACTTTCGTATCACTTTAAAGACAAACTATAATCCAATGAGGCATCTGACTGTATAAAGACTATAGAATACTACTTAGCATTCAATTGAATGGCAGCACCCATAGACTAGAAGACTGGGGAATCTCAAAATTTCACTTCCAGAAGTCTTCTAGGTCTTCCTACCCTGGTCTCAATTCCTCTTTGTGTAGCAGCTTGGTAATTCCCATTACTACTACCTAACTCCCAAGAAATATTTCATGTCTTCCCCTCCACCCCATTAAATAGACCAGACCAGAAGGGTGTTAAACTTACATTTATTAATATTGGCAATAACAGAATTTGATTGTCCTATCCCACTTCAACTTATACTCCAGTAAATCAGGGAGAAGTCCACTGAGCTACTTTTGAATGTTATCCTGTTCGGGACTTTAAAAAAAAATGTTTCAGCATCTCTGCTTAGGTAATAGTTCTTGCATATCTCCATCAAGATCATCTTCCTTATTCTCCACACATTGCCCTTTCTGGTAATTAAAAGTAAAGAAAAAATAGAAATAATTTTAATAATGCTACTTTAGTGCCATGTAGTACATAAGTATGTAACCAGAGGTGCTAAAGTCTAATAATCAAATGATTGCAAAGAATATAAATCTTTCCATTCCCCATCAGTTAGTTAGAACTGAAGAAGCTTCTTGGATAAGAAGCAAAACATTTTAAAAGGAAAAAAACCAAGAAAGTCCAGTTGCCTTTTGGGAAAAAACACCTTTGTGTAACTAGAGGTTCATTCCTTCCTGCCCTCAGGAGGTAAACAAAATCAAATTTTATTTTAAAAAAACAAGAGATAAAATATACCTTACTTTTAACTACTAAATTTAAAATAAATACGTCCAGTGATGCAGAAAGGAATTTATAGAGTTGCCTTGATCAGGTTTAGCAACTAAAGAGAAAATTTAGAAGAAAATGCAAAGCAAATGCCCCAGGCAGACCACAGTAGAAAGTTTTCTATAAAAAGATAGAGTTCAGATCCGTATCTGCAGGATCGAATACGTTCATCAAAACGGACTACGTGTTCCTATTTCATACACTGTGTGATATTACAGTGTTTGTTTCAGTATTTGCATGCACACACACGCAAACACACCTACCTTGTTTGGACAAGTGATACATATAACAACAACAATAAAAATACCTTCTGATTAATTACCAGAGGTTTGATTCAAAACTGATGTAAAATCTAATTTTCCAAACTGATAGAAAATAAGAACATTCCATTTCTCCTCACAGTGCACAGAAAAAGAAAGTCTATTCTATACCCTGTCTACAACATATCCCTCTATCAAAATTCCCATGTTTCTTGAAGCAAAGACCCCTGCTTCCTTTTACCTGGACTTCCCAATTTTCTTGGCAATCCCATGTTGTCAGTCTTCTTTTTATCCCGCTTCTGTCCAAAGTTTATTCAGCTTCTCCTCAGTTCTGCCCTTGTCTTTTTTTCACTGCCTAAATTTTTGTAAACCCAGAATGTTAAGCCACTAACAAGGAAGACGGCTAGATTTGTCAGATTTATTGCAAAGGGAAAAGGGCTTCGGTTACAGAAATGTGGAAACGGATAAATTGAGTATATTAAAGTGGGAGCTCTTTTTGCCTTTGCTGCTCTTTCTAACTCTCAGGAGATTTAGGAGACAGATTGTTATCCTTTAGGAGGTGTGAATGGAATACTCATGTTTTTTTTCTGCAGTATTTTGGAAACATCCATTCCTGTTTTTCTTGTATTCATATAATAGATAATTCAATTATACAAATAAAGGAAGGGGCTGGAGTACTTGTCTCCCTTCATTGATCTCTTCACTTTTCTTCTAACTGCCAGTTATCCCTCAATGCAAAATATGTTCTTGTGAACAGATTGTAACAGATCTTTGTTTTGCTTCCTATTGATTTAAATGTATCTTAAACAAAATGGCTTGGCCTTACAGTAACACAGATGTGCCTAATGCTTAATTTTCTCTTACCAGATTTAAAATGGATCTGACTCCATACCCCACAATAAGCAGAATCAACAGAGCTCTCCTAGAATTGGAAGCATTTCAAAGCAGCCATCCTTCGCGGCAGCCAGATACACCTCCAGAACTAAGATCCTGAAGTTCTTCAACTGCTTGTTTTACTGTGAGGGAAATTGATCCAAAATTAAATGGGACTCTCCTTTTTAAGATTTTCTGGAAAAAAAACTTGAGGGTTTCATGAGGAAGAGTTTGGCAAATCTAAGACTAAAAAGAAAAAAAGACACTGCAATTGTAGAGTACATAGCTGGAGTAAAATACATTTTTGATCATGTGTGACAGTTGTAATGCAATCGTGAAGCAGATCAAAAGATAAGAGTTTGTGGGTGTTTCTTGTGACGTTCAAAAAAACAGCATTGCTTTGTGTAAATAGCAAAGGTATTAATCTATAATTAGACCATATACAAAGTTAAAGAACTTGAAAAGGTTCTAGATACTGGCAAGTAAATAGTGATTGGGCCTGAAAAAGAACAGCCACATGTCAAACGGTTGCCAGCTTTTAGTTTAATAGCATGTTGTTCAATGCATATCTCCTTTTTAGTATTACTAAGGACTGTTTAAGAACTTCCACAGCAGCTTTTATGTGCTACCTAAGCAGCAGCAAACTGTATCACTACTTTTTGGCAAAATTTGATGATGCACTTGGAGTTGCTTTAGAGCAGTGGTTCTCAACCTTTTTAATGCGGCCCCAACCGGTCATAAGTCGAGGACTACCCAACCGGTCGTAAGTCGAGGACTACCCAACTGGTCGTGAGTCGAGGACTTTCCCTGCCCGGGAGCGCCGCGCATGCGTGGTGCTGCCCCCTGCACCGGCTGAGGCATAGCTGGCAAGTGGCAGAGATGGCGCAGGCCGACCACGGGCTGGGCCACCAGCTGGCCCAGCCCAAGGGAGGTAAAGCACCCGCGGGGCCCCACGCGTGCCAGCAACCCTCCCTGCGCCCGCTGGCCTCCCACCTCCCACCCCTGGCCCTCTTTTACTTTCATTTTTAGTAGTTGCTCAGCAGGGAGGGATGGAAGCTTCCAGACAGCTCGCCTTCGCTGCAGATAACTTGCACCACCATTTTGGCGGGTTCAGCAGGGCAGAGACAGCCTGGACAATTCCTATTGGCTTTTGAAAGCCAATAGAATTAGACTCTATTCAAGAGAGTCTATTCTATTGGCTTTCAAAAGCCAATAGAATAAAAGGGAGTAGCACAGCTAAGGAAAATGGGAAAAAAATGGCGGACTATGTTGTTTGGCGACCCCCGTGAAATGGTCGTTCGACCCCAAATGGGGTCCCGACCCACAGGTTGAGAACCACTGCTTTAAAGCTATAAGTTGCCCATTCATTAGCCAGCATATACGAGCATTTCAGAAATATTGAAAATTAGGGAATTTCTAACTTCTTCCTTTAGTATAATAAGTTGTAACAACAGAAGTTCATGCAATAAATTGGCAGCAGCTAGAAGTTTTCTAATCCTCACAGGGATTGTAGATTTTCCAGGAAAAAAAAGCACACAGATTTCTAAAGAGCTATGCACCTCAAACAAAATCCTATGATCTGCAAAAGGCATATAGAAGCTTCAAAATGATTGTTTCTAAGATGTTGAGAAGATATTTGTCTTCATTCCAATGGCCAAGATCTATATATTCAAATTGAAATACTTATGCTTGCTTTATTAGATTTGGCAAAATGTAAACAACTTTTATCTGAGGCATGAAGAAAAAAGAAACAAAATGGGTTAGGAGGAGGAGAGAACAGGAACAAACCAAATGTGTAAAACACATTGGGAAATCCGGACCAATATATTTCACAGCAATATTAAAATATCATTGATCAATCTTTCCACAGAAGCACTAAGCCGCCTCCAAACTACTTATTTTGGTGGTGTTCCCTCTCCTTCTTTGCCCTCTCAACTGCTGATAAGCTAAAATGTGAAGATGCTGAGCTACTGAATTCAGCTAAGATATTAACTGCCATCACAGATAAAGTTGTAGGGGTTAAAAACAGAAATAGCTGAGATAATGACAGCAAAATGAGAAGTGTCTACCTCCCTCACATCTATTCATGTTAAAAATAAAGACAGGGGCTGACATCTTTGTGACACACTTTAAATCTAGAGTAAGATCTAAGACAGAGTTTCTCGGACTTGGTAACCTTAATGTATGAATTTCAGCTCTCAGAAGTTCTGGTCCCAGCCCACATATTTTAAAGTTTGAGAAACGCTGATCTAAGAAATCAAACCTTAAAGCAATCTCTGGTAAAGCCTCAACAGCCCTGTGCTTTTTGACATAGTTATCAATTCATTTTTATTATTCTGATGTCCAGTTGTTTCTGTTCTTCTGGGTCTTGATCTTGCCATGGAGTCAAAAGAATTCAGGTGGACTCTTAGTAGGCACTTATTTAGTTTTGAAAATCAAGCTGGAATTTGTTTGTATTGTTATAGAACTTTCCAGCATGGTCTGAACCTCCAAAGACAAGCACTGTGCACATATTGTGTTTGCTCTGATTCTTCTTATCCGTGTTTGTCAGGTTAGTGCAAGTTAAATTGAGCAATGTGTGGCCTGCCCGGGGCACAGCGCAAAGATCACTATGCTTAATTGCACTCCAAGTCGAGGTATCTGCAATAGAAAGAAGATGATGAGTCCTGGCAAATGTTTTCTAGGGCTAAGGGGCCCGTTTTATGGTAGACTTTTATAACTTACCTAAATGGAAGATAAATGCATCCTGGAAAGCTGCTCTGGCATTACAGCCACCACTTATCAACATTTTTTGATCAGAGATTTGGATAGCAGCATGGAAACTAGAAGCCAAATAGATCATCTAAATTAGCCACTTCTAATTAGCCAAATTAACCACTTCTAATTAGTCAAATTAGCCACTTCTAATTAGCCTTGAACACAAAAGTATAGGCAGTCTTTTATTTATGACCATAATTTACGACCAAAATTTCTGTTGGTGAGACATTTGTTAAATGAGTTTTGCCCCATTTTATGACCTTTCTTGACACAGCTGTTAAGTGAATCACTGCTGTTGTTAAGTTAGTAATACGGTTGCTAAGTGAATCTGGCTTTCCCATTGACTTTGCTTGTCAGAAGATCACAAAAGAGGATCATATGATCTCAGGACACTGCAACAGTCATAAATATCACTCAATTGCCAAGTGTCTGAATTTTGTTGATGTGATTATGGGATGCTGCAACAAGTTGTGTGAAAAACAGTCATAAGTCACCTTTTTCCGTGCCGTTGTAACTTTGAAAATAAACTGTTGTAAGTAACCTGTATCAGATTTACTTCCCATGTCTGGGAATCTTTTCTAGACAGGTATGCCCAGTCCCTTATTTTTTTTTTCTTTCCAAATATACTATTTGGAAAACCCCACTCTATCCTTTTATATGAAAAAGCGTATTAGACTGGAGCATAGTTCTTGACTTACAATCACAACTGGGAAGAAACCATGGCTAAGTGATGCAGTCATTAAGTGAGTTACCCCTGATTTTACAATAATTTTTGCAGCAGTCATTAAGAGAATCATTGTTAAGTGAATCTAGCTTCTTCCATTGATTTTCCTTGTCAGAAGTCTCCTGGGAAGTTACCAAATGGCAATTATGTGACAGCCCTCCCTCCCACCCAGGATGCTGCAGTTGTCATAAATACCAGCCTTTTGCTGACCACTCAAATTTTGAACACATGAACACAGGGGTGCTGCAACCATCACAACTGTGATTTTTTTTGAGCCCCACTGTAGATTCTAATGGTCATTAAATAAACGGTCACAATTTGAGGACCACCTGCAGATCTTCCATAAAACAATTTTTTATTTTATTTATATATATTTCATATTTCTTAACTGCCATCTCCCTTAGAGAAGCAGGGGGGGGGGCACTAGGAGATGAAGTGGCAAAGGCCTGGATCTAGTGAGGTTCTCAAATTGTATAGAGGGATAGATTTAAGACTTTTAAGTATCTAAATTTCCTTCTAGCCATTCTAGCCATATTGATATCAGCATCCTTTACCAGCATGAATAGAATGATTAGGACTTGCAAAGTTTCATAATAAATGCTTCAGGATTGAGTTTGCTTACAAATTGACAAACTTCCAAAGAGTAAGAGTTTAAAGTTCATTCCGTTATCTAACCCAGAGATACCAAGATGGGCAACCATATAAATTCGATTAAAAAAGTAACTGTTTCAAACTTATTTGCTAGCACAGCACAGTTAATGCAAGAGAGCACATATAACACCATGAGCAGACCTGCGAGGGGAAGGCTGTCCAGAGAGAGATGGAACTGATTTATACTCCATAAAACCTAGAAGTATGAGATAAAATAATTAGAAGATGTTTTGGACCCACACAAAAAAAACCTGTAGCACTTCAAAAAGACCAAGCTGAAGTGCATATTTGCATAGATTAGACTCTATTGTATCAGAGCAATAACAAAAATGAAACGGGCACAGAATGCATTGATACATCATTTAGCAACCAAATTATTCTGTTCCACAAAAACTACAATTAAGTACTGCAACACCTTTTTGTATTTGTTGCCATAAATAGCTTCCTCTCTTTAAAGGATTTATAGTCCAAGGACACAGTTTTATTTCATTATCGAAGCCATCTTTCCTGTTACAAGACCTACAAATGCTATTGTCAGAGTTTTATTACTGCCTTTCCCATGAAGTGAAATTACTCCCATTTACTATTCTTCATGTGTGGGCAGCTTCCATTTCAGGATAATCTTTCGTTCTCATCAAATTGAGCTGCCTATAAAGGTGGGCTCTTTACACTGTCCAAATCCTGGTGATATTTAAGAAGGCAAGCATTGTGCCCTTCTTACCTAGATCAAGGATGTGTGTATCATTCAGGTATGTAGAAGTCCTCTGGCCTCCGAATATGACTAATTTGTTCTTCAACAAAGTAGCTGAATGACTTTGAGATAAGGGCAGAGAACATAAAAACTCAAACATATTAGATAGAAATCTTGTTCACACATTATTATTTGACACCTTGACAGGACAAATGCATTAAGTAACCAATATTTTATATTCTTGATTCTTGGAATATTTATTTAAAATAAAAAGGACACAAACTATCAGAAGGATAATCTGATAGTGGGAATGGCATTAACTAGCATACTCAAGAGTCCACAATGATGTTTATTGTATCATTGATCCCATTTTTCGTTTTCTGAGATTTCTTAATTTATAAATGGAAGCACCAATAAAACTGTTGCGTATCAGTGTAAAATATGATCTAAAAGAATGCCTACAGAGAAAGGGGCCATAGAAGTCACAAATGTTCCATTATGAGTGGAAGTGTCTTGCCAGTCATGATAAATGGATCTTACTTAAAATCCTTTCTGCTACTGCTAAGGGATATAACTGCTTTGCGGTGTTAAATAATAATGACTAGGATACAAAAATACAATGGCTACAATGAAGAAATCAGCATAAGTACATAAATGCATATGATTCCTTAAAATGAGTTCCATAGAAAAACTCAAATGATAGGTTTACCCAAGGCTTTCTCCATGTGATGTTGAACTTATCAAAGGAATATTATACAACAGTATGAAAAAAGAAACACTCACTTCTAACTAAAATAAAAGTGCATGAAAAAAACACCTGCTTAACTTTTTAGCGGAGAAAAAGACCAAGGAAATAAATCTTGCCTATTTCAGATTCCTCTGAGTTCAAGACAAGATGCCTCACCCCAGCCTTGGCAGTGGCTTCTCCCCCTCCACACTAGGTTGGTACCAAATCTCATAGTCAGGGTTGAAAATAAAAAGCGCATTACTGCAGGCGCCCCTCTCCAAGGACAACATTTTAGAGAAAGCTCCTCCAAAGACAAATACTTCCTTGCGATAGACAGTTGCACTGTGAAAGGCCAGAGTGGGCACTTTCCCTTTAGCCTGAGAGAAGAAAGAAAAACCTCATCACAACCCAAGTCAGCAAGTGAATCTGACTTAGTATCAGCAGCAGTGGGGGCTTTCCTGCTCTCAATAGCATTACTGGATAGCATCCATCCAGTTTCTAACTGTAATCTACCAGAAAACCTCACCTGCACTATTTACTCCTGTTTTCTGTCTCCTACATGAATTAGTCCACTTTTTGCCATTGTATTTGAACTCTTATTTCTTACAAAAGAGAATAAGAAAATTGCAAAAACAAAAAATAGGCACACAAAAAGCAAGTTGAAGCTACACTTCTACAGGGCCCAATGTTTGGTTTCTACTCACAAAAACATGAAGCCATTTCCAAGATGTTGTATCCAAAACATAGATGCTATTGTAGCGTCTCCCCTCTTTTATGCCCCCAAATATGTAGATGCGTTTGGTGTCTGGGTCATAGGTGGCACTGTGACCTCGGGAACACTGTGGTATGGAATTTTGTGTTGGGAAATCCATAGGGAACCAAAAGTCATTATCTGTGAATTAGAAGATATATAGTAAACAGAGAAGATGCATAGTCTTGTATTTGTGAAATTCAGAGACATTTCCCTTAAGGCATCCCCCAATGTTATTCAATGGAAGTTGATTCCAATAACTTTAAGCTCAAATTGTATGACAGTTAATGGTCCCTACAAATTAGAAGATCTGGAATGTTTTCTTCCCATGGCTTGCAGACAAGGCATATCAATATTAGAAGCACAGAAGTATCTCACCAATCTCCAGTTTCCAGAGTACATCTTTGCAGAATTGTTGATTAGATCCTTCACCGCCAATCAAAACTGCTGTATCTGTGTCACACAGGCACATAGCATGACACCATCGAGCACTCGGACATGCTAAAGACAACCAGTAGAAGTAGAGTCAGTCAACAGAACCAGGCCACAAAAACCATTTCATTGTGAAAGAATAATTCAAGAGAGCCTATTCCTATAAGCTTAGTGCATGAAAGATATTTGCATGCTACCATAATTAACACTGTATGAAATGGCCACTCTTTGTTCATTCTTACTGAAATATCAATATCAAATCATTGTTCTTCCATAAAAGAGATAACTTTTTCCTCATCCAGTCAGTCAAAAAATGCCTGCCCAGGGACTCCACATCAGGAGATGCAACATGAGAGGGTCTGAAGGAGTAGAAGCTCCCTTCCTATTTCTTGACACACAAGGTTGATGATCTCAATTCTTACAGTCTTTCAAAAAGCTGCAAAGTCTTGGCTTTCCCTGAGGGCTTTTCAGGATTCATTCTGGAGCCATCAATGTAAGTTTCATTTTTAGATTTTATCAGAGAGATACATTGTTGATATTTTGGGTTACTGTATTTCTATTACTACTGTTTAATTATTTTGTTATTTATATGTTATTTAATTATATATTAAATTTTAATATTCTAAAAAAATGAAAAACAAATTCCTAAGTATATCTAGTGTCTTTCTATAGGTAGTCCTTGGCATCCCAGAGCATACCTAATTCTTTTAAACTTTCTGTAATAAATTTTGCTACAACAAAGGAAATAAAAAAGATGTTTTACCTTCCAGGACTTCAAAACAAACTTGAGGACAACAAAGAAGATTTAATAAAATGGATTAAAGAGCTTCAGGAGAATCATTAAAGTGTGGGAGACAAAAAACAAATATTCTACTTAATTTGTCTTTTTTATCCCCAACAATATCTACAAAAATACAACCTGGCAAGCTAAATCTACCGATCTGGAAAGCGACCTGGCAAAAGAAGATGATTAGAATTAGATTTAAAAGATGTGATTCAACTTACCAGATGGAATACTATATGACTAAACACCAGTTTGAATACAGTTAAAAAATATAAAGTTTGGATATAAAGAGCCTTATAGTAAGATTGCTAGATGGTGTAACATATGATTAGATACTTGTTTGAACATGGTTAAAAGAATAGACAAAGTTTGGACATAAAGGGGCCCTAGAGTAAGAGGTATAAGCTATGTAAGTAGTATAATACTTTTATAATATACAAAATGTAAAAATATTGAGACAGTGTATTTGAATGAAAAGTTTGGATATTCAAATGAATTTTGAAAAAATTATGACTGATAAGAGTGGTTTCAATACTGAGGGGAAATTAAGCTTAAATAAGAATCTTGAAAACGGGACATATGATGACTTAATAAGATGACTTCTATAAATACAATTGAAACATAAGCTGATTAGAAAAGATGTTATATGTCAATGTTATTATTAGGGTTAAAAAAATGTTTATACTCAATTCTGTATGTATTGAAAGTATTAAGAAATATATTTGTTTGATGTAGATAAAAGTAGAATATTACTGGAAGAAGAGAGGATCAAGGAAATATATTATCAACTAACATATTGATCAATTATAGAAATTAATTATTGTTTTTAAATATATGAACCAAGACAACACATTGTTTACTAAGCACTAAAGATTGTTATTGTAAAAAATTAATAAAATATATTTAAAAAAATAAATGAGTGCAAGTTTAAATTATTGACTTAAAAAATTATCCTTGTGTGTTGTATCTTTCTTGCCCCTGAGGGGTAAAACAATCAGCAGTTCAATGTTTTAATTATTTTTCTACTATTCTTCCTCCACAAGAAAGGACAGAATATAACAAAATGACAAACAGGAGACCTTTACTTTCTCATCCAGAAACATGGAATATTAATTACAATTCCACATATGACTCACACAAGGTGGATATTAAACACAACTAAGAATTGCTGATCTAGCTACACCAAGCAAAGTTCAATAAAAAGAATTTTTAAAAACCATCTTTACCTTGCAACTCTTTAACCTCCAAATCTGCAGAGAAAATACACAGAATTGATTTTTAGTCTAAAAGCATCTTAATACTAACAGTACATCCCCATTTTTCTGATGTTGAGTATGGCAGGGTTCCACTCACATGCACTCCCAGTCAGATGTGGTGCCTAGAGACTGTACGGATAAATTCATGCAGTTTTCTAGGCATCCTTTTCAGAAATAATGGACACTGCTTTCCTCCTTCACTTGGACCGAGACTGAGTGACTGGTCCTGGCAGGACTAGAATTTTGTTCTAACTGCTTCTTCTCCAGCACTTTAACCACTTGCATTTCTCAACTTTGGCAACTTTAAAATGTGTGGATGTTAACTCTAGAATTCTCCTTGCTGGCTGGGGAATTTGGGGAGACGAAGTCCATACATCTTAAAGTAGCCAAAATCAAGAAATTCTGACCTGGACCAAGCTGTCTCTTATGCTAGTATTACCAGACTTTAAATTTATATGTTTTAGAATGCACAAGATAATTTAGCATAAATTTAATAGCTTTATATCTATAGTTTTTGACACAGAGTACTGAATTATTATTATTTATACTAAACACATGAACCATCGCTCTACCTGTACCATGAATTAGAAGGGTGCACAAATAAATCCTTCCATGGTTATACCCATCTGGAAAAAATAATGCAATTTCAGCCATGAAAGATCACTGAGCAATCTAAGGTGGGTCAATGTTGCCCAGCCAAACCTACTTCACAAGGTATTATTGTGAGTCAAAACTGGACGATGGAATGCTATGGCAATAAGGCTATTTAGTTTTGCAAACAGGTAACTGAAGACCTTTTACCTTCAGATTCATCTTGTCTATGGGTTGCCGAGACGTCAAACAGAGTCCTTCTGGTTTTATTTAATTGAGTAGGGTGAGGTAGACAATTTATCTTCTTAGCCTGCAGCTCTGTAGGAGCAGGTAGCATCAGTAGCTTTTCCATTGGTGGAGAGTAGTTCTTCTCAGGCACAGCTTCTTTATGGCACATTGCTGAACTCTGATTTCTATCCTGCCCATCAGAAAACTAGGTAGAATTACATCAGAAATTATCCAGGCGCTATAAATAGCCTTATTTTAAAAAATGTTCCATAAACTAGGTTTCTGAAGATTCCAGCAAGATCCAGCCAGCCACTCTGGGAGGATGTTGAATGTTTTGTCTGATTTAGTAGGTACATATAGAATGAAGCATCTTGTAACATTAATTTTCTAAAATTACTGTAGGCTCTAAGACTTTGAACAACTTTTCATAAACTGAAACCACTGTATATATTATACCGGCCAAAATAACAGAATTCTGTAAAATACAGTTTCAGATTGCCAATGCCAGGATATTACTCTCTGAAATTTTCTAAATTTAAAAACAAGCGTCTTAATGAGAACAGACACACTAGAAAACCTTATCATCATGTTCTCTTTTATATGACAAGGAATGTTCATAAGTGAGTCCCAAAGGTACTTTTTCAAGCGGCAACTGGACTTTCTTGTTTTTCTTTGAAGACATTTTGCTTCTCGTCCAAGAAGCTTCTTCAGCCCCACCATCCAGTCAGAGCTGGAAATCAAAAAGTAAGTAACATTTCCTGCCTTGAAAAGTGCATAGCCACATCTATACTATACTACACTATAAATCAAGTGTGGCTTTAAAGTGTCTTTTCTTTTTTTATAGACTGGAAACTGGAAGCACAAAGAACAGGGCTGCAAGATCAACAGATGTTAAGAAGTGGTGCTTTAGGGTTTGATTTGGAAACACATCCACCAATCCAACTCAGGGAGACGGACGGAGAAGACTTCTGACTGTTGAAAGAGAAGCTTCTCCATCACAAAACCAGGTAGCTTGTTTTCTGATACAGCCACTCCACTTTAAAGTGCCACTTTTACTTAATCTCAGATATATTTATTTAATATGATGCAAATAGACATAAATAAGGTAATTACAAGTCTCTGATATATAAAACCTATCATACAGAGTTCCTCCAATCTTTGGAGTTTGCCTTCAGGGAGGTGACTAATTGGTTTTTGGTTCCTGAAATATTAAATAGAGGTGCTATAAAACAGTTAAGAAAGTGATGCAAATACGAGAAGACCAGCTACAACTTTACCAACATGTGATATACAAAGGAGAAGTGATGATTGTCGCTAAAAAGGCATGGTCTGAATAAAAGGGGAGAAAATTAGACCTTATTGAGTCTGTTCCTCAACCCCAAAGTACTGCAGCCGGCATCATCTTATCTGTTCATATTGCTAGTGTACACGAGATCAATTCTTAATAAAGTACTAATAATTTGGATCATTAATGGCTGAAGCAGCTGACCTTACATTATATTATTACATTATATTTCTGGTTTTCGTAAGACAGTGTTTATCAACTTTAAGATTCATGAACTTAAACTCCCAAAGTTCTTAAAGTTGCCAGGGTTGAGAAACATTAACAAAGAGGCATGGTTGTGGTTCCAGCTAAGCATTATCTCTGAACTATCTAGCTAAGCACTAAACATGGGCCTGGGTACTGGAGAAAACAGGTACTGGGCACCTATAAGACCGCCTTCTCTCAACTTCTTCATCTGAGAACCAGTTTTAAATATCTTTGGAGAAATTGCTTATGTATTATCAATCATCTCCATGCTTTATCTTTTTAAAGATTATTTTATCCAGCCTTTATTATGGTTATAAGTATCTCAAAGCAATGAATATACCTAATATTTCTTCCTCATCCTACTTTCCTCACAACTTCCCTCCTTGAGGTGAGTTGGGCTGAAGGCAGGACTAGAATTCTTGGTCTCCTGCTTTCTAGTCTGGTGCTTTAACCAAACTGTCTTTCTAAAATAATAACAGCCTTGGCTTTAATGTTAAGAATTTTCAGGATGTTTTGAATGGATTTGAACACACATGCCAATTTGGGGTTTCATGGACAAGAGTTTGAACACTAAAATCACTTTGGTTGTGCTGTGGAATTACCTTTGCCAGAACTTTCTAAAGGCTTTTAATACTACAGTACTGACTATGATGTAGTTCTCCATCTTACTATCAGTGGCATTCTATCTTGGTACTTTTACTCCTGGATGATTGTCACCATAAAGTGATTCCAGGAAATAGCTATTTTGATTACAGCATATTCACACTTTAGCAATCCTAATATAGATTAGGATTCATGAAATGAACCATTAAAATCAGAATGGGTTTAAAGAGTATACCTACTAGCTTTCATGTAATGAATAATAGGTAAAGCTTTTAGCATAGCAGATAATTGATCACATCACTGATGAAAACAATGCAAGTTGAAGACAATTTTACTTTTTTTTTTACAAACATGGTAAAAAATTTAAATAAATTTACAAGGATCAAGTGCCACTAGAGAACTAGAGAAACAAGACATCAGTACATAAAGTCTACTTACCTCTTCCTTGACAGTCAGCAGAAGTTTAATAGGATTGCCATTCTCTGCCTGCTTAAATGAAGCCATGAGAATGTCAACTCTCCAGTCACCTTCCCAAACCAAACATCTGCTCAAACAAACATAGATACATGGATCTAAGATTTATTTATTGAATCCATAAAGCACTATCTCATACATGTGATTTTGTAAAGTGCACAAAATTAAAATAGGAATCAAAAACAAAGAGCACTCAGAACAGATGGGACAGGTAGATATAAACAGAGAGAGGCCAAATAACCTGGCCCCGTGCCATGTAGGGCTTTAAAGATCAAAACCATAACCTTGAATTAAACCTAAGTGGATGATATTGAAGGTTACCAAGAGATCAGGTAAAGCAAAGATGGATGTACTGTTCCCATCAGAGGTTACCCCAAAGTATGGCCAATGTTAGTTTAGGCCCAAGCCGAAGCCTAGGACCCAAATGGAAGGGTCCCAACTGGAACTTACCTTGCTTCGGATCCCAGCTTGCCAATTCTTTGTGGCTTAATATCTGGATTTATTAGTACATCCACAGTAATGGTAGCTTTCTGCGAATAATGGCTCCAATCACCCAACCCGAAGATCACAAACTGTTTTGGCAATGGAAGTGGCAAGCGAGTCTGGAAGCATTTCCGATGACAATTGCTTAGAGGGGATAGAATATAAACATTACTTTGGAAGAGATAGAGAGGTAAATAGCTGGGAAAACTGAAGAATGAAGTGGTAAGATGTAAGCAAAGCTTATTTTTTTTAGTTAAGAAGGTCAACAAAAGCATTCGATAACATCTAGGAACTTAATGTGACAAAGCCAATTTTTCTATTGATTCTGTTTGTAAAAATCCCTTGTTTTGCCGATTCCCAGATTTGAGAAAAAGTTGAATTGAACAGTTGAACTGAGTAAACTGAACAGCTGATTCCAAAGCTGGAAGGAAAGTTTTAGTAGAAGAGTCTCTGCTGTTTTTCTGGCTGCTCTGAACATCTAATAGCTTCCAAATATTCAGATGTAAAACTTTACCTCTGTATAGCAGCAAAAAGGAGTCAACTCTCTTCTCACAAAAACATTGTTTTTATAAAATAGTAATGGTAGTAATAGTAATGGACCTTTTTTTAGAAATTCATAAAGTATTTCACAACAAGCTTACAAAATCACTAGAGAAAATTAATTTAATAATATAGAATGTGTGCTGAGACTGTGGGAAAACTGTGTGCAGGTAAATAAATATAAATATGCTTACTTTTGTCTTTGAAGCAATGTTTTAAAATCAGATTGACTTGTTGAACTCATCAGAGGTTTCTCAGGTTAACCATAAATTATTGGATAAACCATTCATGCACCACACTGAAGTAAATGAAGCACACTCTCACTTAATAGGATATTTGAATAACAGAATAACAGAACTGAAAGGGACCTTAGAGCAGGGGTCACCAATCCCTGGTCCATGGACTGGCACCGGGCTACAGCATGCCAGAACCCGGGCCACACAAACAAATGAAACCTCATCCACTGGATGCAGGCAGCATGCAAAAGCATGCCCCCTCCAGTCTGCAGAAAAAAACTCTCTCCAAGGAACTAGATCCTGGTGCCCAAAAGGTTGGGGGCCGTTGCCTTGGAGGTCTTCTAGTCCAACCCCCTGCTAAAACAAAAACCCCATATCATTTCAGACAAATGGTTGACCAATCTCTTCTTAAAAACCTCCAGTATTCGAACACTCACAACTTCTGGAGGCAAGTTGTTCCACTGATTAATTGTTCTAACTGTCAGGAAATTTCTCCTTAGTTCTAGGTTGCTTCTCTCCTTGATTAGTTTCCATCCATTGCTTCTAATAATAATAATAATAATAATAATAATAATAATAATAATAATAATAATAATAACCCAAAGAAATACAACAAGGATGCGGCTTGGTTAAAAGAGGTGGATGCAAATAAAACAGAAGTTGAAATGAAAGAACTAGTAATAACAACAAAAATGGTAGAAAAAAGAGCAAAGAAAATCAAAAATTGGTCAGAACCAGGTGAAGATGAACTGCATGGGTTTTGGTTGAAACATCTAACTGTTATATACACCCACTCATTGCCAAACAGTTCAACAATATACTACAAGGAGGAGAAATTGAAAAGTGGCTAACAACTGGGAAAACCTACCTAATAATGAAAAATCCAGCAAAAGGGGCAACACCAGGTAACTACAGGCCAATTACCTGCTTACCAACAACTTTCAAATTACTAACTGGTGTAGTAGCTGATGCAGTGCAACAGCATCTAGTTGAAAACAATCTCTTTCCACCTGAGCAGAAAGGAAACCGCCCCAATAGCAGAGGAACAAAAGATCAACTCCTAATAGACAAAATGATCTTGGAAAACTGCAAGAGAAGGAAGACCAACCTGAATGTGGCATGGATTGACTACAAAAAGGCATTTGACTCTCTGCCACATGATTGGATAATAAAGTGCCTAGAAATAACAGGAGTCAGTAGAAACATCAGAAAATTTGTGCAAAGATCGATGGCACAATGGAAGACACAGTTGCAGATCAATGGTGAGAGGCTGGGAGAGGTTAATATCAAGAGAGGAATATTTCAAGGAGATTCATTATCACCATTACTATTTGTTATTGCACTGTTTCCTCTGTCAACAATACTGAATAACTCAGGACATGGCTATCAAACATCAAAAACATCTGCCAGACTATCCCACCTCCTTTATATGGATGATCTGAAGCTGTATGGAAAAACATCATCTGAAATAGAATCGCTGCTCAACACTGTCCGTATATATAGCCAAGATATTGTAATGGAGTTTGGCTTGGACAAATGTGCCACACTTACTATCAAACAAGGAAAATATGAAAACTGAAGGAATCAAGATGCCCCACGAAAATAACATTAAGAGTCTGGATGAGGAAGAGTACTACAAATACTTGGGTATCCTTCAAGCTGACAACATCAAGCACACTGAAGTCAAGAAAAAGATTAGAGGTGAATACATCAAGAGAGTGAAGAAGATCTTAAATCCAAACTCAATGGAGGAAATACCATAAAGGCAATCAACACCTGGGCAATCCCAGTCATTAGGTACACAGCTGGAATAGTGGACTGGACTCAAGCAGAACTAAAAGCAATGGATAGGCAGACCAGAAAAATAATGACAATGAATCATGCCCTTCATCCACGCAGTGACATTGATAGACTTTATCTACCAAGGCAAATAGGTGGGCGTGGAATGCTACAAGTACATCAGATGGTTGAAGAAGAAAAAATGGCTTTGGAAGAATATCTGAAGAACAATGATGAAGATGCACTGAAATTAGTATATCAGGAAGGCTTACTAACTACTGGAGAGACCAAACTGGCCTACAAGAAAGACCAAATGAAGAACAGAATAGAGGCATGGGAAGACAAAGCACTACATGGCCAATACATGAAAAAAATAGCTGGGAAAGCAGATAACAATAAAACCTGGCAATGGCTAAGAGCAGGAAAATTGAAGAAAGAGACCGAGGGACTAATTCTGGCTGCACAAGACCAAGCCTTAAGGACAAATGCATACAAAGTCAAAATTGAGAAGACAGCAACAGACAGTAAGTGCCGCCTATGCAAAGAAGCTGAAGAAACAGTGGACCACTTGGTAAGCTGTTGCAAGAAGATTGCACAACTGATTACAAGCAGCGGCATGACAAAGTAGCAACAATGGTGCATTGGAAGATCTGCAAAAAATATCATTTGCCTGTAAGCAAAAACTGGTGGGATCATAAAATAGAGAAAGTCATAGAAAATGATAAAATTAAACTGCTCTGGGACTTCATAATTCAAACAGACAAGCACCTGCAACATAACACCCCAGACTTAACAATTGTCGATAAGAAAGACAAAAAGTCTGGATAGTGGATGTGGCAGTGCCTGGAGATAGCAGAATAGAAGAGAAAGAACTGGAGAAGATAACAAAATACAAAGACCTACAAATAGAAATAGAAAGACTGTGGCAAAAGCAAGCAAGGGTAGTACCAATAGTCATAGGCTCCTTGGGTGCAATCCCAAAACAACTGGAGCACCACTTGAACACCATTGGCATTGACAAATTCGCTATTAGTCAATTGCAAAAGGCGGCCTTACTAGGAACTGCTTCCATCCTGCGACGATATCTGTAATACCATCAAACATCCACATCTGCCTATCCCAGGTCCTGGGTAAGGACTCGATAGGTAGACAAAATGCCAAATCCAGTCTGAACATCTGGCTGACTGTGCGATGATCGATAATAATAATGATAAAGTTGGAAGGGACCTTGGGTCATCTAGTCCAACTCCCTGCTCAGGCAGGAAACCCTATACCATTTCGGACAAATGCTGTCCAGTCTCTTCTTAAAAACTTCCAGTGTTGGAGCATTCACTGCTTCTGGAGGCAGGCTGTTCCACTGATTAATTGTTCTCACTGTCAGGAAGTTTCTCCTTAGTTCTAGGTTGCTTCTCTCCTTGATTAGTTTCCACCCGTTGCTTCTTGTCCTGCCTTCAGGTACTTTGGAAAATAGCTTAACTCCCTCTTCTTTATGGCAGCCCCTGAGATATTGGAACACTGCTATCATGTCCCCCCTTGTCCTTCTCTTCGTTAAACTAGACATACCCAATTCAGCAACCGTTCCTTATATGTTTTAGCCTCCAGTCCCCTAATCATCTTTGTTGCTCTTCTCTGTACTCTTTCTAGAGTCTCAACATCTTTTTTACATCGTGGTGATCAAAACTGGATGCAGTATTCCAAGTGTGGCCTTACCAAGGCATTGTAAAGTGGTATTAATACTTCACGTGATCTGGATTCCATCCCTCTGTTAATGCAGCATAGCACTGTATTGGCTTTTTTGGCAGCTGCAGCACACTGCTGGCTCATATTTAAATGATTGTCCACTAGGACTCCGAGATCCCTCTCACAGTTACTACTATTGAGCAAGGTACCCTCTATACTATACCTGTGCATTTGGTTTTTCTTGCCTAAATATAGAACCTTACTTTTTTCACCATTGAATTTCATTTTGTTAGATAGCGCCCAGTGTTCAAGTCTGTCCTGCCTTCAGGTGCTTTGGAAAATAGCTTGACCCCAGCCCCACTTCTTTATGGCAGCCCCAATTCCTGCAACCGTTCTTATGTTTTAGCCTCCAGTCCTCTAATCATCTTTGTTGCTTTTCTCTCCACTCTTTCTAGAGTCTCAACATCTTTTTTATATCGTGGCGACCAAAACGGAATTTAAAATTTGAATCCAACATCATTTGGTATCAAGAGAGTAATAAAGGCATAGTTACCCGAACTGTTTTAAAAATGGGGAACACTCAACGTAAATAAATTGCCAGCGGGGCAACGCGCGCAGGCCGGAGACCTCACCTGCTCAGCTGGCGGGGCGGCTCGCGCAGAGTCCACACAACGTAGAACTCGACTTTGCCGTTCACCGTGGCGAAGTCAGCGCATTGAGACTGGGGAGCCGAGACAACTTCTCGATGCCACAAGCCGCCTGCAGCCCAGCTCCAGCGACGGAGAGGCGTTTTCCACCCATCTAAAGCCGGGAAATTGGAGGTAGCAGAAAACATGTCCTGAAGTTCAGGTCTGGACGGCGGAGGGGGTGGGGGGCGCTCCTAGATTTGGGGAAACGGCAGTGGCCGATTCGGTTCAGACCGCTGAGGAACGCTGCGGAGTGCTCGCAGGTGCTGGTTCAAGCGTTTCTGGGTAAACTCGAGAATCGCACAACTTCCTGACATCTTTATTAACCGCAGGTGTAAGAATGCCGGCACTGGTTCCTTTGCTTAAAGAGGCTGTGCTGGGCTATTTAGTAACAAGGCAAAATCCAAGAGTTAAATGGCCAGAGCGTGGCTTGAGGAACCTCACCTCAGTTATTGCTTCTAGTGAAACAGGTGGCAATATGGTAAATACTGGAATTCCGGAAGTTCCACTCATCTTCAAGCTACCAAGGCTGAGCAATACTGAAAATTTAGAGGATGAATCCTATTGGTTCTCAACCTTGGCAACTTTAAGACTTGTGGACTTCAACTCCCAGAATTCCTCAGCCAGCTTTGCTGGCTGAGGAATTCTGGGAGTTGAAGTCCACAAGTCTTAAAGTTGCCAAGGTTGAGAACCCCTGATTTAGACCGTTTGCAAAAGAGGGAAGAGAGAGCGCGTCTTTCGGAAATCCCTCGAGGCAGCAGCCCGCGTTGAGCGCCAGCCGTCCTGCAGTTCAAAAACTCTGCTGCGGCGCCGATCCCATCATCTCCCCTCTCCCCCCAATCGCGCACCCCCTCCCGGCAATTCCCCAGTAGAAAGCAGTACCCGGTCGCTCTCACCAGGCTTCCCTTTGCCGGAACCCAGTCGGGAAAGTTTGCACTGCAGGCTTTTCCTTGGAGTCAGAAGCCATGATTATGAAAGCGGAAGGCTCTGGCAGCAGTTAGGCGGGAGGCAGCGCCTAGCTGATCCCAGTTTAGCGCAGCAGTAGCCTGAGAGGCGTCTTTTCTGGGCGGCCTAGCGAGGGCGCCCATGCTCCTTCTGGCCGTCCCTCGCACAATGCTCCTTTTCAGGCATCTTTTCTGGCTCCGTTTGAACTTTTTTGGGCAAAAGCTTGGGGGTGGGGGGGGAATCAACCAAAACCAGTGCTTTTTCAGACGTTATCAGTCTGAAAGCAAGGCGGAGTTATCAAAGGTGCCGGCAAAAACGGGAGAGTTTTCGCCCAAATTTTTTGAACGTTGAGAGCCGTGTGTCTCATTTCGTTCTTAACATCTTGAAAGGGCTTGGAAACGGATGTTTGGTGTGTGTGTCTGTCTGGTGTGTGTGTGTGTCTGGAGATGACTTCAGACCTTAAAACCTTATCCACAGGAAATAAAAACAAAAAAAACTGTCCAGGAAATTGCAGTCAAAATAAATGTTATTGTTTTTGTATTATGTCATAAACTGTTTTATGGTATTTTTGATGTCATAAAATGTTTTATAAAATTTGCCAACTTCAATTCCACATGAATCATGAATCCCAAATTTCAGACACATTATCTAAGTTATCTCAATTGAGGTTAACTGGTTCAAAAATTGTTGCCCTATGATGCACAATTTCGCTCAATTAAAGGCTACAGGAACAAGAGTTTTTATAGATAGTATAGTGTGCAGCAGAAACACTAAAAGTAATAGAGAAATAGTATTTTAATTATTAATACATCAGAATAGCATTGAGAATATAGGATGGTAATAATTTACATTGTTTATGTGATAAAGTTGGGTTTAGTAATGTGATCATTATTGTGATTCTAAACATATTTTCTGCTTCATCATTAAATAATTATTCTGCTAGTCATAAGAATGGAAAAAGTCTTATGCAACATACTAAAACTTTGTTTACTATCTCACCTTCACTATCTCTACCACACAGGAAATCATGCTCAGCTATCTAACCTCTTCAAGATTATAAAATAATTAACCATACCAGGCATGAGTGAAATGAAGTGGCTCTATTAGCCAGCCTTTGTCTATTATTTTCTTGTTTTGTTTTTTATAATTTTAATGTTTTTAGAATTATAGTAGTTTTACATAAAATGTTTTTAATTTTGTTGTACATGTCCAGAGTCACTTTTGGTGAGATGGGCAGCTGTATAAATTAGCTAAATTAGATAAAATAAAAATTAAAACCACATACTTTCTGATCTAATTATTATAAAGCATACAGAAAGGTTTTTGGATTGATAACCTCCATATTTATAATTTAAACATTATTTTCATCTAAATATCTCTAAAGATTTTAGAGATGCAAAGCTATAACATAATCATAAAATAATAGAGAAAAGGTCATTTCTGTACATGGCCAAGCCTTACAAATGTAATTATAATATACATTTTGGCAGGAATCTACCCAAATAGGGTAGAATGCCATTTCAACTGCTTTAAAAAGTGCTATATAAATGTTCGCTTTTGAATGACAAAAATCTAAATCCATTGATCCATCTAGTCTAGTCTATAATACGTAGTTGATTCCTGAAAAGTTGCATTTGGGGAGACCAATCTTCTCTTTTGTCAAGGTCCATGATATATTTAAAAATCAACCTGTACATTGGAAATAGCAATTTCTAGTAGTATCTTTATTCCCAAGAATACCTAGCAACTTAAATGGGCTGCATGAGCTTCCTTTAAAAATTTAAAATGATTAATGTTTGGAAGTATGATTAGCTGCAATAAAAACACTGTATAAAGAAGAGATAATAGCGTCCTACAAGAAACTATAGGAAGGACTGAAGCTGGCAAGGTGAGATTCTTGACAGAATTGCTATATAAACACTGAACAGTATTTCACTCTAAAAAGATAGCAACATTTAAATCTTTAAACCGACACATGTAGGCTCTTAATTTTTGTGTTCTGCACTAGGCTGATCTACATGTGCCTAGCTCCTGTTAATTTTTTTGCTGAAAACATATTTCTGAATACAGTACTGAGTGCCTAGAAAGTCAAGATATATCATTATATCTGAAGTGAAATCTGATAGGTGGCCTAGAGGGTGTAGCATGGAGCAATTTGGTGAATTTGATGTTTAGTAATGTAGCAACCAGACAAATCTTATTGCATACTTTGACAAAGTGACAAAATTAGTGAACCAGCAAAATGCTGTAAATATAATTTACTTGGACTTCAGTTAGGCATGTGATAAAATACTAATTTATCAACCTACTACTTGATAAGATAGAAAAATGTTGGTTAGACAGCATCAGCATCAGATAGATTTGTAACTGGCTGACCAACCACACTCAATATGCTTAATAGAACTGCATTTACATGGAGGGAAGTAGGCAGTGGAGTACCCCAAGGTTCTGTCTTAGGTCCAGTACTCTTCAACATCTTCATCAATGATTTAGACAAGGGGATAAAGGGGAACTCATCAAATTTTCCGACAATACCACTTGGCAGGAATAGCCAAATACTCCAGAAGATAGGCTCAGGATACAGAAGGATCTCAACAGACGTGAACACTGGGCCGTATCTAACAAATGAAATCCAATGCTGAGAAAAATGAGGTTCTATATTTAGGAAAGAAAAACCAAATGCAGAGTTATAGAAAAGGTGGTTTCTGGCTCAATAGTAGTAATTGTGAGAGGGATCTTGGAGTCCTAGTGGACAATCATTTAAATATGAACCTATAATGCCTTGGTAAAATCACACTTGGAATACTGCATTAAGTTTTGATTACCATGATATAAAAATATGTTGAGACTCTCTAGAAAAAGTGCAGAAAAGAGCAACAAAGAGATTGGAGAAAAAAACAAAGAACAGTCACAGGAGTTGGATATGTCTAGTTTAATGAAAAGAAGGACTAATGGCATGATAACAGTGTTCCAATATCTAAAGGGCTGCCACAAAAAAGAGGGGATCAACCTATTCTCCAAAGCACCTGAAGGCAGGACAAGAAACAATGCATGGAAACTAATCAGAGAGATACAATCTAGAACTAAGGAGAAATTTCCTGACAGAACAATTAATCAGTGGAACAACTTGCCTCCAGAAGTTGTGGATGCTCCAACACTGGAGATTTTTAAGAAGACATTGGACAACCATTTGTCTGAAATGGTATAGGGTTTCCTGCTTGAACAGGGGGTTGGACTAGAAGACCTCTAAGGTCCCTTCTGATTCTGCTATTCTGCTAACCACTGCTGAATGGAGAGCCTATCTACTGCCTATTTTTCAAGTGTACTTGTAATATATTCTGACCACTGCTGATGTATCTGCCAGTACAAAAAAATGTAGCCTTTTAGCTGATATGTAACAATTGTATAAGTTTTCAAAAACTTTAGTAATGAACGTAATCCATAATCATTCATTTAAATAGGAGAAAAACAGAAGACTTGGCAGAATGATGAAAATTTTTAATGAAATAACTTTTTAAAAAGTCAAATATAGTCACAAAACCATGGCTCTAAAAATGTAACAAATATCAATCAAATTGAAAGAAACAGCAATACAATTAGACAGACTTTAGTTAACTGGTACTAGAATAATCAACACAGTGCAATAACTTGTAAAATGCCTTCTCTGTTTAAAAAAAAATGTTTGGGAGAGTAAGAGAATGTACAACAAATTGTTAAAAAAATTATATAAATAAGTTCACTAAAGAATAAACATTTTATATGTTACAAAATAGAATTGAATTTCATCTGAAGGACATATTTTCATTATAGGCCAAATTTTAAACTACAAACCAGTCTATTCATTTTATTTCGGAAATTTTATGTTACTGATGAAAATGCACAGAATAATCCTTTATTCTTGTTCTCAGGGACAATATTGTATAAAGCTTAGACCTGATAAGTATAAATTCAGTTCTTTTAATCCCAGCAGAAAGGAAGTGCTGGCAAGTAATATCAGTTATACATTTATAAATTGAATTAATCAAAATGTTATTGAAGTTTAAATATTAAACTATTTTCCTTTGATGCCAAACTATCGGAAATACCCATGGACTAGCAGAAGGCCTTGCTAATATATTGGTATTAAATTACAATGTAACTACTTTCTGACATACCAGTTTGACATCTTTACAGAGCTCACTTCTAACCATAATTACTTAGAAATAAGTCTTATAGAGACTGAGAGACCTGCTCCCAATTTAATTTATTTGGGAATGCATTTTTAGATGTATTATTTTGAGACAGAACCATTTTAAAAGGCCATATCCTACATCCAAATAAATCTCACAGTGACTCTCTTAAATCAATGTAAGCAAATTCAATGTATTAATACTATTCACTATACTGCAAATGCTTTTGGTCCATCACAAGAATTCCCACAATTTAATCTTGATTTTGCTTACTCAGGGTATCGTCTAAAAAAAATAACTTACATGCAGTACAGTTATTACTAGAAAAGTTATTCCAAACCTATGATAAGCAAACCAACAGCGGTTATAAAATGCTTCAAGATCAGACAATGTTTCCCTGATTTCTCAGTAATCAATTTAAGATACAGGTTGCATGCATTTTGGTCTTATGTTATGAAGATTAAGTGATAAAACAAAATGTCGTTTATTTGAAGTAAGATTTACCATGAAATTGTCAGTGAACTCTCTACTGTGAACTGTTCCCAAATTGCCTCAAGGTGGCTTTCATGCTATAGAATTCTACTGGATTTATAAGGACAATAAGAGGAATATGTCTTGAAAATACCTCATAGTGCAAGAAGACTTATAGGACAACGCTGTACAAGTGATCTGCTTAGAAACAGGCTCAAATTTTAATCGGATTTAAGTGCACTTGGGACTACAGCAATCATTTCATACCACACAGTTATTAGTGAACCAGGATTTTGGCAATTATCTCTTGGTTAAAATGAGACAAACAAAGCAGTATCAATAATAGCTACCTCCAATCCCACCCAAGATTAATTTCAATAATGTCTTGGTTTAGTTTGCTTGTCAGTAGTTAAAGAGGAAATACAAACATACACTAAATTATACCTAATTAAAACAAATACATGAGCTGAATATATTAATAAGATTAAAGTGTGACAAGTGAAAATAAAATAAGTTAAAAATGCTTAATTTATATATTGGGACTAACTAGATCCTGTTCTCCATTTTAAGTTGTCACATACTGCATATACTATTATTCATTTATGCTATTTCTTTACACTACCATATGAACATGGCCAAAGTCTGTTATTTCCCAAACATTATGAGACAATCGTATTATTTTATTTTAATACATTTCTATTACACTTTAATTTCTCAATCTAAAATAATAGTTAATCTATCTCAAGTGAAATTATATTTCTATTTTCATCTACAACAATGCATGTATAAAGTTGAAAATTTTCTAGGATCAATTTCAGGCAAGGATAAATGTTCACTCTAAGCATTTTCCACAGATTTCATTAGCGTGTGGTTACAGAATTTTAGGAATTTTTGGTCTGCAATCCAAGAAGCACATACATCTTTCTAATTTTTTCACAGTAGAAAGAGAAACAGACCACATAAATACTTTGACTTGGCATGAGTTTAGTTAGTCTTTGGATAAGAGGTGTAGATACTGTAAAGTTCATGTGCATATGTGGTGTGTATACAACTCACACATGCAGAAGGAATATTACACACTATACCAATTCATCAAGAGTTTAAACTCTTAAGATGTGCTCTATCTGGAACTTTAATCCTTCTGCTTAAACAGCATTTCATCTTTATTTCAGATATTAATTTCCTTGGTTGAATGAGCGAAGTGTACATATGAAGGACAGTCAATATTAAATTGATTAGTTCAGTAGGAACAAATCTGACAACCACTGTCATTAAACAGCGAATGGTAAGGAAGGCACGGAACTGATATCTATTACAGTTTTAATTTGCTTCATATTTCAGTCTTATTCTCTTTTCTAAAAAGTCATTCCTCTATTTTCTACATTTGCAGGTAGAAATGATACTGTAATATCATTATAATAATTTCAACAACAATTCATATTAAACAAACCTTTAAAAGATACTGTGGGACTTAAGAACAAATGCAGTTGCTTTGTTGAGAAAAATGTTTGTTACTCAAGAGTTAAAAATAGAGCTCTGTAATTAAAGCCAACACAAATTTGCACATTTAAAATATATGTCTTTTCTTTCTTTGTATTTCTTCAAGAAAAATTTAACCAAAGCAAACAAATCTGTTTCATTTTCTGAACTCTAAACAAAGCAAACTCTTTGGGTTGAAAATGAGGATAAACATAGTGGGCCTCATTTTTTTATACAGTGTGGGACATCTAGAGATAAGCTTTAATTGAAAATAATTTCAATAATAGTATGAATTTATAAACGGGGAGGAGGGGAACATTAAATGCTGCTCATAAGTTTTACAACAAACAATTTGGTGGGTCCTTCTATCAGGGTTCTTCAAGACTGTTTTCAAAAATCAATAACTCTGAATCAGAAAATCCATTTGTACTATGGTTTTCCTTCTGCTGCCAAATGTTCCTTGCAGTTATTGTACTTTAAATGCTGTAACTGTTTCTCCAATCTCATATTAAATAATTAAAAAATGGGAAGGAGTAGCGGTATTTGACTTCCTCTTTAAAGTTAATAGTAAAAAAAGCCCACAATAGGAGTCAGTTTCATTTCCTCTCTGTATGTCTCTCACTAAAAATGTGGCAGAAATAGAAAATCACCAAACTTCAACAAAAACACCTCTTGGGAACATTCCCCAAGATCTACTACTTACAATAAATATTTGGTGTAATCATGCAAAGAATTAAGCATACTGGACAAACATCACAAGAAATAGTGGCTTTAAAAAGGCCTGCTCAAATCTGCCCCTGAAATATTAAGTATATTTATATGTCTTCTGCTACAGAGACATGAGCTGTACATATACATTCTATAAAACCTGAGCTATGAAAGATAATATGATTGCCAACTGGTAACTGCAATAGTTAGCTCTGCTATATTATGCTTATGCTACATTAAATATTGGCAGTGATTTTGAAGTGTGAATAAACAAAGGTGTAAAAGAAGATAAATACTTCCTGATTGTTTAAAGACTCAATATTTTATATGAGGGCAACCTTTTGCGGACACTATAATTGCACTCTTGCATATAAATTACAAAATCATTGCTTGTAATAGACCAAAGGACTAATTTGTGCATGCCCACTGTAATATAGTTCAGGACTGCTTTTTGTAATTGGTACTATCTTGTGTCTGTCTGACTATTGGTATAGTAACTATTATGTGCTTGTGTAAAGTCTTCTTGCTCCTGGAAATGTTTGCTCCTAGGAATCTGGAAGCGCTGTGGTAAATATGCATAAATTGCTTCCATTTAGTATCTTGATAAATGAAATAGATATTTCTGCCCTCTAAAATAAACATTTCCTAACTTGGTTTGGTTTAGTTTTAAATTATGCTCCATGAACATAATGTTTGAAACAAGCATTTGAAATTTCACCAATTTTAACTATATTTTAATGTTGCCAAATGTTGCCAATAGAACAGCATACTATGGCTCCAAAACTCTGAATTATGGAACTGGGGAAGCCTTTATTGTTGTCTTTTCCCGAATAATTCATCAAAAGCAAAATTGGGGGGGGGCACACTCTTTTCTTTTAAAGTTATGTTCTTCTCTTATTGAAAGAGAATGATGCAGTTTGGATTCCAAAGCTTTTAACATATATACAAATATCTGAGCAGATGACCATTTATGGGAGCTAGATGAGAGAAGGCAGCCTGCCAGTGGCCTGAGTAATCAACGTGCATACCATTCTACAAGATCTCCACTACAAAGCAAATAGCAGTGTACAATATCACAGTAACAATGCGGTTCTGGGCAGAGTTCTATAGGCTGTTTTGGCAGCTGAATTCAGTCAGTATTAGTAGCTAGTAGCGTAGAAGGAAATAATATGTATACTTCCAAAGAAAAGGAATGTTTTAACTTCAGTTCGTGTAAGTGCAATCAAAAGAAAAACAGACATTTAAATCTTATGTCCGGTGACTTGCTTTGCTGTAATTAAAATCTCAGCTTTGTATCTGCATACAACAAAGTGGAACTGCTAATGATCATTTGCTCCATTCCGGATAGTGGGATAAAGTAGAAAAGATATATAAACAAAATTTGGCCATCAGAAGGTGTACATCTTAATCTTGGCAATAAGACTATTTACTTTTTTAGCTGGCATAATAAACATGAAAAAAAAGAATCTTGTTGCGTAGGAGAGAATAAGAATTGTCAAATTTGAGCAAGTAGATGCCCTCGCCTGGATAATCATGGCTGCCTATTTGCACTTCTTGGTGGCTGTCCCTTCGGTAGACTGGCATGATTTCCCCGTAACGGTTTCGCAAATAGCTCTTGGCTCCTTTTTCCACATCACCAACAGGAATAGGACCTAAGAAGGGAAATGCACAACATATACATCAGCTATAGAAACCAATAGAAGGAGGCCATAGATACTCAGGATTATGGATCTAACTAAAGAAGTTTATACACAGAAAACATCATCACAGGTTTCAAAGCATCTGGAGATTAGACTTTCCATATTTGTCAGGAACCTGAGAATGTTCCAGTCCTGTCATTTAAAAAAAAACAACTGAATTCCTAAACTATTTTATCATTAAAGTTTATAAAATACTTATTGAATATGTAAATATTGCCATTATGTATTATATTGCACATTTGCATGATTAAAATAAAATTGGAATATTTCCCTCCCCTTGTCTTTAATCATTTCATCAAATGAACCTTCTAAGTTATTCCATAATTATTCCATAATAATACAAAATAGTGATGCTCATCAGTGTAAGAGGATAAGGAACAGCCAGTTACTCTCTATGCTCAGACATTGATTTATTCCAATGTTCTCATTCCAACTTCTAGCAGGTGAAGGATTTTCTATATTATACTGCAATAGAAGCAAGAAAAGAGTGAAACAATTTCTGCAGTGGCCCTACATTTATAGAATTCTTCCCTGAGTTATGAGAAAGAACTCTTGCTAGTTTTATGGGAAGACGTATAAAATTTATTAATTGTTGTGAAGGTGCTTATAGATTCTATGACTGAAGAATGTCATCAGCAGAGTTCTGAAACAACGACATCATCATCATCTAAATTTGAACATCGCCCAATTCCCAGTGAGTTTAGGCAATTCACAAAATAAAAACCAAAAAATAACAATAAAACTATATAACAATAAAGAAAGAGGAGTAAAAAGAGGGCAATAATGACAAACATACACATATAATACCTTAGCCAAAAATCTAGGCATAAGCCTTTTCAGTCACTAACGCTTTCTTAGAACAGCATCCTCCCTAAAGTCTGAATGGCACAAACTCTGATGTTATATACATTTTAACTTTATTTGCAGAAGTTGACATTCAAGCTGCTCAGAGCTTCCAGTGTTTGGAGCTACAACTACATCCAGTTGAATAAATAAACACACATTTTATTATCAGGATTTATTAAATTTCCCTGCTTGATAGTCTTTGGAATAATTTGAAGACTAATTGCACAGTTCAAGTTAAAGCAGTTAAGAACTTGAGTTCTTTAACTCAAGTTAAAGAGGTTATGTTTGCTTGAGAGACTATTTGGAACATAATGGTTTTACATATTTGTTTATTAAAGTTATACGTCACTATCGAAGACATGACATACCTTCAAATTCTTCTTCTTCGTCTTCTTCATCACTTGATTCACTGACCTGAACAGTAATGGCAGTACTAGTAATAGGAGTCCAATCAAAATAGACTCCAAACCCACTGTCATAATCTTCCGTAGCAAATTCCCAGCAGACGCGCTTCCCATCAGGATGGGTGGGCACCCGGACTGTTAATACCTCACCCCGTTTCACTAGCATTCGGGCATTCTTCTCCTTTGCCATCTTTGTTTTAAACTCCCTTATCTTAGAATTTGTCCAAGTAGTGGGAGGAATCAGTGGAGGTGGCCGAACTGGAAGAAAGAAGGATGATTTTTTTAGTTTTTATAACATAGATGCTGATAGAATTTTTAACAAGACTGGGTGTTCTAATTACAAGATTTCCCTTTTTTCAAAAGAAGGAATTAGGTTTCTTAATCCTTCTCTTAACTGACAAGACTCTCAAAATTAAACATTCCTTTTTCTTCTAAGAGTCTTTTTGACTGGCTGAATCTATTCTTTCAGTGACTCATCCATACTACCATACACTGACTATATAATGACTTAATTAGACATCTTAGCACAGCAAAGTTTCTAAGAACAAATTGGATGATAAAGGTGTAAATGATCACTACAATGAGGACCATATTAATTTGCCATACTTAAATTTTTTACTTTAAAAATCCATTGACTGTCCACTATGAGATCACTATCACTTTCATCCCAAGCATTAAAATTAAATAATGCGACAACAATTTTGGTCCTGTCTTATTTCAGATTTCTGTGGATTTCTTTTTCTATCATAATATTCTTTTATAATAACAATAATTATTTATTACATTTATATACTGCCCAATTTCCAAGAACTCTTGGCAATTACAGATTAAAAACTTGTAACACAAGAAAAAATATAATAGACAAAAAAGAGTAAAGGTGAAGTGACAAAAAATTAAGTTGGAACAAAATTTACTTATTTATTATTAAAGATGTATGCTGCCCATCTCCCTGGAGGCAACTCTAAAATAAATAAACCCACATAATCCAAAGGGAGGGTTCACACTCACCAAATAAGTATAGTGTAATAGCAAAATTTGAACTAATATAAGAGCTAAATAAAAAAGAATAAAAAATCAGTCCAACCAAGGGTAGAAATTATATACAACACAAAAAATGGAAAAACTAAAAACTAAATTAAACAGCAAAGAATCAAAATCTTTGTTGCTGCTTTCCTATATATGAACATTCAAAACTTACTGTACTCTATTACAAAACAGCTCAAATCTTGCATATTTCTTCAACAGAATGCTAGTTACTGATCCATATGAAAACATAGTAGTGAAAGCATAATCCTTGCCTTTCTTCTGTTCACTTAGAAGATCTGTAGTTTCTAACTCTGCAGACAAGATGTCTATTGCACCTGTATATTCAGATTGTATCATGATTATATCACCTGGTCCCTCTGGTGCAGAGTATTTTGTCACTTGTAGTATAGCTTCCTATACAGACAAATGTATAGAATATACATAAAATACAGTGATGTCAAGGTGCCTTAATATTTAACAAAAATAAGTTTTTTTTCTGTACATATCTTTATCTGAATTCTTTAACTACCTATTTGCAACTATGTCATCCTAACTAGGAAAAAAAACTTCAGAAGGTATTTCAGTATCATATTTTCTGAAGTTTTTTTTTTTCCTAGTCCACATTTCTTCAATTCTGGGCAACACAGAAATATAATCAATTAAAATATATTGGGATCCCAGAAAAAAAATACAGTTCAATAATCTTATTGTCTCCACTACGTATAAATTTCTTATTATCTCAAGACACGCATTTCAAAGCATACAGACGCTATAATGAAAAACATCAATAAACATGTTTATAAATAAAGGATTGTAACGATGGCTTGGCAGTAGAAATAGGCCAAGAGTCAAATCACCTACCTCTTTTTGGTGCTGAAGTTGATCAGTTAGGATCTTCTCCTCTCCAACTACATCTTGCTCCTGTGGATTACCATTAGCACTTGCAGGATCCTTTGTAGCATCTGAATTTACAGGTGATCCATTCTGCAGCCTCCCAGAGAAAGATAGCACAAGAATGCAGGATGTTTTAAGAACCTGATATAACCGGTAGGTAAAATGCCAATCAATTGGAAAAATAGACTTGTAAGGTGACTTGGAGTCAAACAGGATTCCTCTGGCTTATATTTTATATCCAGATGATCTCAGCTAAGCCAAAATTCAAATGAGAAATGCTGTGTTGTATTCCTTTAGGCAGCTGAAAGAATGTTATGTGCCATCAAGTTAGTGTTGATTTTTAAGTGACTATATAAGTAGATCTTCTCCAGGATGAGTTGTTGCTGAACCTTTTCGTAAACACTGGATTTGAACTATATCCAGCACTAAGAAACAATTAGCTATCATAGATAATGTATCCATACAAACAAGGCACAACAATTTGACTGCTTAGTTCAAACAACTTATTTGTAAAAATCAGTTTTAAAACATTGTAAAGAAAGAAAATGTACACTGTATAGCAAAAGCTTCTTATCCCTGCCAAATATTCCACAGGTTGATCATTGCATGTGGCTTAATGCAAATATCTAAACTTATCTGATACATTGTCATATCACTATCTAATTAAGTATTATCTATTCTGTTTGAACAAGAAGGAGCTCTCTAAAGCAGCAGACAGGGATTTTCTCGTGTCTGCTATGAAGGCTGTTTTCAAATGGAAATGAAGGAGACTGAACCTGTGTGCAGAATGTGATGTATTGACTGTTACTGTAAAGGGGAGGAGTCAAAATGTATTGTTGTTTATGAGAGCAGGTGTTTTATATACATAAGAGACACACGAAAGGATAAAACCATAGGAATAAGTGGCAGTTCTCTTCTCCACTTGAATTCCCTAGTGTGGATATATATCCATGTAGGGTAGACCCTAGGGGGATACAGCACAATAACTTGCCAGGAAGAAAATTCACCATTCTAGGAAAAAAATGATTACCTTAAGCCAAGAGAGAGGAAAGAGAGAGAGTAGGCCAATAGTTAGACTTCTTCAACCAAATTCTTAGTAAATTAATTTTTGTGCAACTGGCCAATGTCCAATGCATCCATTTTATAAATGGGTGGTTCATAACCAACAGTGGTCCCATTTGTGAAAGTGTATGCATGTCATTTTCTCAAAATTCAAAATATTTCTACTAGCCCAAAAAGTATAGGTGCCACTGCTGTAAAGTTTCCATGCATACTGATATATAATGCGCTCACATGTGGTCATGTGATCTCAGGGCAAGCAGGGCAACATTTTATGATGCCAAAAGCATTTTACAGGCCTTAATGCACCATTTCTGAGGCCATCATAACTGAATGGTCATTAAACAATTGGTTTTAAATCAAGGACTACCTCACTACCACATTCAGTCTCAAATTTCACTAACTGGAAGAAGGAATCAAATTCCAGTGGCAAGGTAAGATAGCAAAATAAACAATGTATTTTTCTTTGAATGATATAAAAGTGCAATGTTCTCTACACTTGGCAATGTAAGAAAAATAGACAAAAGTAATTGAAAAGAATACCATGAAAATATTAGAATGAAGACTTCAGTGTAAGGTCACATGGTTACAAAACTACTTAATTGTTTGAGTTTTTAACATGGTTAAAATTGTTAATTGTAAAGGATGACTGATCTCCCTTCCCTCCTCCCCGATTTGTTTTCTTTGCTATTCCCTATTTTTGTATTGTTCTTTGTTTTTAAATGTTTAAAAACTGTATACACCTCCCAGAATTGCTGGGAGTCATCTGGCATATACATCTGATAAACTGTTATTATTAATATAAAGTAAAACTAAATAGGCTATTGCCTAGACCTTACCTGTATAGTATTCCCTAAGAAACTCCCTACAAAGTATTTCAGTAACCTGTCGCTCCTTTATCTCTATACCATCTTATGCATGTTTTATATTATGTCTGAAATCAGGAACCAATTAAAGCTTCATTGCTATTATCCCTCTCTGCAGAATCACATTCCTATTTTTAAGGAACTATTTTAGGATCTATCACGCTATTCTGCATAATATTAATTTTGCAAAAATACTAGAAAACTGTTCTTAGTCCTAATGCTAATTCTACATGTTGTTTTAGTAAGAGTATTAGATATTATTGGAACTAATCATGTGTAATGAGTTAATGAGTAGTGGTTAAGATGCTGAACTAAGACAGGGGAGACTTATGACCAAGTCTACCTTCTGTCATGAAAGCTGCCTGGATGAATTTGGGCAGTTACCCTCTCAGCTCACCTACCTCACTGGGTGCTTGTTGTGAGGATGAAATTGGAGGCAGGAATGCTATGATGGCTGCCTTGAACTCCTGGAGGAAAGATGGAATATAAATCTAACAATAAATGCAGCTAAAAAATAAAATGTTCACAAACATTTTTGCTGTGATTTTTTCATTTTTATATATTTAATTGTCCCTTACAGTTCATACTAGTATCAAGCATACAGATAAGCTTTGAATCATAAATAAAACACCAAACAAATTTAAAAGGTAACAGCATTGCTATTACTTATCCTTATGCCGTGATTATCAATAATAGTTAACAAGAAATATACATGAAGACCCTGTCTAGTGAGCATTCCAAAGGTATTGCTACTCATCATAGCCAGTGGGAGAAGATGACTTGTCTTGGGAGTATGGAATAGTGCTTTGGATTCTGTCTAGCAGCATATTAGCAATCAAAAATAAAAACAAAGATCAACCCAAAGGATTTATATCAAGAGACTCACAGTTACTATCTTACCTGCATGGTAATATATCCTTTTCTGAAACAATAGCTTCTTGGACTGATTTTTGAGCTGAATCTTCATTTTCTAGAAGAGAGCAAAGATAACTGTAATATTTCATCTTTTAGTACTTCTAATTACCATTCATTTATAGGCACTCAATGCTTTATCAGTGGCAGAGTCATGCTATATACTGCTTTTAGGTAAGGTTCAAAGCATCCCATTTCCAGAAGAAATATGAGACAAGCCAATATATTTACTAGTTAACATAACATTCACGAATGGAAGAGGTTTCTATTCTAAGATAGCATACCTGACCACAGGAATTTAGTCCTAAACAATGCTAGACAATTATGTTTATAATCAGACTCACAAAGATTAACCTACAATAGACACCAAAAAGGATGGATCGACTACATTACTCTTAGTGGGATTAGTCAACAATATATTTATATTTGTGACATAAGATTCAGGACCTATAAGAACCATGTCTTATAATTTATCATTATCATTTTTATGATAATTTTATCAGTCCAGCAGAATACTGTGATTTGGTCTGGAAAGGTATAGTTTCTATAAAAATAAATGATAAATGATCTTAAAGATATATTTGTTTATTTAAGATGACAGAACTGAAAGTCTCTAAGTGAGAATAACCAATTGGAATTATGATGTTCTTCTAAATGAAATACAGATATATAAAAAAAATCCCTTGTCTCCCCTATGGGTGGTATGTTTCTTCCTTAATCCTAGATCCTCTACCAGAGCCTGGGAGTTTGAGGGTTCTGTAACTGTTCCTAGGACTGCACTCTTCTGGGCAGAGAATTCTAATATTGATCCTGGGGTTTCTTGGGGCCATCCTCCCAGCTTAAAAGTAATAGTTCTGACTGCTTCTACCACCAGTGGGACCATTTTGGTCTTTATTTTTCACATCTTCTCTAATTCCTCCTTCAGGACCTGGTACCTCTCCAGCTTCTTATGCCCTCTTCTTGATTTTGCTGTCACTTGGCACTGCTGACTTCTATTTTTTGTCTACCACCGTCTGATTGATTGGCCATTACCTGTCTGTTTGTCTGGATCCGGAAGTCCCACAAGATAATCCCAGTTATTTTCCACAAACGTCTCTGGAATCTTCCATCTGGACTTGTGAAGGTCTAACCCATACACTACTGAGAAGTTCCTGTATACAATGCCAGCTACCTGGTTATGCCATTCAGTATATGCTTCTCCTGCCTGCATTTTACACCCTGCAACTATGTGTTGGACTGCCTCCAGGCCTCTCTTCATAGTCTGCATCTCAGGTCCCGACTAATGTGGCAGAACCCTGCTTATATGGATCCGGTGTTTATTGGCTGTTATACTGCTATAATCAATACCTCAGTGCTGTCTCTTAATGTCTTTCCACTCGTAGGATTTCCTAATATCTGCCATCTCATCTGTCATCCTCTGCTTGATCTTCCTCCCATGTTTGCTGCTGCCTCAGGCATTCTCACAACAGCTCATCTTTGGGTGTCATCTTACTGATGTACTCCTGAAGTTTTGCCCAGGACAATGGCTTTGACAATCGCCAGACCTCACCTGCCTTCTTTCTAGCTGGTGTACAGTCTCAGTGGACTTGTAGTTGACTACATAGTCACAAAAGACATACATACAAACCTAAGCATGTTGGTGCCAGTAATTTGGTTCAGATTATCATTTTTTCTTTTTTAGAGAGCCTATATATCAATATCTAATGCACCAATTACTTCATTCATTCCTTCATATGATCCATAATTAAACCAGGCATCTCTAAAAGAACTGCATTTTCTCATTTTATCCAAAGAGCTTTAGAGGAAGGCAAAATATTGAATAATTGTTTGAAGGACAACTTTTCATTTAATGTTGACTTGCATGGGCACAAGATTTCTTCAGAGTGATGTGCAAAACTCTGAAAAAATGAATTTCTTAATTTAATGAATGAATTTCTGGGAGAGTTAGTGCGTATTTGATTATGGCACTCAATTTGTAGGGCAAACCCTATCCATGTCAATAATTTTCCTTCTTTTAATAGCATCTGCCATATGCTCTTAAAATGTCAAATATACCTTTTGGCCCCAAACAGATAGGAGCCATTGATCCACACTTTAACCCACTCAAAATGCTAGTTCATGGTTTAATACCGTATGTCTTCTAAATCCCCCAAATTGGGCTTTGTACAAACTATGGTTCAGCAATGACAAAACATATCATGCAAAAATACCCTACATCAGCCTTTTCCAATAACATGTCCTTCAGATGTATAGGGACTGCAGCTTCTACAATTCTTAGCCAACTTGTCTTGTGCCTGGGAATTCTGGGACATATAGTTCCAAATTCCAACACTTTTGCAAGGCATCAGGTTAAGAAGACTAGTCTAGACTTATTATCATTTCACACTCTATTCTTTCTAATAGTTTCATTTGGCAACATCCTTTGTATATTGATAGAGGTTTGACAGAACTAAACAAGCACCATAAATACTGGATATTCTCATAAGAATACCATGATTTATACAGCACCTCAAATGAGGTTCAAAGCAGTCTACATATATTATATTATAAATTGCATCAAAAGATAAAATTCTAAGAAGATAATATTCTCTTGAATTATATACTTAGTACATGGAATTTAATAACAGGACAACATAAATGGATTCTTCATGCTTGTGGGAAGAATCCAGAGAAAGAAATATTTTGGGAAATATTAAAAAGGCAGAATAGATTTCTCCAAAGGATCTTAAAGGCAAAAAAGCAACCCCAGGTTTTCTTAATAGCCCCAAGCAGAAACTAGGCAGAGGCTAGCTTTTAGAAATGCAGATGTGTGATAATCCTATTCAGGAAGGTTGGAGTCAGGGAGCTAGAAGAAACTGATGAGATTAGAAAGACAAAGACCCCTAAAATCTACATGACCCTACCCAAACTCTAAGGACAGGAAACATAATAGGATTGACCCACCAATACCAAAAGGGCATACTCAGACTCAGGTCAAAGTACATGACATAGGAAATACAAAGCCTCAAACAGGAACAGGAAACAACTTCAAAAGCCCAAGATGGTATAAAAACCTACCACTCCCAGCTACATGTGGTCAGCTTTTCCAGAGCCACGTTTCTGTCTGGTTTTGCTCTTCAACAAACTACAACATTTCTAAAGCAGTCTCCATTTTGTTTATTCCCTGATGAAGATTTTTCTTTCAACATACCCTTGCTATAGCTAAAAGACTGAAATTGCAGCATTGGAAAGATTTACTCCATTTACTCAGTGAATGGAAGATCTGACTGCACTTGCTACTTGCCTATAGATGAAAACTTTGCATGGACAAATATAATGAAATTAGAGACTCAAATAAAGTAGATTAAAAACATGATAGTTCTAGAAGTTCATTAGAAATGAACACACATAAATGCCTAGCGTTTATATTAAATAATTATATAGATAAATCTGTTTATTCTAAGTTATCCTTTATTTTTTGTAATTTTTCATTCATTTTATGCATTTGTTATGTATTTTTAATGTATGTATTTTTGTGTTTTTTACTTTTCTTCATTTTCTATTTTAAAAGCAATAAACATTATTTTAAACAATTTCATAATGTGCATTAAAATAATTTAAATGGTTAGAAATTATGTACAAATTGGTTATCCTTTTCATATCCTTAATATGAATAGAGTAATAATCTCCTGAAGCTGGTTTTAATGCCATGAAACACAGAAACTGCTATTAGTATTGTGATTATTTCCAAGGAAAGACATTACGAGATTTTTTTCTCAAATACGAAAATGATTCAGTCTACTTTGTATATTATAACCTTCAACTGGGATCTACAGGTTATAACAGATGTCAAATAAAACTTCTGTATGTACTATATTTCGGAGAGTTGTCTTCTAGAACCTTGGTCTCTGAAATGAAGTGTACATTTACAACAGGGAGTACACAAATTGATTCATTGGATTGTAGGAAGGAAATAGTACAAAGCCTATTTATTATCTAGAAAAATAAGAAATTAAATTATATAAATACTATAATATTGTATATAATATTTTATATACATTTTAATATACTATTTATAATCAAAATCACATGAAGTATTAGTACCACTTTATAAAACCTTAGTAAGGCGACACCTGGAATACTGTATCCAGTTTTGGTCACATTACAAAAAAGACGTTGAGATTTTGGAAAAAGTGCAAAGAGCAACTAAGATGATTAAAGGTCTGGAGAATAAAGCATATGAAGAACGGTTGCAGGATTTGGGTTTGACATGATAGCAGTATTCCATTATCTGAGAGGCTGCCACAAAGAGGACGGGGTTAATTTATCTTCCAAAGCACCAGAAAGCAAGACAAGAAACAATGGATGGAAACTAATCAAGGAGAGAAGCAACCAGGAAGCAACTTTCTAAAAGTGAGGACAATTAACCAGTGGAACAGCTGGCCTTCAGACATTGTGGGTGCTTTCATTACTGGAGGTTTTTAAGAAGAGACTGGACAGTCACTTGTCTGAAGTGGTATAGGATCTCCTGCTTGAGCAGGAGGCTGGACTAGAAGACCTCCAAGGTCCCTTCCAGCTCTATTCTGATTAATTATGTAATATATTCATTCAGTAATAATATATTAACATGCACATATTGGAGTCCATGTTCAAACTTCTTTTTATTGATTGGATTGCACTGTTAAAAAGGTCTGGAGACTACTTTGGAAAATCACATATAAAACTTCAGGCTAGACACTGTCATGTTTCTTTGATCTTCAAATTAGTGAAAACAGTACTTAATTCTACATATTATGAATACACAGGGCAAAAAGCAATAGCTTCTGGGCATATAAAACAAGAAAGCAAATAACTTCAATAGCTTTATCACTATTACATGATGCAACAGTTGCACCAAGCTACATTAGCCTAACTATAGAACAGCTGGTATGTTAGGGGAAAACATAAACATTGCAGTGCCACAAGGGAGAATTCTCTCACAAACAAAATTATCAATGTTAGAGTATAAGAACATTACTGAAAGAAAAATGTCAACCATATTATTATTTGGCTCATAAATACAACATGATACACTATGATATTCTCCCCCAAATTTGGTCATTAGTTGGATATGGTTTTGCTCTTTGCTGACTACAAAGATCCTATTTTCTGATATTAACCTTATCATTGCAGGTTTATCTTTGGCTACCAAAATGCAAGAGTTTCTAAAGAGAGAGGGAGAAGTTCTGGGGCTATAGAAAAAGCACCGATTCCTCCATTAAAATATAGACAATCATTTGTACACAAAAGATCTAAGGATACTTCAATGGTGCTCTTCTACTTCATCAACCAAATACAAGAAGCATCTCTAATAATCAACTCCCAGACATGCATACTGTTTCTCTGTAGAGATTACAAAAGAGCAAGATGACAATTATGCAGGCCTGGAAGTAAAAGATTCTCCAGGTGACAAAGTTTCCAGGGACTGCTCTATCATAACTAAAAGCATATTCTAATAAGAAGGGTTATTTACAGATACAGTAGGTGGCCTATTAAGATGTGCTGCTAAACATCGTATGAAAGGGGCAGGGTGGGCAGGGAAAGGAGAGAAAGGGCAAGGGAAGGACAATTTTCTTAACTTGCTAATTATACACATCCAAACACACCTCACCTCAGTCCCTAAGGCCACCTCATATTTACTTTCCTTCAGACAAAAGGCAACGGAGTCCGCCAAACAGAGGAACCGAAGTTGCAGCATTCTCACGTGGCCTTGCTGCCGGGAAGGAAATGACCTGTTGAATTTCTCCCTGCCAGGCCCCAACCACAAGGAGAAAACGCAAATAACTCGGATTTGTCAAGTCCACCCTGCCTTCTGCGAGACCCTTGGCCCAATGGGGAGGCGAGGCCTGGCGGACACAACGATTTCCCTCTCCACCTCTTTCTAACTGCAGTCCCGAAGGTACCTGGAAGAGACGGGAGCGGCGATGCCGCGGCAAGTTTCTCTTGCTCTTCGGCCCCGCTAGCGCAGTAATGGTCACCGCTGCCTCCGCTTTCCCGGCCTCCGAGCGCGGAGGATTTGAACGGGGTATCCTCGGGAACGGCCGGTTCGTCCGACATCGGAAAGGAAGACAAAGAAGCCCCCGAAGTCAACCGGGGAGAGGCGAAATGATCCGGAAGCAGCCGAGAAAAGCCGAAGACACTCTGCTTTCTCTGAGAGCGGCCGATTCTCAGGCCTTCCCCACTACGGAATTCCCGCCTAACCGGCCGCAAACGAGAAAGGTCCTCGTCAGGCTGCGACAGAGCGTTTCCCGACGACAGAGAGCGAAGCAAGGAAAGGAAACGCGACGACACGTCCCGGAAGTACTGGTTTCCATGGAGACCGCTCCAGGAAGGACGCGTCGTCATAGTACCGGGATAGTTGCCCTCCTCCTTCATTTCTCCCCCTATTGTGGGAACGATGGACAGTAACACGATTTTGCGGACGGATGTCGCAGACGACGAAGACGAGGAGGAAGAGGAGGAGGAGGAGGAGGAAGAAGAAGAGGAAGAAGAGGAGGAAGAAGAGGAATATGAGGAGGAAGAAGAGGAAGAGGAGGGTGAGTCGCTGCCCCGCCGCCGCCGTCGCCGCCGCCGCCGCCATCCTTCCCTTAAGTCTCAGTCTTCAATCAAAGAAGGCAGCCGACCCTCGGCTGCATCCGAAACTATGCTCGTGCCCGAATCGCTGCTCGAAGCCGAAGTCAAAACTCCCACCATCGTTGGTCCCTTGTATTTATCCTGGACTCCCGAGGAGGTGGCTGAATGGATCGGCGACCTGGGCTTTCCTCAGTACAAGTTAAGATCGGGTTTCCTTGCAAGTGCCAATCATTGCTAATAAAACGTCATTTATAAGTCATAGTCAGTATAACTACTAGTAAGCTAAAATTAGGTTCCGTATCTCTTGTTTAGATTCGTTGGTCTATCAACCTATTTCAATATGAAGATGAGTTCAGTGGCACTTAAAAATGTAAAGGAGGTCCCAAAATTTTGTCTCTTGGATATTCATAAATCATTTTTTTCATATTTTTGTAGGTGCTGCTAGCTGGTTAATTGGAAGAACAGAACATTTGAAGTTAATAATAATTTTTTATTTTGTTTTAAATAGGAGTGTTTTACTACAAATTTTATCTCAGGACGGAAACTCATATATGTAACGTGTTCAAATCTACCACAGATTGGAATTACTGACTTTGAACATATGAAGGTGAGAGCATATATTCATTGTATCTTTCCTAGAGTGAAAATGCTATACTTAACATTTTGTGCATATTGCAAAACTGACAAAAAAAAATAAGATGAGTTAAGCGCAGGCTGGTTTTCCTACTCATAGTATGATAGATTTATTTGACACTTGGTGCTTCTGCAGCAACTTTTGTTCTCCCAGATTCGTGACATCTGTTATCAGGCATTTATTCAGTCAGTCAGTCATTTTTCACAAATAGATGAAGTTGCAACAGTCTTGTCTTTTATGAAGAAGTAACCAAAATATGGTAGGCAAATAATATTTTTTCATATTTTCCTGTTTTTATGTTACATCTCCCTTTAACTCTTTGTCAGCAAAATCTAAAAAGAATTACAGAAATAGTTTTTCGCAGTAGCAACTTGAGCCTGTAAAACGCTCCTAGATTGGGGCTGAAAGGCAAACATAATCATAACAGTAGACCAGGCACTCTATTAGACACTTATATGGTATAGTGGTTAAGGTACTAGCCTGCAAAACAAGAGATTGTGAGTTTCAGTCCCACCTTGAGCATGAAAGCCAGCTTTGGTCTAGTCACTCTTTCTCAGCCCAGCCTTCCTCACAGGGTTGTTGTTCTTGGGGAAAATAGGAGGAAGTTATTATCCATATTCATGCCTTGAGTCACTTATAAAGTAACAAAGATGGAATAAAAATCTAATAAGTAAATACTATGTGAGAGTCAGTTTGGTGTACAATAGTGCTTAAGGCGTCAGACTGAAAGACCAGATGACCATTAATTCTACTCCTTCATTTAGGCACACAGCCAGCTGGATGACCTCAGGCTACTCCCTTTCCCTCAGTCCTAGGAAGGAGGCAATGGCAAGCCTCTTCTGAAAAATCTTGCCAAAAATTTGGCAAGGGATTTGCTCAGGCAATCTCAGAGAGTTGCATGTGATTGAACAGAAGGAAAAAAAATAACCATATAGTTATTTTAAACTAAAAGGATCCTGTATGGAAGAATCCATTAATTATATTTTTTGTTCACATAGATAGGATGTTGCCATGGCACTGTTGACTATTGATGATTTTACTTTTTTATTAATTTTCTCTTTTTGTACTGACTTTTCTGCAGATGTTTAATTGGTAAATATTTAAGATTACAGTATTTTAGTGTTTGTTTAGAAATTAAGAATAGTTGCTAAATTAGAATGTTAGAAATGTATGCATATTAAGATGCTATTCTTCTGTTACAGACATATTTTCCAGCTTTCCTTACTGAGAATGAAAAGGATTTGTATGTCCATGTTTCTTTATTGTGGCAAAGCTCATTTTAAGCCTTATGGTATATAAAAGATTAAGAACCAAAACTACACATAACAGTGGTACATTTATATGACAGTATAAACTGCATGGGATTATTGTGAATTATGTGCCACCCACCTCCTAGTGGGGTACTACAATGACAACTGTGTAGCTTTAGAAAGATGAACATAGTAATTGTTTTCTAGATTTTTTTCCTCTTTTTTTCTTTGCAGGAAATTTCAAAGCATGTACGAGAACTGCTGCAATTTGAAGAGCCACTTTTTGAAAGAAGTATCTCTCTACCACCTCGAGATAACATTGGATTGTTCTTAGAACAAAAGTCTCGAACTGGAAAACACAGTGATGCTCTTAGTTATTCTCAGTTTGTTCAAGAAGCAAGATTACAAGATTATGAACCAAAGCCTCCAACTCCAGAATATGTATGCGAACCCCAGCCTTCAACGCCATCATATGAAGAACTACAGCAAACCAGTTCATTTTTCTCAAAATAAGAGAATATTCGTTGTTCTTATGTTTCAGATATTACATTGAAATATTTTCCTGTATTTCTATTTCAGTTTTCACAGGGAACAAAATTGCATATGGATGCAGTTTAACCAGTATCCTAATCCTAAACTTGATAAATAGAATATCATGGAGGAAGTGCTTCCTGATGCAAAACAGAAATTTTTCCACATCACTAATGCAAAATAAAGCCATATGTGAACACAGAGGATTGTTCTTACTGGTACTTATGATGAAGTCTTATCATTTGTTCTGTGAGGACTCTTGTAAGAATATATGGGGCTTCAAGTCAGCTGCCATATATTAATGAATTGCTCTAAATACTTAGGATCACATGACAGCATCCCTTACAAAAACACTAAAGTCCTGCAGTGCTGCTTAAAATGTTCTAGTGCCATATAAAATTAAGAAATTTTACCATTGGAATTTGCTAATTTATCAGCGATGTGATTTAGAACTTTCATTTCTTTAGAGGTATATGTGTCAATTTCACTGCAGGTCCAATCTTATTCTAAACTGGGACAAATGATCATTATCATAATGATAAAAATGCAACAATATTTAGCTAAACCAATTTATATTTTGTTAATATTCTTAAGTTTTAGATAAATGCAAAGGTGGAGCAACATGAAAAATCAAACAACCAAACTTATAAATACAGTATTTAGAATATAATTTATGTCTGAAAAGTGAATGCCAAGGGAGTAACCATTTCAGATTTAAAAGATACAATAAAACACAAACTTCAATTAAAAAGCCATATATGACAGACTATAATTCATGGTGGAATTTGTGCACAAAATTACAGTGAAACACATTAGTGTATTCATGTGAATGCTGCATTGAGACAAATATAGAAAGGTGGACATGTGAATTGTTTTTTTTTAGAATTTTCCTTGTATTTTGCATTTATGCCTAATTTTTCATTGCAAAATTTAATTTCCCATTGGCTTTCATTAATATTTACCATTTAAATTCCTATAATACCATTGTAGACATTGCTTCCAAAGTTTTTTAATGTTAAAAATGAGAGCAAAAAAATCTTTCCACTTCTAACAGCTTGGATAATTTATGAGTCTTCAGAATCAGTACTAGATGTCTCTTCTGTTTTCTTTGCAGGAATTTTATCAATTTGAAAAATCAGTGATTTAGTGGGTTTTAGCAGCACTGCTGAGAGTGGTATCTTTTTAGTCATAGAAGTCGTCAAATCTTCACTTTTCATGGCTAATGCTGTTATCATGTTAAAATAAGATGAAGCAATGATTTCCTGAAGAGAGGTATTTGTTTCAAGAAGCTGGCTAAGAGGTGAGTCTTTTAGCTGTACAGTTGTTATATCAAACCAGGGGAAGGAACTAGAAGAGAAAATTCTATTATCTATAGATCCTGAAGTTATACAATAAATCAGTATTGTTTTGTCATTACAGAGGTAAAGGAATGGAAATGGGAATACTATATATTTAATGATTAAGCTCTAGTCTATAAAGATTCTTCAGACATCTATCATTTCTATCTGCATATATGCAATTTACCACTGACTCCAAGCAGGTCATCTAGACAGAACCTGCTCCTAGTACCCTACTTTGGGAAGGAAAGAAACTGAAGCCAATAGGTACTTAGTTCTCTGAAAAATCTTCCTGTGGAAATAACACCAGCCCTGCAGATCCCAAAATATGTATGTGCTGCCCTGGGATTTTAAAAAAAATTTCAAGGTAAGCACAGCAGTTCTTCATATCTATCACTATGTAAAATATTAGCTATTAGTTCACTGTTCTGGCCTTGGGTCAGAAAAAATCAGTAAAGACAGCAGGAACTAAAAAAGGTTGGGAACTCTGAATTGGTCCCTTTCCTGATTGCATTCAGAAAAATGCTGAAGACAGAACTTTGCTTGAAGGTATTGTAATTAGATTGTGCCATCATTTTTTTTTATTTTTAAGATACTTCATCCAAGAGTTATTTTGTTATATTTTTAGTTGCTATTTGTAGTTATTAGGGGGACAATCTTGTCATGGTTGCCTCTGTATTCCAGAGATTAACAAAGCACTCTACAGAATGGCTGTCCAAATTGATGGGAAAATCCCCAATCATTATTTAAAAACCCTAAATTCCATCAGGTACTTGGGGGTTGAGCATCTTAACTCACCTTTCTTTTCTGCAGATGCAAGTAGCTTCAGTTAATCTCATTGTCACAAGAAACTGAGCTGTCCATGACAAAGAGACTGCAGGAAATATTCCCCAGAACTAGATCACATACTATCTTATCCAAGATAAAGGCCAAATGTAATGGATGGCCAGCCGTGTAGGTAGGGCCAGTGAAGACCTGTTATAAGCCCAAGATTGTCATAATGGCTATCCAAACACTCAAAGTGCAATTATGTGGCCATAGGTAGGGGAGTAACCATTGCAACTTTGAAACGGTTTGTAACTCTCTTTTACGAGGTAGGTCCTAACTTCAAACAATTGCTAAGTAACCAGTCATAAGTCTAGGACTACCTGTATACAGAACCTCTGCGCTAGCCTGAACATATTTACAGTACATAATGTTGTACATAAAATCAGCTTTACATTCAGGATTACTCATAAGAGAAATGCCTTCAATTTACTATAAGTGCAAATTGTGCTTTCAGTAGCCTCCATATGATGGCTTAACTTTAAGAAGCAGCCCAGTCTGAAACAAGACGGGTCAAGTTACTAAAAATGAAGGCTGATTTGTACAAGAACTCAAACTGTATATACCCAAGAGATTGGGTATCATGCACCAAGATAGGTCTCAAGCTGAGGTACAGGGAGGAAAAAAGCCTGCATGTATAGCACCATTCTCTTATACTATTGGAATCCTGATGTGTTACTGGGGATTTGATTGGGGCAGGGGAGACTTTGGATGAGCTTGTGAGGATAGAAACTCCTGTGGCTTGTGACTCATATTATTTCTCTTAAAAAAACTAAGCCACTCATAAATTCCATAAATGATGCATTATCAGTGTTAAAAATGTTGGATAAAACAAGATTAAACACAACAATTTTCCACTGGATTTTACTTACTCATCAGCAGCCAAGGAGGAAGCAAAGGCTTGGTTGATAAAATGTTCACAAACTAGAAATGGTGATGAGGTGGTGGCATTGCCTTCACAAAAACATACTTGATTGAGCAATCCCAGAGCCTTTGTGTAGGAGAAATGCTGTTGTGTATAGCTATTTAAAGCTGCATAAAATACAGCAGCCAGCCACTTCACGTTGACAGTTATTTCACCTGGGAAAAAAAAGGAAATATTTTCTTTCATGTTTAGTTCACCATGCCGCTTTAGTAGCCTTCTTCAACCTGTTACCATCCCATCACTCTGAGTCATAATGGCCAATGGAAAACACCAAGTTGGAAAAAAATTGTTTAAAGCTTAAACTGTAAAATACAAGCTAATAAAGGAAAAATGTTTGTGCTGCTCCTGCTTTGAACATTTGGCCTTTCTTTCTATAGCCATCTTTACCATCTCATTCTGCTGCATGGATAGGACACAAATAATTCTATAAGCCGAAAAAGAACAAGCGAAAAAATTCCATTTTTCACAAGGTTTTCAAAAGTCCACCTACTCTTGGAGTTGCAAGGACATGTCGCCTGGATAATTGCTGTATTTTTGAGGGCTTCCAAAACTGTTCTGTTAGCCTCCCACATGTGAAAAGAGCTGTTCTCAGAGCACTTATACTGAGGCCTCAAGATTGAACAGGAGGAAATAAGTTGCTTCAGTCTGAAAGTAAATAAGATCTTAAATTATGCAGTTGGGTTAAGTATCAAAATGCAAGTGTGTGAAAAGTATGCATCTATGGATCTTACCTATTGTCAGCTTCTGCCTTCAGCCAATTATTGCTTATATACTGTGCATACACAGAATGAGCATGTTATGTATATACTGATTTCTTGTTCTACTATACATGAACACAATAAAAAAGATATAAGCTCAGTTTCAACAACAGCCCTATTTATACCACTGAAATGTAACCACAAAATATACGGATATTAGCTAGAAGTGGGGATACCCTTAATACTCAAGCCTGATTTTCACTATTTCGGAAAAGAGTTCTTTATATACAAGACCTAAGATGTGCACGGCCAAATTCCATTTCTGGTGATTACGCTCATGTAACGTTCATATATATATAGGTTCGTATATTGGACACTTCTAGCAACAAACGTGGGAGGAAGCATGATTTTTTTTCCCAATTCATATTAGCATTAATATCATAATGTGCCATACCTGCTCAAAGGGATTGCTGTGACCAGGCTGTATATAATACATGAGTTTTTGAGAGAATCCTGAACTTCTGAACATATTTGTTGAAGATGACATGGAAGACAGCAGAGAAAAGCAACATCTGCCCAGCCTACCAACTGCTTGTTGTTATAGATACACTCAACTCCCAGCTTGTGGAATTCTACTAAAAAAAAAAAAAAAGATAAAGAAAAGGGAATGTTTAATTTCTGCTTCCATAGAACAAAACTTTAATTGAAGAGTCTTCAGTCTTTAGTTTCCTTCTAAATCTCCAGAAAGATAAGCATGTTAATTTGTTACAATACTGAACTTGGTAGACAACACCTCCGGTTGTTTGATTTACAGCTCATACCTAACAATCACACTACGGCTGTCCATTTCCACTTCTTTGGTCTTCCAGAGACTATTGCTGTTGCAGTTTCTTCTTTTAGCTTTTTTTTAGACAGCACAGATTTGATCTTATAGCAGAGCTATAGTTTCTGTCGTTCACTCTTTTTAGTCTATATAGTTATTATCCTTAACAATTGGTTTTATGTTATAATTATTGATTTTATACTTTTTATATTTTTACTTTATGCTGATCAAGGATCCCACTAAAGATACATATAGTATCTTCTTCATGCCATGCTATCAGTCTTGGTTTGGATGACTAGTGGTCAGGGATTATGGGAATTGAAATAAGAAAACACAGAGAGCACAATAACAGTCTTCCTATCACTGGTGCAATGTATGTGCTCCATATCTTTATAAAGACAGCATTTATTTGTTGTATACTGATGTGCATAAACATAATAAAGATCATATTTCTTGGACTACTATACTATAAAATAAAACTACTCCAGATGAAATTAATAGAGAATTATAAATTACTTCTAAAAAGATGAAAACAAATAGAAGCCAGAATATGTGATTTGGAGGGAGGGACGGCATCCAGTTTCTTCTACAGATAGTCCTTTGACTTATGATCACAACTGGGACCTGAGCTTCCATTGTTAAACAAGATGGTTGTTAAATCTTATCTCTTTTTTGCCACTGTTGTTAGTGAATCACTTAATTTGGTGAATCATGTGGTTATTAAGCACATCTAGCTTCCCTCTTTGACTTTACTTGTTGGAAGATGCCTGAAAAGGTCGTGAATGGTGATCATGTGACCCTGGGATGCTGCAACCATCATAAATAGATGCCAGTTGCCAAGCACCTGAATTTTGATCCCATGACCATGGGGATGCTATAATGGTTGTGAGTACTGGTTGTAAGTCATTTTTTTCAATGCCTCTGTAACTTAAAATGGTCGCTAAACAAAAGATTATAGTCAAGGACTTATAATCTAAAGGTTGTTATTAAATTATATTTTACTTTGATTTTATAGAGTTCATTTTTCTTTTGAATCCCAAGAATTCCTATGGTAATGTTGATGAAAGAAAGCACCTCTGTTTTTACAAATTTGATTTTTCAATGAGAAAGTGGCAGCTAACTGAGCCAGTCATTAGCAAACACTCATTTCCCTGCTTAGCATAAACTGGAGCACTTTTCCGCAAGGCAAAGGTGCCATTGGATGCAACCAAAGATTAACCCTTTTAAATGAACTCTGAGACTTTTTGTATTTGTTTCCTATGATTTGGCAGCAAGAAATCTTACTGTAACTAAAATATTTAATTTTAATGAGCGTATCAGCTCTTATTTTTAACTGTTATGGTAACTTTTTGTGAATCCTTTTCATAATTCTGCTTGATAATTGTTTAAAGTCAACAGTTGAAAGTAAGAAAAGGAATCAATGAGTTGCTATAATGAAATATAAACTGAGACTAAGGGTGAGTAGTTGTGGAGAAAGATATACAAAGGATATGCAATATATGATTAGAATGTGAATTCTACTACTATATAGAAAGAACTTTTGAGTTTTGTGTATGAGAAAGTTTCTTGTCTGTCTTTCAAGCACCTGATTCTTACATAGAGTTTCTGGCTGTCTTGTAGAGATCTGGATGTTCTTTCCTGAAATGGCACCCAAATGTAACAATGTTCTGGCCAGTTGTTTCCCAAGATGGCCTCCACCAATAATCCCAATCTTCAGTCTTTGATTATCCTTAGAAGGTTGGGAACCAGTGAGTGCATCCTTACAATTCTCTTCTTTCTGTCTGAGGGAAATCCCAAAACAGCAGTTATTATATATACAAACATAAAATTCAAAGTGTAAAATAAATGCTACCTATTTCTTAGAGTGTGAATAGGCAACTGTGTAAAAAATATCCTGGAATGATATGCTGAATTTGAGTCAGAAGTCTGATATGTCCATAAAAAGAAAAATGGTCACTTTAAACTACATCACTAGAAGTGTATTTGCCAAAATTCAGCAGTTTCATTCTACTCCGCTTTGGCTAAGGTCACCCTGACCACTAGAATCCAATTCATTAAGAATGATGCAGTCTAATGACAACATGCTCGGTGACAGTCAGTAAGAGCTATTAGAGAATGGGAAATCATATAAGGACAGATGGATGGAACTTTTAAATTTTAGCCTTGAAAAGGTAAGATTGGTTTTTTTTCATATAATGTAGTCTTGCTTGTCTCTTTGTTCTTTTCAGCAAACAGCAGTCCCCATTTAGAGCAGAAGAACTATCCAATGTAATAATAGGAGAGGGAACATTGCTGCTGTTAGTGACTTGGGATCTTCCTGGACCCATGGCTCCTTCACATAGATGATGCCAGCCACAGGGATCACAGAATCAAATCTTCACGGTGCCTACACTCTCTGTCTGGCGTAGCATCCCCTGGATACCTTCTTGGTTTTTAGAAATTTTATTAAAACATGATTATTTCATCAGTAGCTGGAATGCTTTGAACGTGTTTCTTCTGACAGAGGAAAGGCATTTGACTCCAACTTATTGTTTCCAATACTGTATGCATGGGTTAAATAATATTGTTTTATTTTCACTTTTGTTTTTAATCCAATTTATGGAAGTTGGGGAATATGCCTCTTGAGAGTTTTTCACAACTGGAACATCCTATTAATCCTCCCAAAATAACATTTTAGAATTCCTAAATATTGCTATTATTCACAGTTGAAAGTTCAAGATCTTTGTTAATATTGCTATAAATTCTTCAAATGTCTAATAGTAATTCCTAATGTATTTGACATTACCGGTCATGTTATCTTGCTCTAAAAATATAATTTATATTTATTTATAATTTAAAATTTTTTGACCATTCATTTGCCTGAGACAAATAAAAGATTAAAAGCAAACAATATAAACAAAACAATTGCAGGGGAGAGGCTTCCACAGATTTGCCCGAAGAAAACATCCGTAACAGACAATCTCCATGATTCATAGAATGTCCTGAAGTTTACAAAGCATTGATTTAATAGATGGGACTAGAAGGGTGCCTATTCTGTCAGATCTTATGGACAATGGGCTGCAGGGGACATGAGACACACACACACACACACACACACACACACACACACCACACAGATCTTTTGCCTTACTTGGTGGCATTGAGCAGTTTGCAGAAGAAAAGTGCATGGGCACAAGCATTCACCATCAATCCTTTGGCATAAGACTTCAGATGAAACAGTGGCTCATTTGCCCCAATCCCATATTCTGGCTGGAAAGTCTTTAGGTTTGCCATAATATTGGCCATTTCAAGTGTATGCTGAGAGCAACTGAAATTATAATAGAAATTACTCCTGTTGGCCATCCATTGCACTAGTGTATTATTAAAGCAAGAGACAGTTCAGTTGTGGCACATGCTATAAAATATGTATTCAGCACCTAGAAATTGGGAAGGGTAATGACAGTTTTTATTTTTAATCTATTTTATAATGATCATTTATTAATAAACAATTCTTTAGGAAAGTCAGGGGTCTCCAAACTCTTTAGCCTTGCATGAAGTTTTCAGATTATGTCGACCCCTAAACATTTGTTACATGAAAATATTTTTATACATATTACTTTAATAGTACTACAACAATAGAGTGTGTTGGGCAACCATATAAATCTCTTTAATAAATAAATTTTTCATAAAATAGATATTATTTAAAATATAAAAAATATAAGATTTAACATACCTTTTTATTGAAACTATTGATATTACTAATGAGAAGGGTGTATCTAATAAGCATCAACAGGGGCACTGGTATTTGGTGAGATAGTCTTGCCCACTATGGTGAGAAACTGACTCTAACTCAACTCTACCAAGATAGAGTGACTCTGGGTCTTTTGATTTGATGAGACATCCTCTCTGGCTCTTGCTGGGGTTGCACTCCCCTGGACAGACCTGGTGTACATTTGGGGGATTCTCCTGGATTGTGGCTCCTGTTCAAGGTATTGGCCATGGCTGGGAGACCCTTGCACAAATTCACCCTCTGTGCCACCTGCACCCATTACTGGACTGGGAGGTCTTGCTGATCACTTCTTGGTTGGATAACTGCAATATAGTCTACATGAAGCTGCCCTTGAAGACCATCAGGACCCTACCCTCTTGGCCTTTGAAACCCTTGAAGAGTTGGCTCTTCCTGGAAGGGCTGGGGTACAGTGAGATTGGAAGCCAGTAAAGTTGATTATTGATGTGTGGGGAATATTGTTTCTTGGAATGAGGGAATGAGTGACAGTGAGCAGAGTGGCTTATTCTTTGTAAGCCACCCAGAGACATGGTCCATACGATGGGTGGCTGAATAAGTCTTAAATATATGACTGAATAAGTCTTAAATATAAATATATAAATATATGTTTAGAACCAGGAAGATACAAACAAGGTAACAAAAGGTTGTTGCCAAATTAAGCCATTTGACCTATTGTACCCATGTCATATGCAACTATGTAAACAACAGAGTATATGATGTGACATAGTTCATCACTTGTATTGCCCCTTCCATCCCATGCCCCCACAAATGAAAACCTCAAATGGAGCAAGGCCACTATCAGCAAGGCCACAATAAAGGTAGTCCTTGGTTAACAAAGGCAATTGGGATCAGACTTTTAACCTTAGCTACGGCAGTTCTGGCAGTCCCTGTTGCTGTTGTGAAGACCGTGTGGGTTGTTAAGTGAGGATCTTCACATGACTGCAACATCCCACCAGTTCTCCCACTGACTTTACTTTTAAACTGCAATCACATGACCGTGAGGCTGCTACAATGATTGGAAATCTAAAGATCAGTCGTAAGTACCACACATTCAGCACCACATTCGCAAGTTCAGTTTAGAGAAGCTCATACTCTTATGCAAGCTGGTCAGCACAGGAGCATTTCCTAATCCAGGTGTCCTCCAGATATAAAACTAGAAACACAAATCATCTATGCAGCAGGATACACAGCTGGGAATCTGAGTTACATCTCAAGGACAACTTATTTAAGCTGTAGAAAAATCTCCAGCCTGTCCAATATTATATAAACCAACCATGTCTTTCCGCCTATTTTGTCTTACATCAGCAAATATACAAGGTATTCCAATCCTCTCATCCTAAGAAGAAACTATGTTACAATGAAGTGCATACTACAAAGAGAATAATTCTGATAATCTTTGCTTTATACTTACAATATATAGCTTCTGAGAGTAAATCACTAAATGGAACTAATGTTCTGGCTGACAGTTTGTGATTGGTTCAAAATCAAAACTGTTAAACGGATAACCTCCAGTTCCTACCGAGAGAACAGGTTTGAGTTGTCAGGATCAAACTTTCCTCAACAAAACACCATTTTTGTTAGCATGTAAACAAATGGAAAAGAAAATATCACATCATTACCAGGTATGGAAGCCACCAAGTGCATTGCACCAAATTTGTTTAAGCTTCTGGCTCCTTCTAAGCAATTTATCCTTCTGGTCTGCAGTTAAGGGCATTCTACAAACAGAAGGCTGTCGTCATGGCAAATGCTTGGTTACCAAATCTGTTTTTAGAATTTTTTTTTAAATTTACTGATTTCGTAGTTGCAGCCTTTAAAGGAGACAGCAAATAATTTTCAGCTTCCCAACAGGATCAAAGCAACGAAATTTTTTCCTCTTTTGAAGTTACTCTGCAGTTGTAGTCCTTCCCCATGTGCACTGAGAGTTGCTTTCAAATACATTATGTATTATTACACTGCACTGTAAATTGTCTACAAAATCAGTAACAAATATTGGTTTGATTCAACCCACTGTCTTCCCATCTGTTACTATTTCAATATGTTGGTTATATTAGCTGAGAACCAGAGGTCCATTATTACCATAAACCTACCCCAAAATATCTTCAGAACATTCCTTGCTTATAAACAGTTTATAGCTTAATGTGTTGTGTGGATCCAGCCAATTATAACTGAATTCACTTTTAATGGTGAGATTGTCAGAGGTATTTAAATGTCAGAGTGTTCAATCCTTGGTCGAGACAATATATGAAGAGTCTCAGTTTCTAAATATTGTATCTTTGGAAAACACTAGTTACTTTACTCATACTCATCTTTACAGCCAAACAGCCAGAGAAAACAAATATAAGGGAGGTAAAGCTTTATTTACAACATGGAAAGTGAAAGATAACATGAAGCCTAGAAAGAGGAAGTAGATTTGCTAACAAACCTTGAAGCATAATTAGCAAGGACCAACTGTTTTCATTAGACCTTGAGAGAAAATATAATTTGATTAGTTCAGTACACCCTACAACAAAATTGGTAGATTTCATGTAGAACTGAACTCACATTCTCATTGACTGAAGGGCCATGCAGTTAAACACTCCAACATTTGATGAGGGGAATGTATATAGGTTTACTCTTAAGAATCTTATGCAGCACTTTCCAAATAATTATCCTAGTTAATTGGTAATGGATGCTAAAATAATATGCAGGACAGAATTTTCATATCACTAAGAACAACAGTCTCACCCCTTAGAATCAAATGAGGGAAAAGCATATTTATTATACAGATATTTTTCCTATGGAAAGCTGTCCTAAACATTTCAGATGACTAGACAGTGAACAGGAAGTGGAAGCATTAAGTTCTTGACTCAAATATGCTTCCCTTGTCTATATAATATTATATTCCTCATATGTTTATATTGTGGAGTTCAACTTGTCAGATTTGTGCTTCACCGGTTAAATGTCTCTTTTGGCCAACTCTGTGCCTAAGAGGTTCCTTTCAGTGAAGGCTTCACAGAGGCAGCATCTTGAAGCAACAGGCAAACTGACAGTGGATTGAAATCAGTGCAGAACTGGCTTGGCAATCTTTCTCTTTGACCTCATTGAATCAACATGAAGTGCTTCCAAAAGAATGAAGTTTCTCTCAGTTCTTCCACCGGATCTGCTGAAAGAAAAGCAGAATTGGATGTGGTTGATATGAAATATAATCACATCTCCAGGCTGAGAAAATAATTAGTAAATCTCTAGTCACTGAAACCAATAGAAGCAGAGGAATTTATAAACAATGTGAGAAAATAGATAAAATAAAGTGATATTTATCGTTGAAACAAGAACAGTTTTACTGAAACTAAATGATCCTCTGACATGGCCTAAACCAACACAGCAATATTGATTTAAAGTCCAAAACATATTTAAAAAGGAGAAAAGCTATCGGCTTTGTTTCATTCTCACAAGCTGGATAAAGTGGAATGAACAATCATTTCCATAAAACATGGCTCAAAAATTGTTTAATTAGATCCATTTCCTGAACATAAGCATTTAAGCTGCTGATAGATTTTTGGAAGTTATTTTTTCTACATACTAAAATCCAAAAGCAGGTAGATGACACTTCCTACTTGTGGTAAAATGAATAGAAGAAAAAAAATAAGACAAAAGATAATAGGTAAGATTTCTGAAAAGGCTAGAAATTGATGTTCCAAATCACTTTTGATAATCTATAAGGCTTCAAAATTCTCTGTGATCTCAACTGGCACCAATAATAAGAAATAGATATTAGGATATGGATATAAAATTAATCTGGATCATCACACCTAATGATACCAACAGTGGCAAATTAAATATGTAATAAAACAAAAGGGCCCAAAGATAGAGCAACAAGATGTTCTCATTTCCTAGTATTTATCAACTGGAGGAACAGTGGCTGAGCAAGATACAAAACGTACATTATATTGCCAATTGAGGTATGTGTGGCACTATTCAGTAATGGATTTTTGTATAAATTGCCTGAAATTACTTAATTTGGTACTTAGAACAAATTCTGTGATCAAAAGTGTTTAATCTTGCTGCATGTCTTTTGTGCCAGATTGATGGAGTCTAGTAAAATGCAAAATAAATCTTTCAAATTGAAAGCATGTTTAGCATTGCATTACAGAGTGCCACTCAGTATCTGGATCACACACACAACAGATAGCGGACAGTGTGTTTTCTGTGCTTTCAGCTTAGCATGTTAGGTAAACTTAATTGATTATGGTTTAGTGTGATACATAAATCAGATCACAGGGCCCATTTGGCAAGCAATCATTCTTCTAAAAAATTACAGCCAATCAGAAATCTTGCACATTTTTTTGAAGAACTATGTAAAAAGTCAGTATGATCGCAACTTTATCTAATTATACCTACAAAATCATAAATCACTATTAATTTATTCATTTCAATGTTTTAGCTACCCAACTCTAATAGACTTTTATTTTTATGTTTAAACAGAATAGATAAGTAATGCTTTATACATGAGTTTCAAGGCCAAGGTTTTTCAAAATGTATCATATGGCTGCAAAAGGTAGACAAGCAGAAAGGCTGAGTGAAGTAAACTGTGATGCTGTAGAATATATTTGAAAATTTAGACTTGGAGAAAAAATATTTTTGTTTTTTACTGGTTTTAATGTGTTTTACCATTTTTTACTGTTTTAGAATGTTGTTTAATTTTTTAATTATAAAATACGTTCTGAATTGTATATTGGCCAGGACCATTCACTGAGTTGGGCAGCTATAGAAATTGAATAAACAAACAATAAATCATTCAACATGATATCCCAAGAAGCATAAAGAAACTTACACATTTTGGACATATAATGCAAGAATAAACCCTCAATGCCTTTGAAGGCAGGAGAAAAAGAGGCTGGCAGAAGACATGACATCACAAGTAGGAGCAATTACTGAGACAGTTATACACTGGGTCATGAAGAGTCAGAAGCTACTGAGCATATGAACAACACAAAAGTTCAATTGCAAGAATTTTGGGATGATCCTTTTTTTGCCACTGGCCTACCCATATAAACTATCATGAGAAATATGAAATTCTCACATGGTTCCAACCGGCCAATCCATCTGAACTTGAACAAGTCCTTCCCACTCCCCTCCTTTGCAGGCACTTCAGCTTGATTGGCTGAAAGCAGAGCTGTTTGGGTTTTCAACAACCAGCACAACAACTGCCTTTGGAGCAGACAGGCTCATGTGCTTTTGCTTAGACAGCAGACACATTGAAGCACAAACATTCTTGACATGCTGCTCTCTAGAAGTGGGAGGGTTCTTATTCTTTTTTTCCTCTGTGCTTCCTTTAACAAGTACATGTAACCTAATGTGTTCTTTCTTACTGGGTTATTGAGGATAGTATCAATCTTCTCCTCTGCTGGACAACCCCGTTCAACTTTACATCTGTATGCCATCAATTGCTGGCGGTCCTTCAAATCTCTGTATGTCTGGCAAATATCCAGAAGAGAAGCCAGTTAAACAAAACAACTATTTTTTTTTATCAATAAACTCAAAATCACAGCGATCCTAGACAGTTATCACCCATTCCTTCTCAGTAGCTTTCTGGAAATCCTGCTGCTTCATCCATAGGCTGATATGGACCTAACAGCTGCCCCAACAAAGACTTGGAACTTTCCAAAGGTGCTTTTTCCAAAGGCAACTGGACTTTGTTTTTCCTTGAAGACATTTCGCTTCCCATCCAAGAAGCTTCTTCAGTTCTGACTCAGTTCAGAACTGAAGAAGCTTCCTGGATGAGAAGTGAAGCATCTTCAAGGAAAAACAAAGTCCAGTTGCTTTTTGAAAAAGCACCCTTGGGACAATCATGACCTGGATGACTGAGAATCTCCATAGACATTTGGGACTTCCCTTAACTTTTTTGGGAGGGCAGAAGCAGTCAGCACATCCTGTTACCTAGTTCAGTGATGGCGAACCTTTTAGAGACCGAGTGCTTAAACTGCAACCCAAAACCCACTTATTTATCGCCAGGTGCCAGGTGGGGGTGGCCCACTGGGTGGACATGGCTGTGGTGTTCATGGCAGAGTGGGTGGGTTTGGCCAAGGTAGGCATGGTCACCTTGATGTTGCTTGTGGGGAGGGACACCTGTGGGGGCTGGGCAGGGTTGGGGGAGATCCGGGGGGGGGTCTCTGGCAGATGGGGCGGTGGGCAGGAGGCTCGTCCTGCAGGGTGAAGCAAGGCAAGGCAGGGCGGGGGTGCCATTGTCGCAGGGCAAAGCGAGGCAGGGGCCGGGGCGGCTGCTGCCTGACATCATCGACCCCTGCACACAGAGGGCAGCAAACACATGGGGGCCAACAGTGTCCGTCAGCAGCCACAGCCTGCCAGCCCCTCGACCGGCGCACTCTGGCGCTCTGCAGCCCGCCGCCAGCAGTTCAGAGAAGCTGCCTCTGAGCTGGCCAGCCAGCTGACAGCTAAGGAGGCAATGCAATGGGTCATGCCCGGGAAAAGGAGAGCATGCGAGGCCAGGAGGGATGGGATGGAGGGAAGGGAAACCAGCCATGCTGGGATGCATCCAGCCACGTGGGACCTCGGTGAGTTAGTGGGCGCCTGGTTGAAGAGGGATGGTTGCCATCTCCAGGGCACGGCGTGCGTGTCCACAGAGAGGACTCTCAATGCCACCTCTGGCATGCATGCCATAGGTTCACCACCACTGACCTAGTTCATTCAGTTTACACATAACATTCACTTTTCTATCCATTTAAGTTAATGTGTGATAACTGGAGTGTAAGGATAACAGTAGAAGGCTAGCTTCAGCTAATACTTTTCAAGCCAATATTTTATTTCTACTTTTAGGCTAAAATGATAATGGAAATGGGCAACATTTAGACAATTGATGATGTCTCTTAGATGTGCTAGGTCATAAATTCACTGACTTCTATCAAATTGGCAGGTTTTCATGGCTGTGATTATGGCTAAAGAAAAGGGCAAGCATCTGTCAAAGGCAGGAAGACTAAAACAAGATAGCAAAATATTTTCCTTATCTTCCAGAGATTTCCTTTCCTTGACCTAGAACAGTGGTTCTCAACCTTTTTAATGCCGCGACCCCCAACCGGTCGTAAGTCAAGGACTACTCAACAGGTCGTAAGTCGAGGACTACTCAACTGGTGCAGCACCGTTTGCAGAATGGGACTTTTGGCGGGCTCAGCAAGGCAGAGACAGCCTGGACAATTCCTATTGGCTTTTG